CAAATGCATTGAAATTCTGCCTGAATTCGAAATTAACTTGATCTCAGTAGTTAGTTGGTACCATTATTGATAAGAAGAAAAACGTTTGATGTCTTTCACCTACAAAAAGAAGCGTTGATGAGAAAGTTAGGTGAAAATCCGAGAGAGAGTAGAATTTTAACAGTTATAACACTGACAGTCATACTATTTGATACCTTCACATTCTGTCTATTTTACCATCAAATTAAGCATGTGACATGCTATGGTATGTTGACAATACTTGAGGACATGCCATTGCCATAGCTAGCTATTGTCCATGCACTCACACATTATTGTGGGCATGTTCCTGGTGTTTTCTTGTAGCAATGCATGCTATCCATTCTAAAACATTATATATAATATGCCTGAGAAATTAGAATTAAATAAGTACATGGCTAGAACCCACATGCATTCACGTAAATAATATATGAAAGGGAGAGACAAAAAAAAGATTGTTTGCTTTGCTTTGCTTTATTCTATCGTTAGGTGGAATATGGACTTACTTCTATTCTACCCCACCTATATTTTATTCATTTTAACGAATTAACAACAATTTAAGACATTCTCTTCTTGATTCTGCTGGTCAACTAGAAAGGTGACACGTACTTCATAGTTAGGTTAAAATCAATTTGCAACTTAATTTAAAACTAAACCATAACAAGTTTTCCAATGTCTATGCTTTGTGTCTGCAAATATATGTACTTTCCTGTGCGATCTGATTAATTAATTACATCGTGAAACTAATGCATGGTTTTAATATTGTTTTCAGCTTGCTTAAGTGCCTAACTAACATGGTACACTTTCATCAAAGCCATATTGACAATATGTGTTTTTAAAATGACATCCATTTGCTTAGGTAGATCTAACGTCAATTTCTATACTGTTGAAAAGAACGTGACCATGATCAAGAGGAATATAATCGATCTGATCATAAAATTTGGATTAAGGAAGGAAATGCAGCACTTCTTATGGATTTTACAGTGAGGGAAGATGTAACTGCACCTCTTTGCACCTTAATAGATTCGCTACTTCTCATGAAGTTCATTATTTAAAGGAGGTGGTATAATCTAAAACCAAAAACATATAAGTGTTTATGGTAAAAAAAAATAGAAACTGAGGCCAAGAGTCCAATGGTGGCTGCTAATGCTATCATAACGATCGCACAATCATTAGTCACATTAATCAAAGATTAAGGTGGGCATAAACATGGTGATATAATGATGATTGGCAGAACAAAGCAGTCGAGAGAGAGAGAGAGAGAGAGAGAGAGAGAGAGAGAGAGGTTTGAAATTAAGCCAAAAAGAATGGTCAAGAAAGAGGGCGCCTGCCCACTTAAATAATTATATATATATATATATATATATATATATATGACTTATGCAGAATCTGATCATCTTTAACATGCGTCTAGATAAGGTGGCTTTATTCAAAACTTAAAAAAGAGAAAACGTAAAAATAAAAACAAAAAAAGGAAAATTTTGGTTTGGTGGCATTAGTTGTTCACCTGTCTGTCTGTGGAGATGTACATTAATGCATGCGGGTAATATTCAAAGTTAATTTCCTTTGAAAAAAATGGGTAGTTCAATTCAAATCTTTTTAAAATATGTTATCGATCGAGCATGATACAAGGTGGTTTTGTTGTCTTCCAAAGGTTAGGGTTTGGACAAAATAATAATCTTTTGGTTTTGGGTTTTTTTTGGGTATAACGTTTGATGATCAATGTGTTGTCACAAATGCACTTATTTGCGGTGGTTATATTGTCACGTAGTATTAATTTACTCATATTATAATATATGTATTTATTTATTAATAATACACCTAAGTGAATTAGTAACACCACGTGACATTGTGATTATCACACTCAAAATTTATCCATAAGAAGTGCTTATGGTTTATCTTAATTGCCACTTAGGTACTGTGATTTTAATTTTGTAAATTTTGTCCATCTGATTTACTTGTACTATCAATTTTAGTTAAATGTTCAATTTCCTTCAATCAGTATAACTTGGCGTCCACATGTAGTGATACAAATCTCTAATTAAAGCTTAAATTAGCATTCTTCCAACTTATTAAGTGGAATTGGACACATAAACATTAAAACACCTTTGCAAGTGAGGTGCATGCATGTGGTTTTGACCAAGATTAGTAAAAAGTACAACGGTAAAAATGACAAAATTGAAATCATAGTGACTATAACAACGATTATCATAAACTATTTGTGACTTTTGGGCTAAAAATCATAGGAAGTCAAGCTAAGATATAACATTAAATTTTAATTTATTTCACTAATTAGGATGTGAAATTCAAAATCAGCCTGGTTTTCATTGACATAAAGTTATGAAACCTCAATAGCATTGAGAAGATGTGCATGATTGTTTTTTATTGTTGATGAACATGCATAAAAAAGATTAAATAATTGCATGACACTTTTTTAAAAGAAATTTTAAAGTGAGTTTAGATCTTGGATCCACGTGTCATATCATCACCGTATCAATATAATGAGATATGCTATGACATTTCGACCCCAATGTTTCTCTTTGGACACTATGCCATCACCAACTAAATTTGACAAAGCTGGAAATGAATTTCCTGTCATCTTCAAACTCTATAGTATTCTTCAGAATAATCATGCCCTCCATCAAAAATTAATGCATATGGTCGTAGGCCATAGTCAAGATTGCATGAAAGGAAAGGTTCAACACATATATATTATTAATTAAATTATATACTACTACTGAATTTACAATGTTCACAAGTTTGAATCCCTTTTTTCGGGAATGAAATACAAAATAAAAAATTCTAAACTTCAAGCTCACCCTCAAATCACAAGTTTAAATTATAAACTACTGCTGATCATGTCTTGTTTGGCTCCTCCTACAAGTTTTGATCAAACAAATGAGCTATATATGTTATAGCTAGCTAATTAGTAGATTTTGTTAATCTATTCTTTAATAACTTAAGCTTTTAAAAGACATTAATCATATTCTTCTTTGATATTAAAGTATAAATTCTCAAAAAAATGTCACGCCTTGACCCAGAATCTGAAGAGCTAGGGTTAAAAACTTCCAATTCCCATACCCACATTTTATTTATTGGTTGACATCATGGTATGGATATACTTCCCGTATTTCAATTAATCCAACCCCTTGATTATGTATAACATCAAACACGTCATTGGATTAGCATTAACCATCTACAATGCGATTCAATTCTACTTCATAAACACATCATTGCATGCATGTGCGTCTATGCATCTCTTATATTGTGCTCTAGTTGTAGAAAACAGAAGTATCCCCTCAAATAAGTTTGAACTTCATGGCCCTCCTTTGCTTTTTCGTTTTAAACACAAATTTGCTTAGACACACATGCATGCAAATCCACTCGTTAATTTGATCACAATTGAAATTCTGCAAGTACAGCATCGCATATACATAAAAACACCATGGCCCATATGATCACTAAACATATATGCACTTTAGCAACAACTAGAAACATGGCATGATGGCCTCTCTCTGCAACGTCAAGAAGCCAATCACTTCATCCAAAGGTATTTTCTTTTCGTTTTTGTTTCTTTCCAAAGAGGTGCATGCAGCAGTGGCACTCAAGAAACCACACACACACACACACACACACAAAAAAAGAGAAAAATAAATAAATAAAGAAACAAAAGAGAAAAAGAAATTAGAGGCTCGGGACGAGCCACCTTTGGCTTTTATGATGTTTTGCTTTTTTTCCCATCAAAGAAAGGATGGGAGCAAAGTAAGATGGAGACAAACGAAAGTACATGTATCAGATCAGATTGGAAAAAAATAAAGAAAAGAAAAAGAAGCAAAATATAGAGAAGAAATAAAGTCGAAAGAAGTTTTCTTATCAGAGAAAAAAGACCATTTAATTGCCTATTGGATAAAGCAATAACTCTCTCTCTCTCTCTCTCTCTGTGAGAGGAGGAGAGAGAGAGTGTTGTGTGAAAGGAAACCTACTGGACTGGCAAGCACAAACCCCAGCCACGTTTCTGCACTGTCATACACTTTATCCAAATCCAGAAGAAAATCAAGAAAAAGAAATTCAAACCGAATCACAGGCGTTATCTTTTATCTTTGCGGGAGCCAGTGGTGCTGCTGCTGCTGCTGCTGCTTCTGCTTCTGCTTCTGCAGCTGTTGCAGAGAAACCAGCTAAGCCTAGACTCTGCTCTCAGCAGAATCAAATAGTACTCCCCACCCATTAGCCATCAGATTTTGGAGATGGTCATTCCAAACTTCAAAGCAAAGAAATCATAAACCCCATTCAAAGACAACCACAAATCCATAACCAAAGAAAAGCAACTCTGAATTTTCATTTCAGACTTTTTACACCACCAAAGAGCCAGAGAGCCAAAGAGCCAAGAGCCAACCCAAACTCATTAAAGATACCACAACAGCAGCTGATGATATAAGCTCAGACAAGACAACATACTCCATTGAGTTATCTTTACACACTAACACCAAAACTCACCACTTTCATTAATTTCTATCCTGAAAAAAACCAAAAATTAACCCCAGCATTGTTTATTTTATTTTTATTATTATTTATGTTTAAAACCTACACTGTTAAAAAATTCATAATCTCCTTTCATATTTTGATCAAAACACCACCACTAATTAGCATCTGCATAATAATTACACACATTTGTCCAAAGAAACAGCTTCTAAATTCTAAATTAACAAAATTAACAGAAACAGTAACTTAACTTCCAAGTTCCCAAATTTTGATATTAAAAAACACTACTATTAATTAACATCTAAAATAATAATAATAATAATAATAGAAATAAAATTTTGAGAACAAAAGAACAGCACCCAGAAGAAGGCAACAGAGTAAGAGAAACAGCTTCTAAGTTCTAAATTCACAGTAACCACTTTAAGTACACATCCAAAAAAAAAAACACAAAAAAAAACAAAAAACAAAAAAAAAAAAAAAAAAAAAAAAAAAAAAAATTAACATTTTCAGTAAGGCGGTGGAGGTGGTGGTTGCCTTGCAGTTGGAGCCCAGAGGACATCAGTAGGCAAGTGGCAGCTATACATGGACATCCCACATGACTGCGATGACGGCGGCGCGTGCCCCCCACTCTCCACACCCCCAGACAACGGCGGCGAGTGGGCATCGCCCGAACCCGAGTTCCTAACCGCCTCGTCTTCCCCGGGAAGCCGATGATAAGACGGGTTGTTAAACGACGCGGCGATGACGTACACAGTCCCAGCCGCCACGAGGGCCCCGGCCACTAAGCCGCCGACGATCTGGCCTTGCGGGCCGGCGAGGGAGATGGTAAAGCCACTGGGGACGGAGACGGGGCAGGACGGCGTGGTTTGGGGGAGGAAGGTGGCGGAGATTGACAGGATGTCGAAGCGGCCATGAAAAGTAACGGTAGCTCCGGGTGTAGTTGACGGTTGACGGAGAGTGACGTTAGCAACTGTTCCGGAGCCGGTGAGAATGCAGAGGCCGATATTTTTGCGGCAGCAGAAGCGGGAGACGGCCTCGACGATGTCGCTTCCTCCCGGGACTTCGAGAATGTAGGGGCTCATAGGGGGCTCTGAGTCTCGGGTGATGATGACAGGAGGTTTGGGCTTGTTTTTGGAGCCAGGTGGACGGCCTCTGGGCCGTCGGATGACTTCGATGGTGGCGCCATCGGCAGATGGGTTGGAAGGGTCGGCGGCGGTGGAGGACTTGGGGTTTTGGGCGGAGGGGTTGGTGGTGACAGTGGCGGTGCCGCTGCTGGTGCGGCTGGTGTCTTCTTCCTCGGAAGTTTGGCATTCGCGATGGGTGGTGATGGCTTGGAATGGGTTTGGGAAGTGGTGGTGCTGGGTTTGGGTTTGGGTTTGGTGGTGTTGCTGGGTTTGGTGCTGTAGGTGGTGGGGGTGGTGAAGCTTGGAGAACATGCTTTGAGTTTCACCCTTGGTGTCAACATATTCACCTTTCATCTTTGTTTATGTATTTTTGTTGTTTATTTTTTGGGATTTTGGGTTTTTTTCTCTCTCTCACTCTAGCTAAAACTAGGCTAGGTGTGTGATTGGTGGGTGGCTTTTGTTGTTGATATATGAATAAAAAAAAGAAGGGAAGGAGGCGGGGGATTTTGGGGTGATGGGTTTTTATGGATTTTGGTTGGATTTGTTTATGAGGTTGATAGAGAGGGAGGGAGGGAGGAGGCAGAGAGAGATCGAGGAAGAGGAGAGAAGGGGTGGTGTTCGGATTTCTTTATAATAAATTGAGGATGAGGATCATGCTATGTATGCAACCAGACCAATGAGAGAGAAAGAGAGGAGAGAGAGGGAAGGGGGAGGTGGGTGAGCTTGGAAACTAAGTAAAGACTAATGGCGCCGCTGGTTGGAAGAGCTAAAGTAGGGTCCACACATCACGCATGAGAGAGAGAGAGACAGAGATGCACAGCAGTCATTGAGGAAAATCAGAAAAATGGGTATTGGTTAGCTCAACCCTTTGTTGCACCGCCTTACTATTCTTTTCTTCAAAGTTTGAGAGAGAGGAGAGAGAGAGAGAGGTGGGATGAGTCTTTGAGGGCCTTCCTAATCCCGACCGAGTGGATTGAAAGTGACTGGGATTGATGGTCTAGTTTTGGGCAATGGGGGATGCCTTCAATATTTTGCTTGTTTTCTTCTCTCTCTAGCTATCATTAGCACCATACCCCCTCGAGCTAGCCTGTCCTGATTGGACTGGACTGGACTGCACTGCACTGTCATGCATTCTTAATCCCAACCCAACCCACAAAAAGATTCAAAGACAAAGAAATAGAAGATTGGCTTGTTTAATTTCATGTGCTTTAAAAAGGGATGAAAACATGCGTTAAGCCTTGATCAAAGGGGGAGGAGGTTCAAAGCTCATTATCATCATTTTGCTTAGAAATCAATATTCAATCCCCCGTTTGTGTTATAATATGGGATCTAGAAGGACTTTGGATTTGTCACTTTCCCCAACTCAGAAAGATTAGGGTACTTTTTTTATATTTTTTATTTGGTTTGTTGCCAATTTAAAACCAATGCAGATGTATAAGCTAAACAAAAAACATAAGTGGACCACACTCCTGTGTCATTAATCATGATTAATGGACTGCCATGGCCAAAAGAGTTGTCCTTACGTATAATAAGGACACTCTTTGAGCATGTACATACAGCACAAATCAACTCCACACCAAGATAATCCTAGTTTGATATGTGAATTAGTTGTCTTAAAACTTATTAAATATTTGCTTAACTACTAGTTTAATTGTATTGTAATAACTATTACGGAAAGCAGTCAAAGTCAATGCACCTTCTTCTAGTATCACCATCAAGGTTGGGGTTTAATAATAGGATGCCAATTGGGTGGTGTTGGTTAATAAATAGATCGGAAATCTCCAATTCAAATACGACTTTGTTCATTAAATAAGTCAGAAATCTTTAATTCAAATATGACACGTGTATAAAACGGGAAACAAGACACTACTTGCGTAACTTGTTTATGAAATGAATTGGGTGCCAAAAGAGATGGTAGAGATTCCTGTTAGGTACCCAACCCTAATAAATGAAGATTTTGGAGCAAAATGGGAATCGGGTACGGGGATTTCCGAATTTAAAAAATCTTCATTGGATATGGGGCGGAGATGGTATTGACATCCCCATCTCCGAATCCGGCTCGATATATAAATACTTAAATAATCAATATACTTAATACTTCACATTCCATCTATAAATAAATAAAAAAGAACTAACCATAACACTTATTGTGTGGCATCTGCTCTCACCCTCTCTCATTTTTGTTTCCTTCTTACATCGATGTATCTTCTCTACTTATTCTTCTTTTCCACCCCCTCTCTCCTTCTTCTTCTTCTTCTTCTTTTCCTCCTCCCCTTATTCATGTACACACATCTTTCTCTTAATATCATGTATCTTTTTTTTGCTCTGAATTTTTGTTGTTATTAAATTTGATAAATAGAAACCCATTTCAACTATAAACATTGTTGATAAGTGGAAATGGCTGCAAAGTTATAATTGGTATGATTTGATAAAATCTGGATTTTTAGATGCCTTAGCTATTCAAGATCAAACTTGTAATTTTGTTTTGGTAACAAATAAGGCTAAGCCTAGGAGCTCTTCCATTTTGGCATGGAAGATTCAGGGTGGGGATGGGGGATATCCCTTCGATGGGGATGAGAAATGGGATTCCCCGAAACCTCTTAAACGAGGACGGGGGAGGGGATGGGAAGTAGGGACGGGGATGGTATTGTAATACGTGGCCCCTACTCGGCTAGTTGTCATCCCTAGTTCCAACGGGGTCTAACCTAGTGAAAAATGGCCTTAAATTGCAGACCAGTGGTCTCATGTTCAAACCTCCATAACGATAGTGTATGTGTGTGTTGTGTGTGAAAAACCTCTTTCCCCTTGTAGTTTAGACTATGGCTGGTTTTTTTTTATTTAAAAAAAAAAGAAAAAAGAAAGAAAAAGAATTTGGTTGAATTGTTATTTAGATTAACTTATTAACCAGTTTAACTCATTTAATCATCTTAACCTATTAAGCATATTTAAACTCATTTAATCTATTAAGTATTTATATTTATCAATAATGTAACTCAAATTTTTTTATAAGTAAAAATTACAAAGAGAATACTTGGGGGCAAATTAACGTAAGGGAATCCCAAAGAGCACCGAAGGTCGTTTGAGGTGGAAGAGAATGTATCCAAATATGTCTAGTGTGGATGCTATGAGCAGACAACGCATTTGCCACAACATTGGCATCTTGGAAAACATTGGAGAAGGAAGTAGTCTCAAATCAAGGGATAAGATTATGCACATTGTGCACAATGGTAGCTAAGTGTCTCGAAGTATTTATTTTGGTATTATTGGTGTCGATCATGAGCTTAGAATCATCCTCCACTTGAAATTTGGTAATATGTTTTGCCTTGATTAGGAGAAGATCATCTAGTAAAGCTTGTCCTTATGCTATCAACATATCAGTGTATCAAAGTAGATAGAGGTACATGTAGGATTCCTTATAACAAAATCCGATGCAGCCTCAGTAGCATGCTGGATTGAGCCGTCAAAATTGAGTTTGTGGCACTGAGGAAGGGGTGGACGCCGTGTGATGGGAGCACATAAGCCATAAGGAGTTGGACTACTCCTATATGATAAGGGGAGTGAGCCTTGTCACAAATTACATGTAGGAACGTCTCACCAATGTGTTTTGCAATCATGATAACCTCAAATACAATAACAATTTTATAATCATTTTGTAAATAGTTTGCAACATCGTCCAATTTTATTATTCTATTAAGTTGATTGTGTGGTCAATAGTTAAATGCTGACGTGTCTATTGTGGGACCCACCTACTAACCAACCAGTTTCTAATTTTTTATTATTATTATATAAAATGATAAAATAACATCAATTTTTTAAAAAAGTCGTCTTCCTCCCCAAAGCCAACAAACCCAGCAAGCACCCCTTGTGCACCCACTCTCGCCCCGCACCAACCCCATCACCATCCCTCTCTCTCTCTCTCTCTCTCTCTCTCTCTCTCTCTCTCTCTCTCCTTCCCACTAGATTTGGGCTTGCTTTTGGAGCTCTGACTCCTTTTTGGGCTAGAGTATGAACTCTTAGAAAAATGGCTCTCACTTCACTTCAAGCTTTGAAGGGATAATAATAATCATATATTTGGCAGTTCAATGACCTCCTTTAAGCCTAAAGAAATTTAAGACAATAAGTAGGTAATAGTAACCCAAATAGAAATAGCAAACGTAAGGGTGATAAAATTGATACCTTGGGGTCCATATTGAGAACCACCCTAAACTTGTAGGGTGTCTTTTGTCATTAGCCCTATTAACTATGTTTTACCTTTATATTGTCAAAGAATATAAGAGCATCTTCAAGAGACTTTCTACTCTCTCATCCCTAGCTATTGTAGTGAACAAGAAGGAAAAACAACGCTCCAGTAGCGTCTCTATCTTTCTTGCCATTTTGGCTCGCTACATTTAGTAAGGATGAGAGAGAAATTTAAGGCTTGCCAAATCTGAAAGCTGCGAGAGAGAGAGAGAGAGAGAGAGAGAGAGAGAGAGAGAGAGAGAGAGAGAGAGAGAGAGGTTCGGTGGTGGGCTACTTTTCATTTTGGGTTTTTTTTATTTTTTTTTATTTTTTAATGAATTGAAAATAATAAAATATTTGAGATTAGCTAAAATAGAAAGCATTACCGGAGGAATCACCTTTTAAGTGGTTAGCTATTTTAGTTAGAATTTGAATAAAATTTGAAAACACTCGTGAAGATGCTCTAATAATATTACTAAGAAAACTATGTTAGTCAATCCTGTATAGGATACCCAACTATAAATCTACTAGCTATATCCCACATGTCCTATCAAAAAAAAGAAAAAAAGAAATCCCACGTGTCCTACTTTGTTCTAGAAAATTAGAATAGACAACGACGGGGGTTTGTTTCGTTGTCTGTACAGCGAACGATTTCTTTCTATTTTGGGTCAAAAGTGAACGAATTCTTTTGGCTGGCCAATTTTTTTACGCAACGACTGTCGAGTTTTAGAAACAAATGGAAGTTGTTCTTTGCGGTGGCTAAGGCGGTGGCCACCCCTTGTACTCGAGTTAGGTCCACATACATTAGAGTTGTTTCGAATATCACTTTGTCAAAATAATAGTAAGTCTAGGCCATAAACTTCAAACCCTATGGCAGTAGAGTAAATGACTCACTATGAAAAGCTCTATTGAGAGTACTTATCGCATTGAAAAGTTAAGGTACTTAACCTAAGGTCATAAGGAGTTTGACTACTCCAACATTGTCGATTGATTTTGAAATGTAATCTCAATTTCATTCAGCTGTGGGCAAACTCTGGAAACAAATACTGAACAAAATGATGTATTGATTCATGGAGAAGAATAGTCTCTACATAATTAAATTGCTATATATATAGTTTTTCATAATAAGAAATTAACACTAACAATATTCTTGCTTGGACCGTCAAAGAGAAACAACCAGCGAGCAGTTAGCATATATTCCTTTGTTTATATGCTTGTCTGTATTGTGGGGGTGACAAAGATTTTGCTGATGCAACTTGTAAGTCGGTGAGACACCATCTTAGAACAGCCTTTGGCAGTTGTTGCACATGCTGACAACCGACTCAAATATACAAAATAAAGTTCAGATGATCATTGCTTTTCACAACAATGGCAATGCTTTGCTCACAAGCCAATTGGCATGGACCATGGACTCAAATTAAAGCAATCGATCCTTGCCATTTTGGTATTCAATTTCCCTTTATTTTTGAACAAAAGAACCCCAATGTCAAACCCTAATTGGGTAATGGAATAATTTGATATCCTACTACAAGTTTTAAGTAACTTAGTGCCTATTTGAGATTCGAGAAAGAGAGTCACAATCTATGACTTTTCTTAGGCTTTAATGGACAAGGAATGACGGGTTCGAATATCAGACGTGTTCTAACACGAGAAAGAGAAATATACAAAATACAGCTAGGCCAAGAACTGATTAATATAATATATAAGGATACCACTTGCTGTATATTACTGTATATCTATCACACGATGGTGAAGTGCACGACATTATTGTCAGAAACAGAGATGTTTGATTGTTTGTATTCCAGGGCTCATGGCCACCGAAGTATTACTACTTCTTTGGACTTTTTCCATTTGGTTTGTCTGACTGCTTGAGAAGATTTAAATCTCCTTTGCAAGTTGCAAGCCATTTGGGGAAGGGAGACATTGAAACTAGCCATTTTGTACATTTTTGTCCTCCTCCTTAGGTTTAGAAAATAAAGAAAGAAAAAGAAAGAAAAAGAAAGAAAGAAAGAAAGAAAACCCTAATTTTATAGAAAGTAAATTAGTTTATTTAATCTCGATTAAAGTTCACAAACTCAAGGCAAAGAGAGTCCAATTTTGTTTTTAAAATCAAACCTTGATAAAATAAAATAAAAAACTCAATAATTCTAGATGAAAAAAGTTTTCCTTCAACTTAAAATTTCAGAAAATTCTTCTAAAATTCCAAATAATCCAAATGAAATTATTATCAATGAAGTTTCCAACCCTCCCTCTCAAATAATTCATTACAAAGAAGAAAATAAAGATGTTATGCCATCACTCTTGTGAACATTATTGATGTACATAATGATCACGATAACGACATAGTTCTATAGTAGCAAAAAAATTTACTAGACAAAAGTCAGTCCAAGTTGGCGGGTAAGAATATTTCCATTTTTCCAAGCTAAAAAGAATAAGACTTGAATCAAACGTAAAGAGATTGCAATTTGCGAAAAGATGGCTCCCCATAGAAAGCCCTATAGCCTCCTAGGTGCCTATGAGGCTACACACTCTCTCACTTTGGAAAAGAGTCTTTAGAAGGGTGTCTTGACTCAAGGTTAAAGTGAGCTGCGTGATTTTGAAGTAGGTACTTGCTTTTAGTTAAAAGCAAAAGTAAATTTTAGAATCACTATTAAAAGAAGTTAAACACCTCCTGTCAAATTCTAACTCCTTCGAACTTTGGACAGATCATCAACCCTGCTGAATCATATAAAGTTTTGTTATATATAATATTCTTCAAATTTACATGAATAATAAAGCTTCTAGTTTTTCTTGAATGAGGGATGCCCTTATTTCTCCCAATACACCCCAAAAAAGAGAGTATACATTCCTACTTTATAATCAAAATTACCTCGTTCTAGTTTTCTTTGGATTAATTTTTTTATTATTATACCATTAAAATTATTCCAATTCATGATTTCTCATACGTTTGTTAACACATAAACACATAATGGAATCAAAAGTTATTTGGGTTTCATGTTAAAGTCGGTCATCAAATACCCTCAAAATTAGGAATAAGATCAACTAGGAGAGTAGTTGATCCATTTCCAATTCCTTGATTCCCTATCTAAGTTTTATGATCTATGACTTCTCCAATCATGGTAAGTAAAAATTGATCAATCTTAAACCCTAAAGTTATATTGATTTTATACACTCAAAGAATATATAAGACAAGATACTATTTTTTCACTTTCAAAAAGCAAAGACATGAATAAATTGTCAATAATGACAGTTTTGAATACACACATCACGCTAAAGTTGATTTTCACACAAACCGTCACTGAATTTGCAAGCAAAGCCCAAAAGTTGTGGTGACAAACTTGGTTATTACGTGTTCGTTCTGAAGATTCACGAATCTGGACATCTTGCAGCAGTAAAACTGTGGAAGGGATGGGTTTTATCATTTCATGGCAAGCCTGCGTTAATAGAACTGACCATCGTTCTTTGATTAAGAGTCCATTTGAGATGGTTTCTATTCTATTGAAAACACTTCGCTCATAAGCGATTTTGTTAGAATCACATTGAAATATGTATACAAAAAATCCAAGTGCTTCATGAAAAAACACTTAAAGTACATTGAAATTTTTTTGTGAAAGGTTGTCAGAATCACTTTCTTTGGAGCTTGGCCATGTCTGAGCTATATTGCTCAGGCATTTAAAAATAAATCCCTATGGAAAAGGCTCAGTGATACATTCACTGGTTCATGACTTGGGTAATATCCCTAAGCTGCCTAACTAAATTAAGAAAACAACAGAAGAAAAAAAGAAGAAGATTGTTTTTGGTGGAGGCTCCTGACTTCTTTGGGAGTGATTTCATGCAGGGTTATTTAATAAAAATACAAATAAACCACACCTATCAATGCAACATTCAGAAGATCAGGGATTAAAAACAATTCGCTCAACTGTTTATGCATCATTACCACAAATGTCAAAAGCAAGCTTCTTGCCTTTTCATTTCTTTCCTGTTTCTTTTTGGTAGCTAAGCAGGTTGGAGGTTGGTGCATGGACTTGCCAAAATGGCAAAGATCTCCATATAAATCAATGAAAATATAGTATAAAAAAAATCCCATTGCAATTTGAGTGTATGTATATAGTTATTGAACAGGCACTACAGAAGGAGCAATTCAATAATTCAATTGTCCAACTAAAAAAATCCAACGATACAGCCTAATGTTGGTCAAGAAATGAAACCACTGAAAAAGAATAGAGAAATATCCAGACCCACCAAAGAAGGAATAGAGTGAGGGTTTCATAAGACATCTTGGAACTAGAACCCTTCTTTCCAATTCCTCCACTGCGAAATACCATAACATATGAAGCTTTATTGGATCATATACGAGCAACATATGAATTGGCAAGCGTGACATATCTTACCCACCGATATGGATTATAAGTTCCAGATTTCTTTGCTATTTGCAAGTACTTTACCTTCATAGGCAAGAGATGGAAATAAACAACACAGTTTAGCTATCCAATCTAACACATAAACAACATGAAAGTATTCATTGCACAATACACATAATGCAGGAACATGAACCCTCCTTGCACAGTCAAACACAAGGAAGAATGTATCAAGTAATCATTCTTTACCTACTGCCCTGTCAAGACCTACCTATAAAAGAAGTTTTAGTAGTTTCTTTTCTTTTCTTTTTCTTTTTCTTTTCAGAAAAGCACTGGGGATAGCATTGTTATAGGGCTGGGGCGACTAATGCTAAGAGGGTGGGATAGATATCAGGCATCATTGCCAACCTGTTCCATTACACAATATATTTCAAAATAAGAAATGACATTTTATGCATTTTTATAGCTCCATTAGAAATCAACCCTTTTAAAAATATTTAAAAAGAAACCTTTTCTGGACTATAACAAGGGCGTGCCATAGTCGAGATTTAGGTTAGGATGGGATATGAAATCTGGACCCACATTCAACTCACAGATTCAACTGATATTGGTCCTTTCAAGTCCAAAACGAGATAGCTTTAGAGAAACTGTTATTAGCTTTTTTATGTGCCTATGTAAACAGTTTTATAAAGACACCTGTGACCTAGTGACATGGATTGTATGGACAATTTATCAAGATGGGCTAGCAGCCCAACCCAACTCGTAGAACACAACCTGACCAAAAAACTCGCATAGCAATAGGATACGAGCAACAAATTCAACAGGACTCTCATAAAGAGATGAACAATATACAGAAAAGATTTTAACCATACATTTACACCCATTGCATGGTTTGAGAGAGGTAAGTATGAAACTTATGACAATGGCTTACCTGAAGTCTTGAAGAATTATACATAGGTATTGTAAACGTCATGCTAACTGGACCAGATTCTTTTGTTATATTTCCTGCATTGAGCGTGTAATGTCATGAATGTGTACATATAATGATGTGTACATAAAATGAGTATCTGAATGAAAGCAATGAAGGAGATACTAAACCCATAGTAAAACAATGATAAAATTATACCATGTGCTTCCGGTGAAAAGGTCAGTCTGGCACGCAGTGTATGTTCAGATCCACCAACAATCTGTTTTGCATTGAACTTGTCAGTATAGTAGATGTATTAAATGGGTGAAAAGTTAAGCACTGCTAAAACGACTACTTAATAACTCAATAACATGAACACATAACAAAATTGATGATAATTTATTGCCTTCTTTAAACCCCATTCAAGTCTCTTATTTGCTTCCTTGAAATCTGTTGTTTGCCCAACTGCTCCTGGTTCCAACTCAAAACTGGCTCTGAAATAAAGAACAATGGCACCAAAATGTCAACATTGAAATACGAAGAAAATTTTATAGTAAAATTCAGCATCTAATTAATAGATTAAAGAGTCATGCAAAAGCACTTACCATTTCATCATATCAAATGGTATAGTGATGGCATTGAATAAAACCTAATATTCTCTTAGCAATAAATAATAAGTAAACAGTTACCTGATTGTATATTTAGGTAGCGGCATTTGTACAGCAATTGTGTTTGAAGTAATGTTTGATGGGAACTCAGCAAATATTTTCAGAATCACTTCGGCCTACAGTGGCAATTCCAAACTGTAAATTCCTAACAGCACTACATGATCTATAAATGATATTGAAGAATACATATGCCACAAAGGCCATCATAATAGTGCAAGTCCAGGATATTCAATATCTTGATAAAAATCTGGTTCTTTATCTTCCTGAATATTTTTTTTTCTGGTTAATTTCACAACCTTAAACCATAAGATGAAACTTATGAAACAGTATTCACCTTAAGTGCTCCTGCTTCTTCAATCAAAGCATTAATGCGAAAAGGAGGCTTGAACTCCTGAGTCATACGGTAGTTCATGACAGGAAATTCACCATCAGGGGGTACCTAAAATTAGTAGCACGAAGCACCCATTTATCATTTAAACAACAGATGTCAAATTAGTCGAATACCTTTTATCTAAACAAGAATAATCTGGCTCAATTTCACTTACTAGGGTCAGAGTTTTGTCTACTTCAAAATTATCAAGACGTACAGATTCATGAAAATTACAATCATCAAGTATCACTGCTCCTGAGCCAAAGGAACTCCTATAGTCTGTAAGAGAAAGCAGCATTTGAGATTGTGAAAGGACTAGATATAAGTTTGATAAGAAACACTTGCCAAGATATAAACATATTAAAGCTACACCCAAGCATTGCAGTTGATGATTGTAGCCACTAGTATCATATAGTTCAACATTAGAAAGAGGGACTTTTCTTGGGGTCATATAATCCATTAAAAATCTTACCTCAAATTTTTAGTTCAATCTAAAAACTAGATAAAATTTCACAACTCAAAATCTTAAATCAGACCATCATGCTTTGACCATAACACCTCAGACAACTCCATGGCACCCACCATACACATGAAAATATTGATTTTCGAAAGATAGTTGTGAACTTGTAAAACATAACAGCAATTTGGTGCCATGTAAGACACATACCATATGCCGATCCTCCACCTCTTCCTATGCTCAGGTCCTCATTAAGAGCTAATCGGATTTCTGGATTGCCAGTGAGATAGCTCTTCATTTGAATGGTGCCATCAATCTCAGAAGTCAGTATGTACCCCTGTATAACAACATTAAATTAACTAAAAGGAATACAACAATGCTGCACATCTAATTGACTATATAGTACTGTTCCCATATATATTGAATAAATATAGGCAAGTTCGGGAAAAGCCTAGAATTAAGTCAAAAGAATCTGCTAGTAAAGTTTATGTGCCACATGCATATTTACAAGAATCATTGATGTGCCATTTGATTGGTTGGTAAATACTTATCCATTTTAAAAGTTTAAGGCTAAAGCTATGAGCAGTAGAACCTCAAAGATTATTTTTAGTCTAGACGCAAGTGCCCGAGATGAAAACTAGGATTTTAGTATTTATTTTACTTTCAGCTCTTACTTCGAAAACCCTAATATTAGCTGCTACTGAGCAACCTGTTCCTTGATAATCAGCCCCTCTATGGTGTATGAATCCATCTAAAACATAATTTATACTATCTTTGAAGAACCACATAAGTGGAATTTCCATATAAGGTCTAGAAAAGAAAATGCTTGAAATTAGATACAGCCTAAAGGGATAAGCAGTCACCTTTGGATAGCAAGAACACAACAGAATAAAATTTAAATACCACAGAGATGTCGTTGATCTCATTCAGAAGAACCACTGGACATACCATATGACATTAAAAAGGACAGAAGGTATACAGGATTTCCTTATCAAACCAAAGAAGTTCATGATAACACTTGGCTAAGATGGCATCAAATTTTGCTAGTTAGAAACTGTAAGAACTTACTATTATGTCTACTATAATTGTTATATTTTAATGCCTATCAGGAAAGAGTGGTTGCACATAATAGTCAATAAAAGACACAAATACTCACACTAGAGCTAAAAGTAACACTGATCTTCTCGATTATATCCACAAAAATTTCCTCCCTCTTCCTACCGCCAGGCTCACTTGCAACAACTGATTTTGTGACAGCTGTTCCAGGCATTCTCTTTGTCCCTTGCTGCATGCATCAGTTTTGGTAGTCAATAACTAAAATGCTACTAAGTTAACAACGGAAATAATATTCCACACATGCACAATTTATTTTCTGAAGTAATTAATTGATAGATGACACCATACCATAAAAAGGCCAGTAGGGCCAATAGATGATAAACGTGCAGAATCAAGAATAATTGGCTCATTAAAGATATAAGACTTCAACAGTTCAGTTGATGTTGTTTGCACAAAGCCAAAATCCTGACATGAAAAGACAAAAGTCAACTCACAAGTGATTCAATATATTCTCAATTTCCATGGATGATATTATCACAAAGTTTGAATGCACTTATCAATTTTATCAACATCTTTTGTTTCCTTTTTTCTTTTTTATTTTATATGAAATACAAACTTTCTTTGGATAGAAAATGAAAGTTATAACACAGGGGACAAGGTGTTCCCTGAATATCACTCATCAAAAAGTAAAACCATCGCCAACACAATAAATAGCATGAAAAGACCAGTCCCAAGATTCTGAAGAAACGTCCACAAGGATGTCCAGACTCCAACTCCGTCTCACAAATTATCCATATCCTTTCCCCAGCACCCTAAAAAATTATCTTGTTCCTCTTCATCCAAACAACCTAAAATATTGTCAATACAACACATCTTCTTAGTACCAAACCCCTTTTCCTCCCTCCAAAAAACTATAAGATTTCACACAGTAAAGCACCACATGAAGCTACGATTGCCCAACTCAAGCTGGCCTTATACAGCCTTAGCCTTATCGACAAAAAAAATACATAACTGGGCAAGGGAGCAGTCAGTAGTTCGTATATTCAGCATTGCCTTTGCACCATGCCAAGGTGCTCACCTTCCCATGAGCAATAACCGAAGCTAGAACCTACACCTTAGGGGTACTTTGGCCTTCCAAATTGCATTAGAGGGGCCACCAAGAGGAAAAGAAGACTCATCCATTAGTTTCCATGAATAGGACTTACAAGAAACAACTCCTGACAACTTGAACTCCCAAGTTCTCCTAACCTGCATAGATGGGATCAACACCATACTTTTAAGAATAGGTAGTCACTCTGTTAAGTTCCCCACTTATGAGTCACTCACGTTTCTTTGAAACCCAAAATCCCAATATAAAGGAGAAGAAGAAGGGTTCAAACACAAACTAGCACTAGGAGCATTATGAGATTGTGATAATCTGTACAAACAAGGAAGAGAATAAAATTTTGTTCCCCCCCCCCCCCTCTCTTCCCATAAGCCTCACCCTTTCTCCATTCCCCACCCCGAATCTGCAAAGAAAAGCAAAAGAATTTAGGCTTTGCAAGATGTCATTCCAAGGGCACTGACTTGAACCCCTGATCAGGACGTTATAATGCCAGCCATCTCATACAGCCTATATTCGCTCTTAATGAGAGCATGCCATATTAAATTCCTCTCCACCTAAAATCCCCCATAACCTTTCTCCCAACTTAAGCTTTATTTCTCCTTCCTAAGTTCTCCATAACCTTTTCTCCCAACTTAAGCTGTATTTCTCCTTGCTAAGTTCCCCACTCCTAAACCCCCTTTCTCTTCCATTGAGTCACCACATCCCATTTAACCAAGTGATCCTTTTTTCCTCCCTTCATTGCTTTCCCCCAAAATTAAAAAATAATTCTTATAAAAAATCTCCAGTCTCTAGACCACAGTTGTAGGAATCTTAAATAATGACAGGTAATCTCAAAACAGATTGAGTAAGTGTCAATCTTCTCCCTCTAAAAGGAAACCTCTACTCTACCCTTCTGCTTGTGAAATTGTATATTCCTTATCCATATATTTCAAAAACATAAAGTTATAACACTTCTCAAAAGAAAGGCTAGTTATCGCATTCTAAAATTCCAATCTCAAATAATCCAATTGATACATACATATATATATATATATATGTGCTAAACTTTAGTTTGAACAATTCTAATTAAAACTGTCCTTTAAAAGCACTAGTCCTTTGGATAACTGTAAGAATATAACCTTGGGGTGGGGGGAAATCATCATGGACAGGGACAAGTAATGTTTACAAAATGATTAACAGGAGGACGTTAATTCTAGATTTACAGAATAGGGTAACTAACAAATTACATTTTAAATTTTCAATCTAATATAAAAACTATCTGAGCGTATAGTGATGATAACAAGCATGAAGTCATATATGCTAAAGAAAGATCCACCGAATAAGTTAAAAAAATATAAGAGGCACTTACTATGACTTCATCAAGCAACTCGTACACAAGCACAAAATTCTTCCTTATAGAATCTTCATTGAGAACTCCAACATAATCTTTGATGACACGGGCAATTCTTTGAAGAAGTTCCAAGACAAGAGATGGCGATACATTAGCTCTTGTGGTTGCAACAAATAATAGTCCAACAACCTTCACATGAAAGTAGTTGACACCATCCACATTCTATCGATTGAGTAAAGAAAAGGTCAGCACAAGAAACCAAATATCCATTCCATGCCCAATCAAATATGCATGCACAATGGGTTATAAACCAAGACAAGACCTACTGTAACAAAGCAATACAAAAAGAGGGAATTGACAAATCGATATCATCATGTCCAATTAACCACTTTAATGGGTACACTGCGTACATGGAACCCATTTCACAGTTCCAGATATTCAAGGAAAATTAACCCATGCCAGACATTCCTCAGTAAGATAATACCTACAAAGACAGGTGGTGCTTCCTCTTGCCCATCTTCTTTCCAAAACTTCACCTTCCGGAAAAATATCTCCGCACTTCCTTTTGGTACTTCACCGCGATCTGCATTAACAAAATCATATATCAAGAAACATCTTTCAGCACTAAACTCCATCAGAACATATTTCTCAAATGTTTATTTATTTAGACTTTCTTATGGTGGAAAAAAAAAAACGTTTCTTTAGACTTGTTTTTCTATCTCTCGCCATAACCGTTTTCAAAAAGGTCAACATGGTACCAAATTCTTCAAAAAAAGAGCTCAATTTGTCTCTTCATAAACAAAAAATAATTGGGAAAATTAACAGTATGCATGTACGATCTAGGAAAAACCACTAGAGTCTAGAGCTGAATAAAACAGTGTTTTAGAGCTAACTCGAAATACCAAAAGCAACAAGTGATCTAAACGAAGATTGAACTACATAGGAACTGAGTTGCTGAACATTTTAGATCGGAATTAAAAATCTGAGTAACTGAAATTTGAGTTTGGATCAGTCGAGAGAGAGAGAGAGAGAGAGGAGAGAGACTGACAGTCGCGGAAGACGATGTTATCGCCACGCTGCGAGAGCACGAAGAACTGCGAGATCATGGCTTTGCTTACTTCTTTCTCCTCCCTGTGTCCGAAATGCGGTGGGCGTTCCTCAAGCTCAGCTGTTGAGTTGAGGCCCCGATTGCTTTTGTTCGTATATTAGACCAAACTTTGCTCAGCTAATCAAGTTTACAGTTTTACTTTTTAAACCGTTTTGTCTTTTAATTTTATCATTTTTTTTCTTGATACTCTTAGGGATTTCGCATTTGGTAACTTCTTTCAATATTTACCAGTTCCTCCATACCATTAAATATCACCACATTTCATCCTACTTCCTGTTAAAAAATCATTAAAAATTATGCTTTGAAAAAAATACTTAAGAAAAAGAGAAGGAGAACAAACAAAAAACAAGGCAAAGCTACACGCAAGCGAAGAAAAGAATCTCCTCTACCAAGTTCCGAACTTCATCACCTACATTGCTCACCGTATTGTCTGCTACACCGCCGTACAATCACACAATTGTTGTTAGGGATGTGCAAGATCCAATCTAACCAAATTGACCGATCCAATTCAATTCAATCCAATTTTAATCGGTTTCGATGATTTAACGAATTGGATTGAATTCCTAATTTTCAAAACTGACATAATTGGATCGGATGATAGATTCGCTTGTGAGAATCCAATTCAATCTAAGTTAGTTTCATGCTTATTTTGCTTATGTAGGTATTTGTAATTTGAAAAGTTATGAACATTTGAAGTCATTTAATGGGAGTTATATTTAATATATTATAGATCAGAATAATTTTCTTTAGCATTTTATTTATATTTTAAATATATATATATATATTAATATGTTTGATTATATTAAACATACTGATATATATTTTATATTTCATTATTTTATTTTCTCAATTTATTTTCACCATTCTCTAACTTTTAAATGTTCTCTAACTTTGGAATGATGAAAATATAAAATATAAAGCAATTTAAAGGTAAATTGGTCAATTCTCACTTCACCATTCTCTAACTTTTGCTTTATATATATAGATTATTTTTGGTGTAAAACGACCAATTTACCTTTAAATTGCGTCACATGCTTGGCACATGATAATTTTTGGGTAAAGTATCATTTTACCCCCCGAATTATGACTCTAATCGAACTTAACCCCCTAAACTAAAAAGTCATCTAATTTAGCACTTGAACTCATTATAATAGCTAATTTAGACCTTGCCACTAATTTTTTTAAAATTTCATCCAATTTTCCGTTATTAACAAGGATAAGATTATAATTTTGAGTAAAATAGGAGTAAAATATATAAAATAAAGAAAAAAAAATAAGATCTCTAAAATAAAATAACAATATTTGTAATTTTATAATTTTATAATTGATAGGCTTAATTGCTACAGTACACCCTGAAAACATTGGTCAATTCTCACTTCAACCCCTTAAAGTTAAAGTGACCCACTTTGCTTCCTTGACTAGGGTTTGATGTTCCACATTGCCTCTACTGTTAACTCAATCCAAAAGTTTGTTAAGTTTGATGGCGTGGTAGGGTTGTTTTAGTAATTTTGTGCACCTAGGTTTTTTTAATTACTTTAAAAAATTAAAATACAAACATAAAATTGAAAATGAAATAGATTTTAGAAAGAAAGAAAAAAAAACCCTACCCATCCCTTCTCCCCCAATCGCACCAAATCCACCTCTTCATTCTTTGTCCTTGTAAACCCCCCCTCCCCCCACCTACTAGAAACCCATTGCTCTCCCTACACCAGCAACCCACCCCTCCCTACGCAGAACCCAAAAACCTATTCCTTCCCCCCTAACCCGCAACCCACCCCCTCCTTACGCAGAATCTAGAAACCCATCACCCCCTCCCCTGACAACCCACTCTCCTTGGGCAGAATCCAAAAACCCACCCCCTCCCCTCCCCTCCCCCCCACCCCCATTGATTTCTTACACCTCCCCTGATTTCTTACTTGCTCCTCCCTTCCCCCATTGCCCCATCCCTTTGGTTTTTTCTACCCCACTCCCATATAACCCCAGCCCTCATACCCATTCCCTTTCTCCCCGACCCGTGCCCCTCTAGCCCATCTTCCCCATCGTAACACACCCTGCACACGTTTGTATTTTAATTTTTTATTAATTTTTTTTATCCATGCTGGAGGTGGGCTCCACTTTGCCACATTATCCACTCAAAGTTGTGAATAAAAAACCTAAGTGCACAAAATTACTAAAACACTTCTGCCACGTCATCAAACTTAACGGACTTTTGGATGGAATTGATGGTAGAGGGCATTGTGGAACATCAAACCTTGATAAAAGGGGCAAAGTGGGTCACTTTAACTTTAATGGGGTAAAGTGAGAATTGACCAATGTTTCAAGGTGCACTGTAGCAATAAGAGTTTTTCTATTTAAACACTACAGTTTTTTTTGTTCACCCCAATACTTAAATCATTAAGCTTTTAGGCCAAAAGTCACTTTTGATCCTTATAGTTTGGCACTTCAACCACTTTTGACCATATAATTTCAATTTCGTCACTTTTGACATTGTAGTTTCATATTTGGAGCAATTCAAGGACAATATTAAATTTTTGTTAATTTCTTTAACGGAGCAACCACGTGCCTCTCACGTGGAGGGGCAATATTGTCGGACCAAAACCCCACACTAAAAGTTGTCTCTACCTCTTCCTCAGGGCATGAAAATGGGCAATCAAAATCTCAAAATTCTCCCTCATTCAGTATCCCAAATTCCCAGCACCTACCAAACCAATCTTTATCTCATTCATCCCTTTCTCTCTCCCTACAGATCCAATCTTCCAAATAACCAATTTCTCTTCCTCCTTTCTCAACTCCCTCCACCATTCTCCACCTTACACCCACCACCACTTAGCATGTTTATGTGAACTTTCTTCTTTTGCTATAACTGTAACGGGCATTGAATTCTTCTTTTGTTATCAGACATGCGTTTTTGCTGCAAGTGTAAAAATTGGGTATAATGCAATCATATTTGACTAAAAAAAAAATACTCAAATGTTCATTGTGAAATAGCAATCAGATTTAACAATCATAATAGAAAGATACTAAATTCTTGGTTTTTTATTTTTTTATTTTGTATAAAGATACTTCATTAGAAAAGCCCCAGAAAGACCAAAGGAGGAAGTAAGATAGGAATAAACAATCCTGCATAAATACAAACTAGAACCACCAGGCAATAGCAACTAAAGCCAAATCCAAAGAAAACCATAAGTAAAAATACATGACACCAGCAAAGCCCTCCAACCATCGAAACAAGAAATGGTTGGTTTTACACTTTTGTACTTCATTTTCAAAGCAGCCACTTTCTCCTTCAATTGCTATAGTTGCTGAGTGGTGGTGGGTGTGAGGTGGAGAATGATGGAAGGAGTTGAGAAAGAAGGGAGAGAAATTGGTTATTTGGAAGATTGAATCTATAGGGAGAGAGAAAGAGATGAAGGATATAGAGATTGGTTAGGTGCTGGGAATTTGGGATAGTGAAGGAGGAAGGATTTTGAGATTTTGGTTGCCCATTTTCTGGCCTTGGGGAAGTGGTGGAGACTAGCTTTTAGCGTGGGGTTTTGGTCTGACAATATTGCCCATCCACGTGAGGGGCACGTGGTTGCTCCGTTAAAGAAATTGACAGAAATTTTATATTGTCCTTGAATTGCTCCAAATATGAAACTACAAGGTCAAAAGTGACGAAATTGAAACTACAAGGTCAAAAGTGGTTGAAGTGCCAAACTACAAGGACCAAAAATGACTTTTGGCCTAAGTTTTATTATTGTGTAAAAGACAAAAAAAGTCATACAACTTCATACTTAATCTTAGTACATCTATAAACACACCTGACCACTCTTCATAATAAGTTTTAGAAAAACACAAACTTTTCTACACCTTTATTTTATCAAAAGATTATTGAAGAGAAGTTTGTTTTATGAAAAGATATTAAGACCCTCTGCTGTTTGGAATAAAAATAAATAAATAGTAAAGTATGACCACAACCCTCTTTTCCCATTTTGAAATATGGAATTGGAATATGAAATTCTATTGTATAAATATCGAATCAGACAATAGAAATATTAATTTGTTAGGTGGATCAAATTGACATATAATTTTGATTTTTTGAAGTAGCAAGATGCTCTGGTTGCCTTTTGTTCATGTGTCTACTAATACCATCTCTAGTAGGGTATTTGTCCATCATTCTTCCTAGATCATTTTCAATTTTTCGAAAAAAAAAATGTTGCTAAATATTTGACTACATTGTTTTTATCTTATGATCTAAGTACACCATAATATTTTAATTAAAATGTAAAATTAACAAAGTACACCCTATTGAACTACCAAAAATACCCATAGTACACCATAATACTTATAGCATTATTTTATAATTGATTTTTAGCTTGATTTTTTTAATAGTGTTTATAAATCTTTGACTTTTCATATGAATTTATACTTCTACTAAAACTGTTGACACTTTTTTTGCAATTCCAAGTTCTTGCAATCACCACCTCTTTCGTTAAAAACACAATAGGACAAGCAATCTCTTGATTAGGGTTGAATATGGTTAGTAGGGTGTACTTAATAAAATTATATTTGTTTCACAATTCTATATATTCTTTTTGGTAATTTTATATTAGGGTAAATCAGTAATTCAATATATACTTTTATAGTATGGTGTCCTCAGTTAATTTTAGGGTTCGTTTAGCATCACTCTTTAATTAATGTGAGGTTGAAGTGAACTTAAAGTGGCGATGGACAAGATAGCGGGGGTGTGGGGTGTGGGGTGTGAGGTTGATGAGTTTTTTATTTTTATTTTTCTTGTTGGGTGTGTATTTATGGGTAGTTTGAGAAGAAAGTGAGATTTTCTTAGAAATTGGGAAATTTTGAATTAAAAGTTGGTGTGAATTTATAATACCGGCAAACGAAAAGAAGTGCGAGTAAAACTGAAAAAAAAACTAGCATTTCAAAGAGGCAAGAGTGCCAAACTTTGTACCAAGACACAACAGCTGGAGTGCAAAAATGAGAAGCTTGTCTTCTCTCTGCCGGAGTAGCTGGTTATCGAGGACAAGAAGAGAAGCTCCACACTCAATCTTATTCTCAAATACTCTCTGTACTGACAACAGTGATGGGGTTCAAAGCTCAAGGATCAAGATCTTCGATCGCCATTTCAGACGCAAACAGGTTCAAATCTCTTGTTCACAAATATCTGTGAAGTGTCTCAATTGGGCAATTGGGTTGAGGTCGGCAGTCTGAGAAATTATTGGATTAACTCATTTTCATTTGATTTTTCAGAAAAAATTGTTATTTGTTATTGTTCGGAAGGTGTTGAGTTTTCTATGTGTTTAATGTAGCTTCAGTAGCTACCGAAAGACGATTAGTATTGCTGAACAAATTTATTTAATTTCAGCTTGATCGAGCTGCTTGGTTGATGCGTTCGAAGGATTCTTTTGTTGATACTGTTGCTGAGAATCTGTTAGATCGTTTGGAGGTAAAAAGATAGTTCTTTTTAGTTTAAGTCCACTAGTTCTTTTTACGGATTGGGTTATGATTACAAAATAGTTTTTTTGCTTCTAGCATTTGTTGGCTTCATCACTCTTATTTCAACAAATGGTGAGATGTGATTGGAAATTTAATTCAAGTCTTTAGCTTTAAGAGGGTTATTTTTTCCTGAGTTGGTCTTTTTCTTGTCTCACATCTTTCTGTCCATTTGTAATGATAATCACACCACTTCTGACAAATAAACTATAGTAACAACCAAATTATTTCCCGGTTAGTTCTGGCATCTGTATGGCATTGCGTATCTTGGGCTATTTTGTAGCTGAAGAATGAGATATGTCATCATGCGGTCCTCTACTATAGTTTCTCTATGCTTCTGATGATTCTTAGATTCCAATTTCCTTGAGTGGCTATATTCTTTTGAAAGTTCCTGCCTGTCAATATGTGGGTTGATATGGTTGAATAATGTAGTTCTGTTTCTTTCCAAACTTAAGCCAACTTTCTTGTGTGATGTTTTTTCCCTTGCACAGAAGCTCAATTCCTAGTCTTGTATAAGATTTTCTTAGAGAAATGATTTGGTATCCAAAGCTTTTCTCATAACAATAACAAACTATTCCTAGTGCACTGGATTCCACCGTCATCTGATGTATTCAGTTAACAGTAGGACTGGTAACCTTCTCGGTGTATATTTTCCAAGTTTAAGTCCCTAGCGCTCAATATTCAAAACAAGATTTTTTGACTTTGTATTTAAGAATATGTATTTGTTATAAAGAGTAATGATAAATGCAAAGTTTGAGCTTATGCCATTGCAGTATCCATATGCGAAATGTTAGAACTGTACTATGTCATGACCTTTATAGTACCAATATTTTCTTCTTTTTTTAATGTTTAAATTGGTATTTGTCTCATATTGCAGGATTGCAAGAAAACATTTCCGACAGCATTATGTTTGGGGGGTTCGTTGGAAGCTGTCAGGCGTTTGTTACGTGGTCGTGGTAAGAAATTAGTTTTGTAATACCATTCTCCTTTCATCTTTGTATTTAGCTCTAACATATGGAGTAGCACATAATTTTTTTCCTCAAAGTTAATGAGATTAAATATGATTGTTTTGAGCCGTGTTTATGAAGATTATCTTATGACTAGTGTGATATCCTACATTCGTATCTGTGTCCTGTGATGGTGATTGTCTGATTAAGCTATCAATTAGTAGAGCCTTACCTAAAATAGTAGAATAAGAGTTTCTCTTAACTCTCTCTCACTCTTACTCTCTGTGGCACAAGTGTGCACAACCTAATTCACTAGTTGTTTCCAAGAGAAGATAACTAAGGCAAAAGCAGAACGTTCATTATGATGGGTATGACATACAGCATAGTGTGATTGCTCAATTACAATAACTTAGATAACTTATATTATATTATATTATTTTCTTTTAGGTGCCATCGAAAGGCTCATTATGATGTCTACATCACATGATATGGTAAAACTATGTAGAGATGCTGAGCATGGTGTACAGAGTGAAAACATTGAAACATCGTTTATGGTTGGTGACGAAGAGTTTTTACCTGTCAAAGAAAGGTATCCCCTCTAAATTTCATTTCTTTGTTAGGTTAAATTGACTATTGTTGGTGAGTTTTAACTTTTGATATGATGCCCTCTAATTTTATGTGTGAAGTTCTCTAGATCTGGTCATAAGTTGCTTGGGCCTTCACTGGACAAATGATCTTCCAGGAGCCATGATACAGGTATTTGCTCTTTCATTCTTGTTGCATGCCTCAGTACTCAAGACTCAAGATCAATTTTTATTTAAAGATTAAAAGTTCTGGAAATGCCTGTTTATGCTACTGCATTGGTTCATCATTTTCATATATTTACATACCGTCTAAGCTGTTAGCTATATATATACCAAAAGATTTAATAGATTTGGTCAAAGTCCTACACTTTATTGAATACTCAAATCCAGAAAGTCAAGAGTAGAACTACATAAGCATGCATTTGTGGAGAAAACTACACATCCACACACCAAGCACATACGTGCATACTTCTACATTGACACATAGATGTGAAAGAATAAATATCTGCATGATTTGAGTGATAATATGAGTACTTTGTTTTTATGAAACACTATTTTTCATGATATAAAATACCTAAATCTTAAAAACCTGATACACATGAAAACTATGTAATTGTTTAGATTTTATTGAAAAAGTTATTGCACTTAATGTTAATGGGAACTATGTTGCTTGTAATTTTCTTAGCTGACGAAATGATGGTTGTTGCTCTGGGAGAGTTCATTCCTACAAATTTACTGATGACTTTCATTTAATATTTGCATCCTTATTTCTTTTTGTTCTAGTTCTCTATACATGGTGTTATATGATCATCAATGCCATCATTGTCATCATCAGTATAGAATTCAGAATGTAACTGTATGGAAATATCTAAGCTAGATGTTTGTGTGTGACAGAGCAGATTGGCATTGAAGCCAGATGGCCTATTTTTAGCTGCAATTCTTGGTGGAGAAACCTTAAAGTTATTTTCTGTTTATCTATAGTTACTTTAAAACTTGACAGTAGTTTACTACTTAAGAAATGCATAGTTGATTATTTACTTCTTCTTTTTTGTCACTAGAGAGCTGAGAATAGCATGCACAGTGGCACAAATGGAGCGTGAAGGAGGCATCAGTCCACGAATATCACCTTTGGCACAAGTATGTAATTTATTGCATTGGTTTTCATTTTCTAAGGGATCCGAGTAGTTGTTTTGTTTTTCGGTCTGATATGGATTTTTCCATTTGGTTATTTGATATTTTCCTCAGAAGAATTTGTTCTTTTTAATAACTCCTGGAACGTTAAAAGAAGTAGTATAGTGGAATTTAGAGTGAGTCATCATTTCCTTTACAACTCTGTAATTTCCCAAGCATACTAAAATTGATTAATTCAAAGTAATGTTTGTATTTATATTGTTATTTTTAATGAAATCAAACATTCACTTGAGGTTAGTACCCCATTTCTTTTTCTTTTTTCCCTATTTTATCTTTCTATCAGCTTCTGCATGCGTTTGAAAAGGTAGTTGCAACTTGTGACCTTCCTGGAAGAATTGACTGTATCCTGTAATATTTTGAGCATAGTTGGCAACTTGGCAGGTTTCATCTGGTTGGATATGGATTGTTGTGAAGTTTTTTATTTTATGAGTGATCAATTATAAATAAAATTATGCCACTGGTGCGAATGCTTTGCGTGCTGGATGGAGAGCTGATGCAGGGATTTTGGTATATACTATTTCATATAAAATTGGATGACCAGAAGTGTGAATAATCATGGCAGTTGTTGCATGATATATTTGACATACCTTTTTTGATATTTGTGTTTTGTCGTGCTCTCTTTGCCCTTATTTTGTTAATCCCCACTGCGAATACTGAAACCCACATTTGGAATATTAAACCTTGCATGTCAATATGTAAGATATTAGGCCTCTCCACCCTTTGATGCCTTAATTTTAATGTGGCATCGGAAAGGGCAATCCATGTGTCAGACCCGATGGCCCAGACGTGCTTCATGTTACCCAATATGGTTGATCCATGTGTTTGCTCCAATCATGCCACATGTAAGGGGGCTCGTTGAGAGTATAGAACATTATTGTGAATTCTAAGCCTTGCATTACAAACAATGTATAATATCTTTGGTCTCCCCAATGGCGCCACATGTAAGGGGGTGCATTGAGAGTATTAAACACCACGTTAGGAATACTAAGCCTTGAATGACGATATATAAATCTTTGGCTTCTTCACCCATTGCCAATTCGTTTTGGGTTGGATGACTTAACTTTAACAATCTCCTTCTCGAGCATTTACTTATTATTCTTTATCATAAATGAATATCTTTTTCTCCTTCTTTCATTGTTTTGTTTCCGTAAAAGTATATTACTGAGTGGTTAAAAATCAAAATTTGCACATGTGAATCCTCATGCCCCCCTCTTTTCTTTTGGGGTTTAGGTGCGGGATGCAGGCAATCTTTTGACCAGGGCAGGTTTTTCCCTTCCAGGTGTTGATGTTGATGAATTTGTAGTCAGATATCCAAGTGGTGAGCATTCCCCTTCTAAGTTACAGCTCTGGACCTGTAACTGTAATAATTTTGGACTCATGAATTTACTGGCTAAAACTCGGATGTTCCATGTCTTAATATGTTCAAGCCTTCAATTTTAGCATTATGTGGTGTTTCTTTAAGCTTGATTGCATGTTGTCGTTGGAGGGGAACAGAAATCTGTTATACAAATATGGTAGTCTATCTACTGGTGTTCACTTTCCCCTTCCCATCTTAGGAGTTGCTAGACATGGTAGATGCTAACTTCACTTGGTCTCTTCATTTGAAATTGTGATATTTTTCGTAGTTCATTATTTTTATTTTTTGGGTTAAAGCTTTCATTCTTTTTGTAGACTAAGCTCCTTCAATCTCCTGTTACAAGAAGGGTTGATGGGGTAGGTGATAGGATGCTTTTTGTTTTTATTTTCAGAAGGGGGTGGGTGGGGGGATGATAACAGATATCTACTGAGTATAGTTTAGTAAAATCGTGTACGTTATGTCATGAGCATAAAGTCCCTCTTTCCAATGAAATGATGCATGTACATAGAAGATAAAAGGTCTATCAGTTTATGTTCTGTTGAAGTGGTGGAAGTTAAATGGAAATTCTTACCCCAGGTTGGTTCTCGGCTTTATAGTGCACTGTGCAAAGATTGAAAGTAGGGCTACTCGTACACAGGAACACAATAAAAAGTGTCTTTCTTGATGCCATATTTTGGTAGATTTTTATTTTATTTTATAGCTTAGGAGTCATGAATGAATAATTGATATAAAAGTATTACTAAGAGTGTTAACTCCCTCGAGGAAGTCACAGAATAGTTTAAAGTCTACAATTCCAAACACATGAAATAGTTAAAGTCCATAATGAATTTAACCTATTAGCAAACAAAATAATAGATGTCAGTTTTGAATATGAACTGACAAAAGGATAAAGAACTAGATACCAAATAAAAATTTTGAACCACGAATAAAGTTTGAATAAATTGATTCATATATGTATATATACTTTAAAAAGGGCCTATGTACAAAACAGTTTGGGGACCCTTTAACACTGGGGGCCTGTACCATGGTACAATTTGGACATGGTCAGGGATGGCCCTGATTATACGCTTCCATTCAGACTGTTTAATAAAATTCAGCATGCTTAGAAGGCAATAATTACTTGGACAAAGCATCTGATCCGAATTTGACTTGTGTCCAACCTCTAATTTTCCTCTCTTTTCCGGTTCCTTTTTCTTTTCTTTGTTTTGTTTGTCTTGGGTTACATAAGAAAGAGGAGTTGGTGGGGACCGGGTTGGCAACTTGTATGTCAAAAACATGACTGGTTTAGGCAGCTCTAAGATCAAACTCCTTAGTTCTACAAACTTTATTTTTGTTTTGAACTGATAAGCATGCATAATATTTGAAGGCAATGAGTACATTATATAGCAACAATTTTTTTGGGTGTGATTTGTCTTGTTTGAATATCATGTCTTACTCCTGTTGCCTAAGTCTATTGTCATTCATTATTTTTGGTCTTTTCCCTTCATTGTAGCCCTGGATCTTGTAGAACATCTGCGTGCCATGGGTGAAACCAATGCCCTTTTACAAAGGAACACTGTAAGATATATTTACTTTTGGGCAGACTGTTTGTGTACATTATCAAGTAATATTTATGTTTTACTTTTATCTAATCCTATTGATGGGTCTGATCTTCTTATCATTCAAATCAGATTCTAAAGAGGGAAACTGCTCTGGCCACTGCTGCAATTTATGATTCAATGTTTGCAGCAGAAGATGGCACCATCCCTGCAACCTTCCAGGTGAGCATATAACAAACTCCCTTACAAGTCATTTCTTGAAAAAATAGATAAGTAATAAACACTATCATAACTGGGGAAAAAACTAAAACATAAACGGACGTCTGAATGACCAGGGATCCTGTCAGGGAAGCTTTATATTGTGTCAAGAGTCTCAATTTGAACCATTGACCAGAATGTGTGGTTTGAAACCATAAGTCCCAAATTTAATTGGCTGAGCTTGGCTAGTCAAGTCTGAGTTGTGGAACCTACCTAAGCATGCTACCCGAAGCACCTTGGAGTTGAGAGAGAGGCCTTGACTTTGTCTTGATGGATGCGACTTTGACTTGATTGTCATGATTCTGTCTCTGCTTTGGTTTTAGTGTTGTCAACTGAGAGCTTGGAACAGTCGATTGTTTAGGGCATCTTTGTTGTACACATTTATGAAATTTGACAACTTAAAACGTGGACTAACAAGGTTTTGTATTCCTCTCATATACTGTCTGTGCCATGGACTTGTCTCATAATTAACCACTGAAGGGTGCTCTATAATACTTATGGAAAATCTTCGAGAAAGACATACGGCATGCTTCTTTTCATTTCATCACCACTGTCACATCGGTGTTTAAGAGGCGTTCTGCACCTTGTTCTCCTTGTATTATTGTGCAATTGCATAGCAATCTGACTCATATAGAATGCTGTCCATTGTATTGCAATAGTAGTGTATAAGCAAAGTTTGATGGCAGCAAGTTTTTGTTGATTGTAATTAGTAGGCAGTAGAGACTGCAATTAGAGCTCGAATCGCCCATCATTTTCTGTGTATTACCACTAAAAAAAGAAATGGAAAAATAAGGGGTTCCTTGTATGTTCAGTGGATCAATGCTGGCAACGTGCCTTGATAATTATATGAGTGGTTCTTGGTTTTGCAGGTTATTTATATGACAGGGTGGAGGGACCATCCATCTCAGCAGAGGGCAAAAAGGAGGGGCTCTGCAACTGTGTCCTTTCAGGACATCCAGAAGCAATTTGGAAGTGAAAGTTGATGAACTCTTTCTGCATGGGGCTTGGCTGTTGTTTTCTAAGCATATGAAAGTGAATTTTCTCTACAGGTTCATGATGTAGTTCTTGAATAATACTTATAGGAGCCACTTGTGCATGTACTTATTTTGTGAGAGAAAAACAACTGCGGGACCAAAATGTGCGGTCTCTGTTTTTTTTGGACAAAACCAGAATGTGTTGTTAATCAAGATATTTTAGTGGATACTTCCTTTTTGGGTAATTTCCAATTTCTCTTTTGGAGGTAGTTCTTACAAACCCCAAAATTTATTATGTCACATCCTAAAAAAGATAATGGATTGTGTTCCATAAAAATAAGATTCATTATCTGATTTTTCTTTTAATTTTAATTTTTTTAAATATGAAAAAGTGTGAATAGATCATATTATCCTCATTTAATTGATAATTTCAATTCTTAAACTAAGGGTATTTTCTGGTATTTTGAATGTTTTACAATTCTCTTTTGCTTTATATATATAGATAAAAGAGCGCCCTTGCTATTTTAAATTTATAACTAATATATTTACATATCAAATAACTATACCCTGAAATTTTACATATCAAATAACTATACCCTAATAGTTATCAAAATAGGAATTGGATTAGTAATTGTGATTAGAATGGAGATCGTAATATTGTAGGGTTTAGGGAAGTCGGCATAAATTTTGTTTCCTTCCCTAGTTAGGAAAGTATACAAATGTCACTATATATAGACACATCAAATCAAATACAAAAACACAATGAACAGAAACCCATCCTTTCAAAACCAAGTTCTTCCGATCTCATGGCTTTTTACAAGTGTCTTTTTTTCGCATCTCTCATATTTAGCTCAGTTTTCGTCACCATGTCACAACAAGCTTGCACGCCCCAAGCCTTCAACCAAAAGACCTTTGCTGCATGCCATAATCTACCGATTTTGAACTCCACGATACACTGGAATTATTACCCCTCCAAAGGCACCGTCGACGTGGCGTTCGCACAAGCCGTGGTGAGCGACTCCAGATGGGTTTCATGGGCCATAAACCCTACCTCCACTGGCATGGTGGGCTCCCAAGCTATCGTGGCTTTCAAGAGAACAGACGGAGCTATGTCCGTTTACTCGTCCCCGATCAAGAGCTATGGAACTCGTTTGGAGCAAGGAAATCTCAGCTTCCCTCTGTTTGATGTCTCCGCCGTATACGAGAACCACCAGATCGTCATCTTCGCCACCGTAGGCCTTCCCAACAACGTCAGTGTCGTCAACCATGTTTGGCAGCAAGGACCTTTGTCCGGAAACACACCGCAGATGCATTCCGTGTCCGGACCAAACGGTCAGTCCTTTGGAACTCTGGATTTTCTTTCCGGGAAAGTGGAAACAGTCAGGAGGGGAACGAGTTCTGTATTCAGAGTGAAGATTTCTCATGGAATTATTAATACCGTCAGTTGGGGCATTCTGATGCCCGTTGGGGCTATTGTGGCGAGGCATTTCAAGGCTGCTGATCCAGCATGGTTTCATGTTCATAGGGCGTGTCAGATGCTGGGATATTTTGGTGGAGTTGCTGGGTTCGCAACCGGGCTTTGGCTCGGCCATAAATCTTCAGGGGTTGAATATAAAGGACACCGATGCATAGGCATCACTCTTTTTGCTCTTGCAACACTACAGGTGTTGGTTGCTTTGGGTTTGAGGCCCAACAAGACAGACAAGAAGAGAGTTTTCTGGAACTGGTTTCACTACTTGGTCGGTTATGGAACAATCATTCTCGGCATTGTCAACATCCTAAAAGGATTTGATATGCTTCAGCCAGGAAAATGGTGGAAATTTTCATATCTTATCACCGTCGGTGTTTTGGGCTGTGTTGCTGCAGTGTTAGAAGCACGCGCATGGTTTCTAGTTTTGATAAGGAAGACCGATCAAGCTGCAGAACAAAATAAGGATGACACGAGTGTAGTTTAAGATAGTGTAAGAAGTGATAATTAGCTTTACAATTGTATTTACTTATTTTCGTGTCAATTGTATTTGTACTCATTTTAATTTCAAGGATCATATATAATATTTTTTTGTTTTTGTTAAAGTACGTCTCAATTTGATAATGTGAATGTCAACCAACACCTATAATATAATACTCTTTAAACATATTAAAATATTCGTTGCGTATAGCCGCGCGGCTATACTATTCAAACTTCAAAAGCATATCATTTTCTTTTTTAAAATATAAAATTAGTTTCTTTAGGACAATAAATATTTTTTTATTTTCTTTTTTATAATTAAATAATATCTTAGCATTAATTAATTAGTAATTATATTATTTTTATTTTTATTTTTAGCTAGGTCTAATTCGGCAAATAGTTGCCGGCATAGACCTGTGTCGATGAAATATAGTGGGGACACGTACGTCTTCTTGCTATTTATTTATTTATTTATAAAATATAAAATTAGTTTCTTTATTATATTTTTTGCCCAACTTCTTTAATTCAATATATATGTCATTAAGTAATATCTTAGTCTTTTTAATTACTTCAATTAGTAATTATATTATCATTTCAATATAGACGAGCAGCTATACTGTTTAAATATTTGAATGTATTTAGGAAATATGACAAAGGGCACCTATAAATATAAGCAACGTCATCATATCACTTTTCATACACATGCAACACACAAACAATGCATAAATTTTCTCTCAACCCTAAGCGCACAGAGGAACAAAGCTAAAACGTAAATACATACCATATCTAATTGATTCATTATCTCAAGGCTCAACTTTGCTACAGGGAAATCCAGATTTTTATTGTTATATTTAGAGAGTATAGCCGTGCGGCTATACACTGTAAACATAACAGGGGATAAGCCATAAACAGTTCGAGAGTATTCTGTTTTTTAAGACCTCTTGAAACAATTCGAGACCCTTCTTTGATATGTAGCTGTAGTGATGAATGTCCATATCTATCTCAAAGTAGTTAGGACCAACATGTGAGAGAGCTTGATAAAGTCAAAACAACATGGTTTTTATGTTTCATCATCTTAACACTAGCAATGTAAATGTTCAATATTTACCTTGTAAAAATTGTGCTGGGCGGCTATACCTATTTTTGACACGTGGCTTTAAACGATAGAGGTTCTTTTATTATTATTATTATTATTATTATTTATTTATAAAAAAAGGGGTACAGCCGCACGGCTATACTCCATGCTTTTAATTTTTTTAAAGACATGTGCTGACACGTGGCGCCACATGGCTGGAGTATTTTTTTTATATTTAAAAATAGTATTGCCGAATGGCTATACCTAGTTTTGAAATATTTTTTAAAAAGACATGTGTTGACACGTGGCGCCTAATGGCTGGGGTCTTTTTGTGAAATTGTTTTTAAAAAGACATGTGTTGACATGTGGTGGCTACTGTCGGGAGTCGTTTTTATATTAAAAATCGTATAGCCGCACGGCTATACTTAGTTTTGAATTTTTTTTTAAAAAGTCATGTGTTGACACATGGGGCATAATGGCTGGGGGTCTTTTTTATATTAAAAAATAGTATAGCCGGCTATACTCAGTTTTGAAATTTTTTTAAGGAAGACGTGTTGACACGTGGCGCCAAATGGTTGTGGTCTTTTTTTATATTAAAAATTAGTATTGTCGCGTGAGTATACTCTGTTTTGAATTTTTTTTAAAAGACATGTGTTGTCACGTGGCTTCAAATGGTTGGGGGACCTTTTTTATATTAAGAAATAGTATAGCTGCCCGGCTATACTCAGTTTAAATATATATATATATATAAATATAGTATAGGCTAGAGGCGTTATTGGTGGTTTTTTTTTTTCTAAATTGAATTTAATAAATAGTCTAGACGAGCGGCTATAGTCTTTTACATATGTATTCATATATATATGAGGGCGGATCTGTGGCACTATATTTTTTATACAAGTTTTAAACCCTTGGATTAGCCCACTATCAATGGATGTAATTAAAGAAATTAATTATTTTATTCTTTAAATAAGCAATTATAGAAAATAAATTTTAATTGACTTTTTTTATTTCCTCTCTCTTCATTTAATTAAGTTTTGATGGCTTATTGACACAAGGCACTTCTTCTTCTTCTCTTCTTCGTGCCTTCTCATTAACACCACCTCCCTTCTTCTTCTTGCTTTTTCCAGTAAGCCTCAAATCACATACCAGCCATCCAATTTCAGCAAATCATTCCATCTAAATCACAAACTAGCAATTAATCCTTAGAGTTAAGATTTATATTGATAAATCATTGTTTTAATAATCTACACAAGAAGTTGCAGAGTAGATCACATTAATCTAGCCAATTTGTGGGCGTTGGAGAGAAACTAGGTTTTTGTTTCTGTTCAATCAAAATTACTTCAGAATTAAGGAAGTAATGCACCTTAGTTTTCATTCTCTTTATTTCCTATTTTGCTCTTGCCCTTCGTCCCTCTACATCTTTGTGTCTCTCTCTTCTTCTCCATTCATTCATCTCCCCTCTACATCTTACAATTTCCCACCAATAATTATTAGAAAGAGAGAGAGAGAGAGCAACACAAAGTTAGACCAACCAAACCATAGAGAAGAAATATTGCAACAAATATGGGCTTTTCTTTTAAGTATTAAAATCCTAGCTTGAGACAGATTTTCTATGTCGTGGGAGAATGCTCGGTTGGTGCAGATGAAAATGGCAAGGTTTTGAAGAGAGAAAATGATAAGAAAACAAAAGGGGGAAAGATAATAAGTGATTTTTAGGATTATCATAACTAATAAATAAAAATGAAATTTACTTGGCATTAGAGATTTAATTTAATTTAAGTAATTAATGAAACATAATCTCAACCATTCAATCATTTCTAATCTAATGGTTGAAAATTTGTGTCAAAAATATAGTGCCACGGATCCGCCCCCTATATATATATATATTTACATATATACATATATACACATATGTAGGTACGTATTTTTCAACAATACATTCGTGTGCTATACACGTCTCACGTTTTCTTTAAAAAGCAAACATACAATAGTCGTATTGTACGTGTACATACGTATTTCTAGTATTTTATACACATATTTTATACAAAATTTTCAGTAACACACACAAATTCAAATTAAAACCAATTAGTTAATTATTTAAATTAAAATTTCCACGTACTTTTTACAAATTTTTCAGTGACACACACAAATTCACGTATTATACAAATAATTCCGGGCAGCTATACATATTTTTGATACGTGGCTTTAAACATAGTCTCTTCTTTTTTATATATAAAAAAAGGAGTACAGAACGACTATACTCAATGTATTTAAATTTTTTAAAAAGACATGTGTTGACACGTGGTGACACATGGCTGGAGTTTTTTTATATATTTACAAATAGTATAGCCGACGGGCTATACTCAGTTTCGAAATATTTTTAAAAAAGACATGTATTGACATGAGGCGCCTAATGGCTGGAGTCTTCTTTATATTAAAAAATAGTATAGCCGGACGGCTATAAGCAAGTTTTGAAATTGTTTTAAAAAGAAATGTGTTGACACGTGGGGCATAATGACTAGGGGTCTTTTTTTATATTTAAAAATAGGATAGCCGAACGGCTATACTCAGTTTTGAAATATTTTTTAAAAAGACGTGTTGACACGTGGCGCCTAATGGCTGGAGTCTTTTTTATATTAAAAAATCGTTTAGCCGGACGGCTATACTCAGTTTTGAAATTTTTTAAAAAAAGTCATGTGTTGACACGTGGGGCATAATGGATGGGGGTCTTTTTTTATATTAAAAAATAGTATAGCCGACCGGCTGTACTAAGTTTTGAAATTTTTTTAAGGAAGACTTGTGTTGACACATGGCGCCAAATGGTTGTGGTACTTTTTTATATTAAAAATTAGTATAGCCGATCGGCTGTACGGAGTTTTGAAATTTTTAAAAAGGCATGTGTTGACACGTGGTTTCAAATGGTTGGGGGACCTTTTTCATATTAAGAAATAGTATAGCCGCCCGGCTATACCCAGTTTTTCAAAACAGAGAAAATATGGTTTTTTATATTAAGAAATAGTATGGACACGATCCTCCTAGGCGAGAGGCATTACTGGTTTTTTCCATGTAAACAAACAAAAAAAGTGCAAAATCAGAAACATACGTAAATTGGACGCCATGGTAGCCACGGATTGAGGACTTGAACTCGTCACTACGAACGTCTAGGGCACAGAGCAAGCCCGTTCCAGGTTTCGAGCAGTGTTCGAAAAATCGGCCTAGGCACTAGGCGGGAGGACACCAACGCCAGGGAGTTAGGCAGCGCCTAGGCGGCCTGGGCGGATTTAGGCGGCCTGGGCGGATTTAGGCGGCCTGGGAGAATCTAGGCTGTGCCTAGGCGGCCTGGGCGGATCTAGGCGGCGCCTAGGCGGCCTGGGAGGATCTAGGCGGCGCCTAGGCGGCCTGGGAGGATCTAGGCGGCCTGGGTGGATCGTGTCCATAGTTCTCCAAAGATTTACAAGCAGCAAAACAGAGAAAAGACGAGAATCGTGGAGAGTTACCAATCCTTCGATCTGAACAACTCCGAGAGGGGAAGCAACCTCCTCTGTCGTTGCCACCTGAAGAAAGGATCTTGCCACCGCTGTACAATCAACAAAACAAAACCAAATTTTCACAAAGAAGAAAAACAAAAGCATTCAAATTTACAGATAAAATTACAGAAAGAGAATTGTACAGAAACAATAGTTGCCGTGTTGTAATTTCACGGAGAAAGCAATAGAAGAGAAGAGAGACAGAGCAATAGTATAAGATGGGAAGCTTTGTCTCTCTCGGGAGCGGAGGAACCTCCAGGTCATGGGGTGTAAACCTTCCAGGTCATCATCTGGTCATTATTAAGGTAAGAGATATGTTAATTTTCCAATATCAATCGCAGATATATTGCAACTGATGGTTTTGGTTACACATGACTATATCGAATAAAAAATTGAAAGAAAGAAATATTTGGATGATCCTCTTGTACAAGATCTTACATGAGCATAGTTTTCTACAGATGTTTAATCCAGCTTACTATGGCTGGCTTGGACAATACTGAACCTGAAGTTCTCAGCTTTTTCTTGTCCAGGTAATACCATGCTCAATTCTCATGTAGATTTATCTGGCCTGAGGAAGGGTTGGATGTGAGTTAACCAGACCTTCAGAGACCCCAAAAGCATGAGAAATTATGACCTACTCATTAAAGTGTTGTTAGAAGGGCCACTTTGGAATTTAGCCATTTATATTTTTGTCTGCAAGGACAATGTGATTTATCTAATTATTTATTTTTAACAATTACTCTTTGACTCGGATGATTTGTTCCTTAAGAAAGTAGAGTTTTCACCTCTCCTGGCCTCTTCTCATATCTTTCGGGTTCTTTTCAGGGTTTATGGTTTGATGGAGATTCTTCCTTATGGATATGATGCCATGCATGAATGTTGAACTTGCTGACTCGCTAAGCAAAAGAGGAATATTCAGCGTACAGCAACTATTGTATCTCCCCAAGGCAACTTTGCAGACCATGATTGGAAATTTTCCTGCTTCAAAATTGTATCAGGTGCAGACTTCTAAGATAGTTGACACATGGCTGACTAATCCACAGGTCAAGATTTAACATGACTGGACAACTTTTTGACTGGGCTGGGTAGGTTATTGAAATACAAGTCAGTTATTTGCTTTCAGGCATGTTCACTGATTTCAGTAGGCATTGCATCTAGAATATTTTGTTCTTCTAGGATATGCAGCCTTTTCCACGTATCAAAGTGAAATTAAAACTTCAGCAGAAGGACAGCGGAAAGTCTCGCTCTTTAGACATCACACCGGTGAACACCAATTTCAGGCAAAACAAATTAAGAGCGTTTACCCCGCATTTCCCTGAGGTTAAAACTTCTTCTTGTTCTAAACTAGTAATAAGAACCAAACTGAGCTTCAGATTCTATTTTACAGGTGAAAACGAAGCATGGTGGTTGGTCCTTGGGAACACCTCAACATGGGAATTATATGCTCTCATAAGAGTATCTTTCTTTGATCACTTGGTTACTCACATGGAGTTACCATCAGTTCCTAAGACTCTCCAGGTACTATGTGGCTTTTTCATGCTTTGCTTGCTAACATTTGTTTTACCATGCTTTCCAGGGGATGAAATTGACTTTAATTTCAGATTGTTATCTAAGCAAATTATTGAACTGCAGTAACCAAAGCAAGATATATTATCAGTAGATACATATTGGACCTTAAGGTGTATATCAGTAAATATTCAAATATATTTACAAAGTTATACAAAGTATAACCGTGCGGCTATACTACTTAAATATATATATATATATATATATTTCCTTCTTTATGTATTTGAGTGAGATTGAGTAGTAGTTGTGAGTTGAGTCTCTTTCCCTCTTCCACATATATTTCTCAGACTCTAACCCTAGAAGGAAGGGGTTAAAAAGAGTAAATACCATGAAGACTTTTTTTAGGACATAGAAATTTAGATTCAAAACACATTCAAGCAATTTTATACTCTGAAATTCAACATTCTTTGATCCACAAAAAGTTGGTGGATCCCTTTTGTTATTGTATTTATGGGTTTAACCCTTATTATTTCTTATTCTTGCCCAAAATAATTGAAGAAATAACTCTAGCAGAATGAGCTAAAGTGGTATTTTAGCCCCAAGATCTGGAAAAAAATTGTATATTTAAAGAGTATAGCCGTGCGTCGATACGATAGAAAAATAAAAATAAAAAATACAGCCGAGCGGCTATACTCATAAAAAATTAAAAAAGAGTAAAGCCGCCCGGCTATACTCGTTAAAAATAAATATAATATACTCTAATGTAGAAAAGGATATAGCCAAGCTGCTTTTTTTTTTTCTTTTTTTATTTAAAAAAAAAAATCTAGCCTCTAGTGCCTGATTATAATGTAAAGAATAATACTAGTCTTACCACATTTTTTATACCACAATTTTATACCACATGATGTGGCAGCTGATGTGTATATACCACATCATGTAAAATACTAGTTTTTGTTTTTCTAATTTTATTTATTAAAATACACTTCATTCATTTAATTGATGTGTCATATGCCACATCATGTGGTATAGAAATGTGGGATAATAATGTGGTAAGTGTAGCATTTATAATGTAATACTAGAATAATTATACAATAATGCTACGGGCACCAACTTGTTTACCAACTTTTGGATACCAACACATGTGGCACATGACATGGCAACCCATGTCATCTTCCATCTCATCTATTTTAATTACATAATTTGTTATATAAATAAAAGAATTTCTCACCAAAAAAAGATATAATTAAATTAAAAAAACCCAAAAAAAAATGTAAACTAAATTTAATATGTGTCTATAAGGCATGTTGAGGGGTCAAAGAGTGAAAGTTTTGGTCTATTTGGGGGCACCAAAACTCAGGCCCATTTTCATGAGCCCAGTTACACGAGTAAGCAGAAAGAACAACCACCCTCTTCTACCAGCATCAAAGCCAGAGCTACCCACGTCTCTTCCACAAGCATTAAAACCTAGCTTCTACCATCTCACCATCCATCATTAAAAACTATATTTAACACTCAGCCGCCAACGTCTTACCTCCCAGTATTAAAGGCCAAAGACTTATCTTTGCTTCTCCTCCAGCACCTATAAATGGGAGGCATTGGGTTGGCACAGTGGGGCGGCACAGCAGGTTGGAAGGGGAAGGGGATAGAGGTTTTCATTTAAATGCCCTCTGGGATGTGTTTGCGATATTTTCCTTTTCTATTCAATGACAAACGTCATAAATGGATAAATATTATCACATAAATTACTATTACCCGATTCAAGGCATAAGGGGCAACATTAAAACAAAAATGATCTTTTTTTTATAAAAAAAAATACATTAGAAAATATTAAAAAAAGGAATGTAATCCTATGTGGCACAAAAGTCAAAGAACTTGTATCAAAGTCACCAAATCCGAGGATTAAACCAAACTTCTCAATGAAAATTGGATTTATATCAACTTTTCTGAAAATATAACATCCTAGTTAGTATACACAGATCATTTCACCAGTTGTTGAAATGAAACTAGAGATTTTTTTTCGTATTGTTGAGGCCCAAAATGTCAAGAGAAGCCCAAGAATATTCAAAGCCCAACATAACGTCCAAAAGTTGTCACATGCTAATCCAAGTTGTATTTCAGGAATTTATTCCCAAATGAATATACGAATATTTTTTTATACATGATCAAATAGTGTGCATGTCATGCCAAGCAAATGTCAAATAACTATGTGCAAGGCTAATACATTTTTCAATGTTAAACCACCCAACACACTTAAGTAGGCCTACACCAGAAACATGCATGGGGCTTGCTGAGCAGTTGTGGCGTGGATGGTTACAAATGTCTATAAGGCCCTGTTGAAGGGGTCAAAGAGTGAAAGTTTTGGTCTGTTTGGGGGCACCAAAACTCATGCCCACTTTTCATGAGCCCAGTTACACGAGTAAGCATAGAGAACAACCACCCTCTTCTACCAGCATCAAAGCCAGAGCTACCCACGTCTCTTCCACAAGCATTAAAACCTAGCTTCCACCATCTCACCATCCATCATTAAAAACTATATTTAACACTCAGCCGCCAAAGTCTTACCTCCCAGTATTAAAGGCCAAAGACTTATCTTTGCTTCTCCTCCAGCACCTATAAATGGGAGGCATTGGTTACCGAGAAATTGAGTATCGACTCAAAACTTGGCAAAAAAGAAAAAGAAAAAAGAGTATCGATTCAATTTATGCATAATATTTTAGTGCAGAGATTTATGATAATAAATAATAAGGCTCGCTCGAGATTATGCTTAATAAACAAGACCTTAAATTGTGTATATTGTAATTAAATTGGGTATGATGTATGACCTTGAAAGATACGCAGATGAAGGAACTGATTTGCAATGAATAATCATGCACTAGCTAGTAGCGACGTCCTTATAATATGAAAAACCCACGTCCACGACACTTGCACCTAGATTATCGTGCAAACATATATTTTGGCTTGAATTCTGACTTTGATTCCCATATTGATATCCACCTTAGAAATATTGGCTATCATGGAGGATTGTTGAATTTCTAGGGTTTTTCAAGAAGGGGGGGAGGGGCAAGGAGGAAGACGGAAGGGAACTAAATATTAAATGGGTTTTTTTTAATTTAATTATATCTTTTTTCGGTGAGAAATTCTTTTATTTATATAACAAATTATGTAATTAAAATAGATGAGATGGAAGATGACATGGGTTGCCATGTCATGTGCCACATGTGTTGGTATCCAAAAGTTGGTAAACAAGTTGGTGCCCGTAGCATTATTGATGTATTATCTTGCACATAGTTATTTGACATTTGCTTGGCATGACATGCACACTATTTGATCATGTATAAAAAATATTCGCATATTCATATGGGAATAAATTCCTGAAATACAGCTTGGATTAGCATGTGACAACTTTTGGAGTTATGTTGGGCCAAACATAAAGCTTCCAAAAGAAAATCCGTGGCAAAAATGTAAATTAAATATCATGATATTTCCCAAGATACACCATCTTTTTAATTTTTTTGAAAGGCATGTGCTGACACGTGGCGCCACATGGCTAGAGTCTTTTTTATATTTAAAAATAGTATAGCCGGTCGGCTAGACTCAGTTTTGAAATATTTTTAAAAAAGGCATGTGTTGACACGTGGCGCATAAGGGCTGAATATTTTTTATATTTAAAAAAATAGTATAGCCGACCGGCTATACCCAATTATGATTTTTTTTTAAAAAAGACGTGTTGACACGTGGGGCATAATGGCTGGGGTCTTTTTTTATATTAAAACATAGTATCGCCGCTCGGCTATACTTAGTTTTGAAATTATATATATATATATATAGTATCAGTGAGAGGCGTTATTTTTTATTTTTTTTTCTAAATTGAATTTAATAAATAGTATAGACGACCAGCTATAGTCTTTTTCATATGTATTCATATATATATATATATATACAAATATACGTATATACACATATGTAGGTACATATTTTTCAACAATACATTCGTGTTCTATACACGTCTCATGTTTTATGTAAAAAGCAAACATACAATAGTCGTATTATACGTGTACGTACGTATTTCTAATGTTTTATACACGTATTTTTTACAAAATTCTCAGTAACACACACAAATTCAAATTAAAACCAATTAGTATATTATTTAAATTAAAATTTTCATGTACTTTTTACAAAATTTTCAGTAACACACACAAATTCACGTATTATGCAAATAATTCTCACATATTATTGAATAAGAATAACATATGGTATAAAACTTATATTAAAACATCAAATAGAGGAAGATTAATATCAATTTGCAACATATCCAAAGTTGATATTAATCTTTGGATATGCCTCGCGGCTATACACTGTAAACATAACAGGCGATAAGCCATGAAGAGAATATTTTAAAAGACAGTATAGCCGATCGGCTGTACTCCATAAAAAGAATATATATGCTCTACAAAAAGAATATTTAAAGAGAGTTTTGCCGCGCGACTATACTCCATAAAAAGAATATTTTAAAAGAGTGATTTTAACAGTATGGCCACGCGGCTATTCCATTTTTAAAGACCTCTTGAAACAATTCGAGACCCTTCCTTGATATGTAGCTGTAGCAATGAATGTCCATATCTATCTCGAAGTAGTTAGGACTTGCATGTGAGAGAGCTTGATAAAGTGAAACAACATGGTTTTTATGTTTCATCATCTTAACACTATCAACATAAATGTTCAATGTTTACCTTGTGAAAATTGTGCTGGGGCGTGAAAAAACTCATGTACAAGCTTCTTCTCAGCAGAACTCCGACAGAGATCCTCAGGATTTACCACCCCAGCCAAGACAAAAAGGTACAGTGGAGTCCTTTGCGAATCCTTTAACTTTTTCCCGTCTCATCATCAACCATTTTCTAAAAGCATCATTCAAATATGTCAATAGACTTGAGTGTTCCAATAGAACATAAGATCACATTTCCATCAGGGAGAGTACATCAGAATAAAGTACATGCCTATCCAAATGGATGAAGTTGCATACAAAATGAAGTTACCTTGATGCTGTCCTAGAATTGAGGGGAGATGTCTTTATCAAAATTCTCAGAAACTTTGAAATACATTACAAGACTCATCCCCTCTCCATCACTATCACCAAGAAATATTGCAGTAGGACAAGTAGGCAACTGCAACAAGGCGCAAAGCAATATCATTAGATATTGCCAAAATATAACAAACAAAACATAACAAGATAAATCAATTATGGAAAAATACCTGTATGTTTACAATGAACACTTTCCCATTTGCTTTCACTTTGGGAAGCTCAAGATGCTGGGCAACGTGATGTATCTTTTTGGGGCATACAAACACATCAACACCTGTATATGGACTGTAGTTCAGAGCAGTTGACTTTCGTTGTCTCTGGATGGTAGACCAACAGAAAATAATATTATCATTAGGAAGGCAGAACAGAATAATTAGTTGCAAATGTCTAAATTCAGTTAAGGTTGGTTTTGACAAAAGAAAAAACCAAAGTCATACTTGAAATAGTTCTCGCCACGGAATTTAAAAGTTGAGGGTGGAATCTAAGACCAAGATCCTGAAGCCGGCTTCTCTACTCTACAACATGGAATGATATATCCTGGTTTAGGCCGATACAGAAACCTTTTGATTGACCTGTGGATATATCATTGAAATGTTCAGTAATATACATGTACATCAATCCCAATATTCTAAGTTTTCTTTCTATTAAAAAAAAATTTGAATTATTTGAATGCTTACATTGTTCAATGGTTTCTTCTGCATCACATGATCTCTTTTTAAAAGAAAGTCTGAAAACGGCTGATGGCTAACACACAGAAACTGTAAGCCATACATCAAATTTGATGTCCGAAAGTTTTTGTCTGTAAGTCAAGTTGATAATCATTATAAAACAGGAAAGGCTTGTTAAATAGGGTTGTCACAAATTATCAAAGTGCACATAATCATACAAGATCAAACATCGTTGGTTGGAAATTATAGAAGCCCTTCTTCTGTGTCACCAACCTGCAACAAACATGAACCTCTCAGAAAATTTGAAAACTTCACATAATTAAACAATACGCACGAATTGGATTAAAATAGTTTATTGGATTCTGTGTAAGAAAAAAACTATGGCCGAAGTTACAAAGGACGGCCTTTGTTCACCCACTTCACACATCCACAGATAATTAAAACGCAAGATTATGCATGTAAAATCCAACCACTACATACTACAAATATTAAAACTCAATATCAAACTCATTCACGTAGTCTAAAGTAGCGACCACCCCTACAGTGCTATTCCACTTGTACAGTCAAAATATTTAAATAAATAAAAAATTATAGGCATGTAGTTGCAGAGCAGAAGATGCAAGGAGTTTTCTAAGTGACTTTATTAGACAGTAACATTAGGCTTCTAATACTAGAAAGAAATCAATAAAGCAGAAAGGCATGGGTGAGCAAGGCCCAATTTTCCCATCTTATACTATTGCTCTGTCTCTCTTCTCTTCTTTTGCTCTCTCCGTGAAATTACAACATGGCAACCCGTTCGCACAATTCTCTATCTGTATTTTTATCTGTAAATTTGAATGCGTTTGTTTTTCTTCTTTGTGAAAATTTGGTTTTGTTTTGTTGATTGTACAGCGGTGGCAAGATCCTTGCTTCAGGTGGCAGCGAGAAGAGGTTGCTTCCCCTCTCAGAGTTGTTCAGATCGAAGGATTGGTAACTCTTCATGATTCGCGTCTTTTCTCTGTTTTGCTGCTAGTAAATTTTTGGAAAACTATGCATGCCTAAGTTGATTATAACTATGGACACGACCTGCCCAGGCCACCTAGATCCTCCCAGGCCGCCTAGGCGCCGCCTAGATCAGCCCAGGCCGCCTAGATCCTTCCAGGCCGCCTAGGCGCCGCCTAGATCCTTCCTGGCCACAATGGCGCCGCCTAGATCCTTCCTGGCCGCCAAGGCACCGCCTAGATCCTTCCAGGCCGCCTAGGCGCCGCCTAGACCCTTCCAGGCCGCCTGACTCCCTGGCGTCGGTGTCCTCCCGCCTAGTGCCTAGGCCGATTTTTCGACACTGCTCAAAACCTGGCACGGGCTTGCTCTGTGCCCTAGACGTTCGTAGTGACGAGTTCGAGTCCTCTATCCGTGGCTACCATGGCGTCCAATTTACGTATGTTTCTGATTTTGCAATTTTTTTTGTTTGTTTACATGGAAAAGGATTATCAGAGCTAAACCCTGGATACATTAAAGAGTATAGCCGAACGGCTATACCTTTAAAATTTTCAAATATATTTAAAACGTATAGCCGCACGGCTATGCCTCAGGTACACCATCTTGCCGTTTCCAATAGGAAATGCAAGACAATCACTCTAGCAATAATTATGACAATAACAACTTTGGACACTTACAAGTATGTTTTTCTTAAATGGTGTTGAGTAGAAGTGTTGATCAATGCTTGAAGCTCCCTTTAAGAACCTTTGAGTAGAAAATATAAGGAGTTCTTAGATCTAAGTTGAAAATGATTAGCTGTCATTGAATTTAGTCCACGCGTTTTTGGTTTTAGATGTAAAATTTTATTACCTTTTTGTTGTGTCGATTTACCCATTGGGGTACATAAATAAAACACATTGAAAATCTAAATTTAATGCATTATTTCCTCGTAATTGAATTTCATAATTTAAATTTTCAATTCTTTCCTTGGTAATATTTACCTAATATATGGATAAAATTTAATTTAATTCATGACAATGAAAATCCACATATTATACCAATTACTCACTCAAGCACCCACATGAAATTATGTACCTAACATACAGGCAAAGAGTGTTATTATGAGCAATGGAAAAAACTTAGTGATAAATCGCGTTACCTATAAGTCAAGAACATAAATTAAAAGATTACCTATAAGTTAGAAACATAAATAAGAAGACAACCTATAATTTGGATACAAAAATAGACAAATAAAAATTGTATGCTACCTATTTAAAAAAATGGTACATAAAATACTATTATATGTTGTCGAAAATATGAAAAATACATATATATACCTACACCATATGATAATATATATACAAGAGTATGTAATATACCTCTACCATAGGGTGAACAAAAATAAAATTTGTTACCAATATGTCATGTGCTAAATGATGTGCTCCTGTATTTGCTTCCTCAAAAACATGTAAAATAAAGGCTCGAGCAAATTGAGCCAAAATAGACATGCTGTCATCCACAAAGCACCCTGCTGTGCCAAATGAATTTCAAGTGACATTCCGTATCTTACATCAAAATTGACATCAAAATGGTCCCCAAGAAAAAGGAATTGCTTGTTGCAATAAAGGCTGCTGATGTGAAGAATAAGTGGGAGAACAGCTCTTGGGGTATGAAACTGATTGTTCGTAAGAGAAGTGCATCTTAGGAAATATCATGATATTTAGTTTACATTTTTGCCACGGATTTTCTTTTGGAAGCTTTATGTTTGGCACAATGAGGGAGGGGTGAGAGAGGTGGGTTGGCACAGTGGGGCGGCACAGCAGGTTGGAAGGGGAAGGGGATAGAGGTTTTCATTTAAATGCCCTCTGGGATGTGTTTGCGATATTTTCCTTTTCTATTCAATGACAAACGTCATAAATGGATAAATATTATCACATAAATTACTATTACCCGATTCAAGGCATAAGGGGCAACATTAAAACAAAAAATGATCTTTTTTTTTATAAAAAAAAATACATTAGAAAATATTAAAAAAAGGAATGTAATCCTATGTGGCACAAAAGTCAAAGAACTTGTATCAAAGTCGCCAAATCCGAGGATTAAACCAAACTTCTCAATGAAAATTTGGATTTATATCAACTTTTCTGAAAATATAACATCCTAGTTAGTATACACAGATCATTTCACCAGTTGTTGAAATGAAACTAGAGATTTTTTTTCGTATTGTTGAGGCCCAAAATGTCAAGAGAAGCCCAAGAATATTCAAAGCCCAACATAACGTCCAAAAGTTGTCACATGCTAATCCAAGTTGTATTTCAGGAATTTATTCCCAAATGAATATACGAATATTTTTTTATACATGATCAAATAGTGTGCATGTCATGCCAAGCAAATGTCAAATAACTATGTGCAAGGCTAATACATTTTTCAATGTTAAACCACCCAACACACTTAAGTAGGCCTACACCAGAAACATGCATGGGGCTTGCTGAGCAAGTTGTGGCGTGGATGGTTACAAATGTCTATAAGGCCCGTTAAAGGGTCAAAGAGTGAAAGTTTTGGTCTGTTTGGGGGCACCAAAACTCATGCCCACTTTCATGAGCCCAATTACACGAGTAAGCATAGAGAACAACCAGCCTTTTCTACCAGCATCAAAGCCAGAGCTACCCACGTCTCTTCCATAAGCATTAAAACCTAGCTTCCACCATCTCACCATCCATCATTAAAAACTATATTTAACACTCAACCGCCAACGTCTTACCTCCCAGTATTAAAGGCCAAAGACTTATCTTTGCTTCTCCTCCAGCACCTATAAATGGGAGGCATTGGTTACCGAGAAATTGAGTATCGACTCAAAACTTGGCAAAAAAGAAAAAGAAAAAAGAGTATCGACTCAATTTATGCATAATATTTTGAGTGCAGAGATTTATGATAATAAATAATAAGGCTTGCTCGAGATTATGCTTAATAAACAAGACCTTAAATTGTGTATATTGTAATTAAATTGGGTATGATGAGTCATATGACCTTGAAAGATACGCAGATGAAGGAACTGATTTGCAATGAATAATCATGCACTAGCTAGTAGCGACGTCCTTATAATTATTCTAGTATTACATTATGAATGTCCCATTCACTAGCGGCTAGACTTGTATTTATTTAATCAGGCACTAGCTGCTAGACTATTTACATTATAATCAGGCACTAGCGGCTAGACCTTTATATATATATATATATATATATTTTTTTTAAAAAAACGTATAGCAGCTTGGCTATATCCTTTTCTACATTAGAGTATATTATATTTATTTTTAACGAGTATAGCCGGGCGGCTTTACTCCTTTTTAATTTTTAAGAGTATAGCCGCTCGGCTGTATTCTTTTTTATTTCTTATTTTTATTTTTCTATCGTATCGACGCACGGCTATACTCTTTAAATATACAATTTTTTTCCAGATCTTGGGGCTAAAATACCACTTTAGCTCATTCTGCTAGAGTTATTTCTTCAATTATTTTGGGCAAGAATAAGAAATACTAAGGGTTAAACCCATAAATACAATAACAAAAGGGATCCACCAACTTTTTGTGGATCAAAGAATGTTGAATTTCAGAGTATAAAATTGCTTGAATGTGTTTTGAATCTAAATTTCTATGTCCTAAAAAAAGTCTTCATGGTATGTACTCTTTTTAACCCCTTCCTTCTAGGGTTAGAGTATGAGAAATATATGTTGGAGAGAGAAAGAGACTCAACTCACAACTACCACTCAATCTCACTCAAATACATAAAGAAGGAAATATATATTTAAATAGTATAGCCAAGCAGTTATACTTTGTATACTTTGTAAATATATTTGAATATTTACCGATATACACCTTAAGGTCCAATGTATTGATACTTTTTTAAAACTATCTATAACTATACACCTTAAGGTCCAATATGTATCTACTGATAATATATCCTGCTTTGGTTACTGCAGTTCAATAATTTGCTTAGATAACAATCTGAAATTAAAGTCAATTTATTTTAGAAGTAAAAAAGATAATGGGTAGTTGTGTTCCATAAAAATAGAACATATTATCTTATCTTGTTTTCATTTTTAATTTTTTTAATACGAAAAATGTGAATTTACCAAATTATCCTCATTTAATTAATAATTTCAATTCTTAATGTTTGAATTAACCAATAGCATTTTCTGGCATTTTGAATGTTTTCATTCTCTGCTTTTGCTTTATATATATAGATAATTCAAGTTAAACCCATAAATACAACAACAAAAAATAGGGATCCACCAACATTTTGGTGATAAAAGAATTTTGAATTTCGTAGTATAAAATTGCTTGTATACAAATTTACTTTGTATCCATCGTAATTATGAACTAATCCCAATGACAGCCTTTTTCTCATTGCACTTGACAACCCTGCTCTTCTGCTATAAGATACATTAGTTCGCGTTGTATTCTCTGCTGATGAAAAATTGGATATAAAACAATCTAATGAGACAACGAAAAAAAGTGTTTTGAAATCAATTGAAGGTATCAGAGGTCATATGGGATCGATATATATATATATATATATTTGAACTATTCTAAATGAGATTTCAAATAAGGTGTTAGATAGAAGTAGCATCTCATTCTTATATATACCATACTAACGTGCACCTGAAATTCCCAATGTTAAAAGGGGAGAAAAGTGCAATACCTCTCTTGTATCTCGCAAGCATAGGAGATCCAACCTTTCATGAGGACGCAAGTTTGATAAAGAAGCAAGCTGCATCCAATCATACATTAATAACGGCAATCATAGCCCAGAATATACTCGATTTTAATAAAGAGAAATATAAAGCTACCTAGAAGCAGAAACGCTCAGGATCATGTAGTAAAGGCATCATCGCTTCCACACCGAGAAGTCTCTCAAGTCCTCTTCGCTTTGTAAAGAAACATTATCATACATATCAAAAGGGCACATAGGTATACTGAACACAAGAATAAGGGAAGAAACCATTCTTATGTACACTGACATTACATATAGACTGAATTTGAATGGCTTGAATAAAGACAAATTGTCACAAGTAAATAAGATATGTTGATCTAGAGATAAAGATCCTCCCCAAATGTTCCAAACAGAAGCTTCCTAAAGATGAAATCTGAATATGACAGACATTTCAGTGGAACAAAGGGTTTAACCTAATAAAACTAATCTTTCATTTCCAACGATTACAACTGACCACCAAAATGAAACATGCAATCTCAGTCTGGTAGTAATATTCACCCAAAATAATGGAAAATCTTATTCAGGATATTCTGAATGGTCATCCAAATACCTATTATAGAGGATTGAGAAATTGAACTTATGGAGATAACCCATTAAAAAAAAACAACAAAGAAGGTAAATTCCAAGTTCATTCAATTGATGTCATTCCTGAGCAGTTTACCTTGACGTGCTGCTCTTTTACCCCGCCCTATCTACAACCGAGCGTACTCTGCTGCATTATGTGTCAATTCTTGCAACTGGACAGAAATAGAAGTTAAACCATATAGGCGCAACCAATATAAGGGGGAAAAACATGGAAGAACTTTGTCCTGCATCGTCCTACAGTGATGCATGTTACACTTCAGGCTATTAATACATTAGCTACAGGGCCTTATAGCAAACCAAATTGTCATGAACTTACGTCTGCTCTCTCTCTAGACCCTTCTGGTGGATATATGTCATGTACCCCATATGGTACCTGAGGAGCAGATCAAAAGACAAATATATTGAACAAGAGCAGTAATTATTGATCAAATGAATGGCTAGACATCTCATAAGACCACTCACCCATCTTGGTCCCAAGATCGAATTATACGAAACCGTTGGCGACTTTCAATATGATAAAATAGTATTATTATAACTATGTGAATGAATCATAAAAAAAAAATCATAACTTCAAACAAAATGCATTATGACATGGAAATATTTATCATAGATAAGCCTATTAGTTAATTTGCAACCTCGGGTGTATAAATAAAGACCAAAAATAAAGGATAATTGTTCATTAAATGAAAAGTAGATCAATTTTAGCATTCATAATGCATTAAAACAATGTAAAAAGAGCGGAAAAGTACAGATTGAAGTAAAAGGCACTCGTATCTAACCTCTAAATAGAAACGTCTCTATCTGTCTGTCTCTGGTGTCTCTTTAAACGTCAAACAAGAAGCAGCAAAGTCTTAGCCCTCCGCATGCTGTGAGTCTGTGACTGTTGGCTTGGATTCATTGAACTTGTTTGAATTGAAACCAACCATGACAAAACTTGTTTTTATGTCCCCACTTTGACCAGACAACACACCATGCGGCTGCAGATGGAAAGAATTAAATGGTTCCATTTGTCTCATTCTCTAACTTGTAACTTGTAAGTAGTTGTTCATGGGATGGGGTCAATTACCTCTTTCCTCCATCAGCAACAAAAGGGTATCTGCACTGCAGCCTAGCTAGCTTTGCTTTCACTTCCAAGAATACACACCTACGACTCCTTGAAGCAAGTAACTAATTAATTAAAAGGCTAAAAACTAGTTGAAGGTGTCTTCCCCTTTCATTCCAGAATTGGAATAAACAATTATGTATGCTTCTTTTGACATCACCAAAGCCATAAGGATTATGCATATCTAGACTGCAAGCCTCCAAAATAAGCTGTACAAAATTTCAACCAAAATTTCTTTTGAATCTGTTGAAGAAGATTCCATTGGCCCATACTATTACCTCCTCCTCAATATCAAACTCATTCACATAGTCTAAAGTAGTGTCCACCCTACAGTGCTATTTCACTTGTAACATTAGGCTTCTAGTACTAAAAAGAAATCGATAAAGCAAAAAGGCATGGGTGAGCAATGCCAATGCGCCTCCTGCTAGAAACCTTAGTCAATATAGGAACCAAATGAAAAAGATACCACACAAATTTTGCATTACCTTAATAATGACCAGATGATGACCTGGAAGGTTTACACCCCATGCCTAATCACTATATAGAGTTAGAAAATGATCTTTTTTATATTCTCTTTTCCTAATGTGTTTTTCAGGAAAGACTCATGCTTACTGAGGTAAAACAGAAATGCCTGAATCTTGTTGTTTGCAAAAAGCTCCTCAACCAGAGATCTATCTTCCTTATTCAGACCGGCATGGTGTAATCCAATGCCAAACGGCAAGGTGTGCCTCAGGTTAAAGAACCATCTGCTGGGCTTCTTCTGGCATATTAAGAAACCGTCTTGGATGTTCATCTAAGGTTGCGAACTTCAATAACAGAAAGGCACAAAAAAATAGAATCAACGCAGCAGCCGAAACCGAAGAAAAAATATCGAAGCTTCAGTTGAGAGAGAGGCTCAAGACCGAGTATTTCAATTTTGTAGATTGGACTGCGAGTGCAAGCTTCGTCTTCGTTTCTCTGTCTCTTCATATCACTTGGAGGGAATGATTTTCCCCACAAGAATATTCGTCAAAGATTCCTTCGTCTTCTCCGCTTCTCTTTCTCTCTGCAAAACAGATCGGAGTAAAAGGACCACACCCGGGGGGTGTTGGCCAAAGGCCCTCCGATGCCTAAGTTAGGTAAGGTATTTCAAGGAAAACCGGGTGGCCGGAGCCGTGTGTGGTGGCCGGAGCCTTGTGTAAGGGAGAGAAAGAAAGTGGTGGCTAGGGTTTGTGAGAAATGATTTCTGCAGAGTTTCAGTAGGAATTTAGACGTACCTCCACCATTGTGTGTGGCTATGCTTTTATAATGGTCTTGGAGGCTAGGGTTTCAGAGGAATAATTCCGTAGATGGAAGGGAATTATTCCTCCCCTTTATGGAATTGATTTGATTTAATTAGGGATTTGATTTATTAGGGTAAATCAAATCCCTAATTGTGGTAGGTATCAAATCAAATCCCATTTCAATTAGGTAACTCCTCATTTAATTGAGAATCGGGGTAGGAATTAGGAATCAATTCTCAACCCAATTAGGTAGTCTTCAATTTAATTGGGTAACCCCCAATTAAATTGAGTAACTCCCAATTAGGTTTATTAATTCCCAATTAGGTCAAATAATCCCCAAATGGAATGAATTATTTGACCTAGGGTTTTGGCTTAATTTGGTTACCACATCACTCACGCACCACATTCCTCTGCGAGTGCAAGCTTCGTCTGTCTTCATTTGTAAAAAAAAGGACACGACTCGCCCAGGCCGCCTAGATCAGCCCAGGCCGCCTAGGCGCCGCCTAGATCAGCCCAGGCCGCCTAGGCGCCGTCTAGATCTGCCCAGGCCTCCTAGGCGCCACCTAGATCCACCCAGGCCTCCTAGGCGCCGCCTAGATTTCCCCAGGCCGCCTAGATCCGCCCAGGCCTCCTAGGCGCCGCCTAACTCCTTGGCGTCAGTGTCCTCCCGCCTAGCGCCTAGGCCGATTTTTCGAAACTGCTCGAAACCTGGAACGGGCTTGCTCTGTGCCCTAGACGTTCGTAGTGACGAGTTCGAGTCCTCTAAGCCAATCAACTGATGGTTTTGGTGACGAGTTCTGTGCTCTGTGTCCGCGCGACTATACTATGTAAACATTCAAATTTACTGAAAGCGTATAGCCGGGCAGCTATACTGTTTAAATATTTTAATACGTGTAAATAGTTCAGCCGAACGGCTATACTTCTAAAATATTCGGATATATCTAGCCATATACTCTTTAAATAGATTTATTTGTCGAGTATAGCCGCGCGGCTATACTATTTAAAATTCAAAACTGTATCATTTTCTTTTTTAAAATATAAAATTAGTTTCTTTAGGTCAATAAATAGTTTTTTTTAGTGAGTAATTAATATTAATTATTTTATTTAACTCATAAATTATATTACTTAATAAATAGTAATTAACTATATGATGAGTAATGTTTAATGGGGAATGCTAGCAACCTTCTCTCCAACCTTCTCTTTTGGACCTTCTCTCTTTTCTTCATGACATGTGTCTATTTCCTTACACTTAAAACAATGTAATCAATGCACCAAACAAGCCATCATTAGTTTTTCAATTTTACCCTTATTTTACTGTTTTCTTTAATTTATCCAATTTTTTTGACAAACTTCTTACCACCTTGTTAAAAATTAATTAAGAAAAAAAGTTTTTTTTAAAGACTCTAAAGGCAATGAGACATTCAAATAAGACTTAAAAATTAAATAAGAACAAAACGTTAGTTTTATTTTTTGTTGCCTAAAAGATTCCAAAGGGAGTAACGGAGACATTGGTTTATATCTAAAATTTGGTATGCCATAATTTTAGGGATTTTTTTTTCTTCAAATAATCAGACTCCAAAGGCAGCAAGGGATATAAATAACTATAAATAAAACCATGAACTTCCTATGGAATCTGATTATTTGGGGTTTATTGATATATATTTTTAGTTGTCACTGAAAATGCTCTTTAACTTTATTTAGTAGTATAAAAAAATGCAATTAATGAACTTCCTTTTGAAGGAAGTCTTTTTTCTGTATAGTATAAAAATGTGATCTTTCTATTGAGTGTTTTTTAGGTCATTCTTTTGTGTTTAAAAAAAATATAAGTTTATCTCTGAAAAAAATAGACATTTTCTTTTTTTTAAACTGACATTTTTTATTATTTAATTTTTTACATATGGTAAGAGAGTTGTAAAATTGTTTTTGAACAAATTGAAGGACAAAACATTTAATAAGGGTAAACTTGGAAAACAAATGTTAGCTTGTTTGATGCATTAGTTACATTGTTTTAAGTGAAGGAAAGTGACACATGTCATGAAAAAAAGGGAGAAGGTTCAAAGGAGAAGGCTGGAGAGAAGGTTGCTAGCATTTCCCATGTTTAATATCCAAATCGAATTTGAAGCCTAATTGGCTTCTACTTGGCCCAACTTCCATTTACTTAGTATAGGACTACCACACTTATAAAGACTTCACTTTTTCATCCTTTTACCAATGTGGGACAAAAATCCTTGAATTTCATTCAAACTTTAAACAAGTATAACTATAAAGCATTAGCTATGATCCTTCTTGAACAAATAAGCAGTTTATCATTAACACCTACAGGTCCCTTAGTGCTGCCTGGCTGCAGGTCCCTAAAGCCAATCAACTAACTACCACTCCCCTATCTTCTTTTGCAGTAATAAGACTCATGTAGTTGTGTATTTTTTATTTTTTTTTGGTGGTATTATTGAGAGCAATGTTATGTGCGTGGCAAGAGATTTTCTTTTACCTTTATCCCTTTATATATACAAATAGAGATAAGATGCCTAGTATCACAAAGCCATATTGGGTATAATAGTGAATCTCCTTTAAAAACAATTGTTTGGTCTGTATTAAATTACATTCGGGTACATGCAAATGTGTGGTGAGTACAAGCACGCAATGCAGCTATGCAAATGGTTTCATCTTTAGTTCTTTTTTTGAATATAAGGGATAGTCTAAATTGCAAGGGGGAGGGAAGTTTCTCTCACACACGCACACACTACCAATGTGCTATATGAATTCGAACATGAGACCACTAGTCTGCAAGTCAAGGCCCTTTTCTACTAAACTACACCCCCTTTCATCTTTAGTTTTTACCACATAAGAAAAAAAATAAGTTACAACATGCAAGTTATGATGTGATTTACAAACCCACCCCCTTACACTTTCTCCCCATAATTATTAATACAATTATATTTAATGGAAGAAGCAAGAAATTTAGCACCAAAGTTCTCGATCTTTGTCCAAGTATCTGCCTCCTCCTACAGGTCTGGTACCATTCATATCAAGAGTCCATTTCTCAAACGTACACCTCAAGAAATCATAATATCCTCCATGAAGAGAGAGCATCTCTTTCTTTGCTCTGTCTTCTATCCATGGGTATGTCCGTAAATTCAATAATGAACTATTGATTGATTCCTGTAATAGAATGAAATTTTTTATAATACCCCAAGGATGACCACATTTAAAGACTTGCTCTATATCTTTTTTTATCAAATCCAAAACCAATTGGTAACGAGTGGAAATTGCATGAATCTTTTAATATTCTTAGGCAATACTTTTAATTCCCCGTCGTGGGATTCACACTCTCAATAGAATCTGTTCTGTTGAATCTCCATTAGTTAGAAACAATCTATTGGCCGCATTTTAGGAGACGTTTAAAACCTTTCTTTTAGAAATTAATCACAAGTAAATAAGCCTAAGAAGAGTATCAAGTGGAAAGGACTCAAGGAGTACCTTCTCACAGTGTCTGCATTGCTGATCAAAGCTAAGGTGTGCTGCAACAGCTTTTGTTCTTAGTTTCGCAACTTTGGCATTGATAACCCAACTATGAGTTAAGCTACTGAAAGCAGAATCACAGAAAGAAAAAAAAATTTGCAGCATTTAAAGAAAATTGATGTCCTGAAAATATCATGTGAACAAAAGTGAGAAAGGATCAATTGTTAAGAAACCTTGAATCACCATCATCTTGCATTCTCATGAGGGTCTCAATTCCTGCACAGCTACTGTGGCCAATGACTAATATATTCTTAACCTGAAGTCGGCCATGAACATTTTGATCAATTTTCAAGGTCGCTAGCTCCAGAACACCGAATTTGGAGATGGATTCCGATTTTAAGCAAAGGGCAGTTAAGTTATACATAAACACACAGGTTGAAAGAGATTCAAGAGCAAGATGACATACTTCAAGAGTATTTACTGCAAACTCAAGGGCAGCATTAGTTTCTGATGCTCCATTCTGCGAAAGACAAAGGTTGATTTGCAGGATTTGATAGTTTATATTTGAGAATTGAAAGAGCAGAAATTGTAGAATACAGATGAGCCAAATATATACCTCAAATGGGGGAACAAGGTTTGCTACATTTCTAATCATGAATGCTTCTCCAGGTTGAAAGCCTAGGATGTTAGAGGGACATACCCTAGAGTCTGCACAAGCAATCACCATGAACTGTTTTTGAACTTGTAAGTTTATTTATATGGAACTGTCCAATTTCAAGCTGAACAGAAGCAAGAAGTATTAAAAACAAGATAAAAATTAAATTTGTATAATTACCTTGGGTGCTTGAGCTTGAGCTAGAGTTTGGAAATGCTCTGACTCTTTCCTGTTCAATATAGTATAATTACCATACAGACCAATATGCAATCAAGTTGTGTGTAACATTTAACTGCTACTTACAAAAATTTGTGCTTCTTAAAACTCAGAAACCTCTCTTTCATCTCACCAAACAAGTCAGGCCCATTATTAGCTTTTGACACATTTTCTCCTTCACAATTTGAACATTCATGGGCAAGTTCCATGGAATGATTTGAAGTCTCCAGCCTTCTAACTGGGTGTCTTCTGCAAAAAGACAGCCGGTCATAGCAGTTATGGTGGAGCTCTTAGTGGTATCATAATATATCTATAATATTAAAATTCAAGAGTTTCCCTAGTCATGAATTTCTGTTTTCTTTTTTGGGTGAAAATGAATTTCCTCTTTTCCATAAAGACAGATTAAATCATATTTCTTGTGATCCAGAGATTCAAACATGGAACTAAAATAATAGAGATAGTGAGGTAAAAAAACAATTAATGTAACATTTCAAGCACAATAATTCATATCAAAGAGCAATGATTGGAAGATATACTTACTTGACTGAAGGCAGTAATTCTACATGGGTTCCTTGTTCAACTTCTGCAGAATTTGTCTAGGAATTTTCACATATTAAAAAAACAAAATCTGGGTATCAGTGAGGCAACCGATTTGATAATAAATATATATTATTGAGAGCTTGAAACAAGTACCAGGTTTGAGGCAGAGGATTTTCTTCTGTAATTGCTACAGGTTGAGGAAGGTCTTAGAGCTGCCATTGTTGAAAGAATCCGACGAGCTTTTGAGCCTGCAATTGTGAAAACAAACAAAGATTCATGACTTTAATGATATACAGGTAAGTTGGTTGGTTGGTTTCTGACAATACTTACGGATTGGGAAGACCATCTCTGTTCGTTCCCGCCTTCACATGCGGTCGGTCCAAAAGGATGAGGTTTAAGTTCAAGAAATAGTTTTTATTTTTTTATTATAATGAAACGTGAATACAATACAGAAAAAGGCTTGAATCTTATCCAATCCCGACCCATAGTCATCCAGAGTTTGTAAAGTGACGTGGATATGCCTACTTGGAACTATATGGTTTTGAATGGGAAAAATAAATTTAGAATCTGAAAAAGAAAATTCTGAATTTTTAAATTGACCATACACCAATAATCTTATTTGATTTCATTTATAAAAAATAAAAATAAAAATTGAGAAATTCCACAAGGAGAAAACGGGTGAACATAAAGTTCAACTTTAAATTCCATCTCAATAATTGTCGTTTATAAAATATCAACAGAGTGAGAAATTTAAGTTTAAGAACAAAAAAAGTCACTTGCCACCACCACCACCACATTACCATGACAATCACCATCAACTTGAAATTGTGATGAACCACTCTCATATCACCACATCTCTACTACTTTGTCATGACCATAAATCATCATCTCTATTACAACTTCATGTTTCTAAAATTGAATCATGATAATATTAAGTAGTTATTATTAACGAGAGCTTTAACTAATATATCAATCAAGACAAAAGAACGTTCTCTTTTTCATCAATTAAGACGAGATAAAAATGTATTCCAGTCTCTCCAATACCGTTTGTATAAAAATTTAATAATTTTTTTTAAAAAAATAGACAAGAGATAAGAGTAGAATTTGAGCTAGACAAATTCCAGGTTCAAATTTGTAAACCAAATGGATGGATGTTTTTTTTTTTTTTTTTTTTTTTTTTTTTTTACCCTCATCTTAATTAGTTAGGAAAAAAAGCAGCCATAGCTTCAATCATATATTACAATTTAAAATTTAAACTAAACATAAGAGGTTATTGTTTGATTGTTTCAGTCTGCTTCTTTTTTTCCTCAAAGAGGAGAAGAAAAAAAATCCGATCTCAGTATATCTCATATATATAAACCCCAAAAAAAAATCCTACTGATTTTATTCCATGTAATCCAGGATCCAGGTTTCTGTACACCAACCCAAAATATGAGTTTCCCTTTTCGCCCTCACTACTTCCTTAATATTCATTCTCATCCTCATAAACCGACCCATAAACCCGAGCTCGCTTGTTCCCCAAAACCAACCGACCCGGCCCAGAACCCGAGGCCCGATTCTCCACCACAGCCTTCAAAGCCCGTTTCAAAGCCCTAAACTCCTCCTCCCCGCCACCGCCGGCCCATTGCATCACAACCACATTCTTGGTCCGCCCCCCAACAGTCATCATCTCGGCCCGGATCGCCCTGGCCCGAACCGACCGGATCGCCTGGATCAAGTCCCGGTTCAGACCTGGCCTATCCTCGCAGCACAGCGTCGCCTTCAGAAGCCTCGCCTCGCCGTCGCAATAGCTCACCGTGGCCTCGTCCGACTCGCCCGGAAACGGCCAGGGCTCCGATCCGGTGGTGCCGCCGCAGCACGAGCCCCCGTCCTGTCGCGCAAGGTCAGCAGCCTGCCTCCTCAGCTCCCGCACGTGCTGCACCACCTCCGCTAGCAACGACGCCTTGTCCGTCTGCGCATAAAATTAAAATCACGCCGAGTACAATTACCATAATGCCCCTATATTTAAATCGAAATAACGAGAAAGGGACTATGGTTTTGGTTTTTTACCCGGGTGGTGTTGGGGAGGAGAGTGCGCAGGGTGGAGAGGTGGGTGTTGATACGCTGCCTGCGTCTCCTCTCGGCTTCCTTGTGGCTCTTGGATGCTTCTGCTGACCTGGAGGTCTCGGTCATGGAGGCTGCTGGGCTCAGGATGGAATCTGCGCCGTCCATCAGGTTGACCAACGACGGGTCGTGTGCGTAGTGATTTTGATCAGACCAGCTCAGGAAAGGAAGCATTTTTTTTTCTCTAGTAATGAAAATCAAGTGTTTGAGAATAAGATGAGTTGGGTTTTGTTGGGTAGGTATAGTTATAGGGAACTGGGGTGTACTTAGAGAGAGAGAGAGAGAGAGAGAGAGATGGGTTTGAAGAAGAAGAGGAAGTGAGAGGAAGCAAGTAGGAGTTGGAAGTGAAGTGAACAAGAAAAACAGTGAGTTGTTTGACTTGGTTTTTACCTTTTTAATTATTTACCGCTGATGGGTTGATGAGATAATAAATAAATATTAAAATTTAAACAAGCGAACATGAATATAGATGATTTGGAAAAATAAAAGGAAATTAAAGAAAGAATATGGAAAACGTGAATCGAGGCAGGACTAGAAACTTGGAGAAAGGGCAAAAAGAGTGAAAGAAGGGGAAGGGTTTGGAAGGGGACCAAGGGAATATTGTCAATTTTTTTATTATTTGAAAGTTCAAGCATGTTACATTGTATTATCCACCCAAAAAAATAAACATGTTATATTGTGATTAAAATAAAATTGCTTATAAGTTAACAAATAAAGGTTAACGTAGTAATACTTTTCTTGCGAGTATTTGCGCATTTGGGAGGAGATCAAATCCAAGACCTAACCTTATTTTTTTTTTTTTTTTTTTTTTTTTTTTTTTTTTAAAGAAGAAGTAACTTTGAGCTTTAGTAAAATCACTTTAAAGTTAACAAAAAGTTTAACTAGTAATGGATTTGTTGTTGGTGCTCAAAACTAGATGATCGGCAGTGGGCTAAAACGTAAAGATGAGGTGTGATCTGATTTGCATTCGGTAAGCACTTCCCTTTGGCAGGCTGAGGATTATCTGCACACAGAGAGAGAGGGGGGGGGGGGGGGGGGGGGAGTCAAGAGCAGTAGGTAAGACCTAAGACACCGGTGTGGTGCCAGCCGAAGGCCCTTCGATGCTAAAGTTAGTTAAAGAATAAAGGAGTTAGCTATTGATAAAGTAAGGGCATAAGTGTCAAGTAGTTGTTACCTTGTACCATGGAGGCAAGGGGCTCTATTTATAGAGGTGTTTGGGTGTCCTCTTGGTGTAAACTTTCAATGTGAGACTCGTGAGAGTAGCCTAGAAGGCTGCCACATGTCCAAGAGAATATACTAGTAAGGAACCTGAGAGATTCTTACAAGATACCTTCTGGGAGGCTGAATCGGTATAGGGTGCCAAAGGCACCTGCCAAATGTCAATTGCAAACCTACGCGACTAGGTCGGCCAGTGTGGAATTGGTCGTGGGTGTCGAGGGCACCAACCAATTGTAAGGCTGGGCTAGTCAATGTGGGCTCTTGAGCCCTAATTGATGTAGAATCAGTAAGTGGTGCCGAGGGGTGACTATCGATTGTAATGTCGGACTGGCCAGTGTGGACTCCTGAGTCCTGCTTGGTGTCAAGTCCTTTTCACATGTCATGGCATGAAAGGCCGATCAGATATGATACAAACATTTGTAAAACCCATTATCTAACCCACATAATCTTACAAAATTAATGTCATAATTGTGATGAAGAAAATATTTTATCTGAACGAGCAATGCATATTTGGTTTAATAGTTTTTATCTTCGTTTTTCCAGTGATGTAGCTTTGTTGTAAGGAAAAAAAAAACCATTAATATTAAACTCAAAATTTAAAAAGAGGAAACACGTACATAAACACAAGATAATGAAGTTGATAGCTCTTAGCAATTAATCCAATAAATAGGGTTGGGTGAGTGAAAAAGCGAATCAAATTTCATTTTCAGAGGAAGGAAGGAAGGGGGGCAAAGCTATAATTCGTACGTAATAATGAAACTATTAACGGCGGCGGCAACAGCTTTTTTTAGGAGAATCAAAGGTGACAGCAGCGCATCGTTAGCCGACAACCTCTTTTGCCTTCGCCTTCACTTTCCACTTTCAGTTCTTGCTTTGCTTGCCCTTTGTTTCACTTTCTCCGAACCTTTTCCTCCTTTTGCTCTATCTCTCTCTTCTCTTCTCTTCTCTTCTCTTCTCTTTCTTTTCTGTTTCCTCCAAGTGATGAACCTCTACACTCTCCCCATAACCCAAAAGGCACAAATGCTTGTTAATTTTGATAAGGGACTAATTAATCTTAGATTTTTTTTTTCTTTTCTCTTATCCTACAGTATGTTAGGGAGATTAGGTTATTGTACCACATTATAGACCAAACTATTATACCACATATGGTATATAACCTTCTAATGGAGGTAGGGTCCACCAATACAAGTATATCTCGTCACTATTAAATACATGATACACAATGCGCGTTGTACAATAATATGGTCTCTTTAATAATTTTCTATCTTTTATTTTGGCACTAAAGTAAGGAGTCTAAATCTTTAGCCTTTTTGTTTTATTTAAAATGTTTATGGGCTTTTTTTTACAAGTGGTATTTGAAAAGGGGGTCTTTCGCACGCATTGTCAATGTTCCATAAGAGTTCAAATATGAGATTATTAATATGCAAGTCAATGTCTTTTTCAATTGGACTAGACCCCATTGGCATGGTGTCCTTTAATTTAGGTCAAATTGCACAATTTGGATGTATCACTTTGTTATGTTATGTCTATGTCGATCTTAGTTCATGTGTGAAGTTTTCAAGAGTAAACTGTCATTTCAAATCATGATCTCATTTAACCCTTATTTGGTCACTAAAATTTGGAAAAAGGCTTTAATAATCAATCTCACAAAGTCGGCTTTCAGTTTGAGCCCAAATGCTACTGCTGTTGAAAAACAAATAGTTTTGGATTTACTGGAAATTCCGTTGGTGTCTTGCCATGAAAAATATTTAGGTTTGCCTATGGTGACAGGTAGAGGAAGAAAGCAGATTTTCGGGACTGTCAAAGATCGAACCGGAAAACGAATTAGTGGGTGGAAGGAAAAGCTCCCATCTAGAGCTGATGAAGAGGTCCTGATTAAAGCTGTGTTACAGGCTATGCCCACCTACTCGATGAGCTGCTTTCGGATGCCTAAGGGGATGTGTAAGGAACTTCATGGCTTAATGGCTAAATTTTGGTGGTCTAAAAGTAAGAATATGCGGGGTATTCATTGGACTAAATGAGAGACATTATGTGTGAGCAAGCAGATTGGAGGATTGAGATTTAGAGACCTTGAGGCTTTTAATCAAGCTCTTCTGGCAAAACAAAGTTGGAGATTATTTTTTAATTGCAATTCCTTGGCAGCGAGAATTTTCAAGGCCCGATATTTTCCGCATTTTAATTTTTTAGAAGCTGGTTTGGGGTATCGACCCTCACGTATTTGGAGTTCGTTGATATGGGGGAAGGATTTGTTGAAGGCGGGTTTGCGGTGGAGAGTTGGAAATGGTGAAGATATATATGTTTACCAGGATCGGTGGGTGCCTTTACCAATGAATTTCAAGATTATCTCAACGCCACAATTTGATGTTTCTATGAAAGTATGTGAGTTGTTTAATGCAGCTGGACAATGGGATGAAGAACTATTAAACGCTAATTTTTGGGAACAGGAAGTGAAGGCTATCCTCCAAATTCCACTGGCTTCAAATCATAGAGAGGATAAATTAATTTGGCATTATGATCAAAGCGGCAAATACTCAGTCAGGAGTAGTTATATGGTTGCATGCATGAAGAAGCAAAGGGAAAATGGCATGGAAGGGTCCTCGACACAAGATGGTACATTTTTATGGAAAAAACTGTGGAGTTTGCAGGTGCCTAATAAAATCAAATTCTTTCTATGGAGATGTATATTGGGGTTTTTGCCTAGCAGACAAAATTTGTACCATAAGAAGATCTTGAATTCTCCAATATGTCCACGTTGTGGGAAGAAAGTGGAGTCAGTTATTCATGCAATATGGGCTTGTAGTGAAGTGAAAGCAATATGGTCTTTATCACCTTGGAGTGCCAATCGCCATGAGTGGAGAATTACATTTTTCAAGGAACTTTGGCAAGTTGTGATTGTGGTCTCAAGTAAACAGGAGGTGGATCTTTTTGCTTTTCTATGCTGGGATATTTGGAATGACAGAAACAATCTGTTGTTTCAAGGACGAAGTCTTGAGAATGTATCAGTGTTTAACAAAGCTTTGGCTTATCAGACGGAGTTTTACTCTGTAACTCTTGCCCCTATATGCTCCCATAATAGGCAAGGGCCTAGTCAGAGTTCTGTTAATTGGCATGCCTCATTGGATGGTCAGTACAAAATTAATGTTGATGGGGCAGCCAAACTTGCTGGGTTAGTACGGGGAGTTGGAGTCGTGATTCGCAATGGAAATAAAGAGTTTATAGCTGCTTGTTCTCGACAAGTGATAGGAAATTTTAGTGCACAAGCTATGGAACTAACTGCTGCAAAGGAAGGCCTTCAGTTCGCATATGATCTTGGCTTTCGTGACATAGTGTTAGAAATGGATGCGCAGGGGTGGTAGATAGAATCAACTCTAATGAAGAGTGTTTTGAAGCTGAAGGGAATATAGTGGAAGATATCAAGGAGATGCAGGGGTGGTTTAGATCTTTCTCCTGTAATTGGCAACGACGAGAAGGTAACAAGGTTGCCCATGAGCTAGCTCAATTTGGCACTCGGAACGCTGATTTTTTCACATGGATTGAGGAGGAGCCATTATGGCTAACTCCTTTTCTTTCTACAGATCTAGAAGCTAATAGTTGATCTTTATGTTTGATGGCAAGTGGGAGGTGCTCTTTTTCCTTTGGCGGATTTTCCTCCTTTTTTTTGGGGTTTTTTATGCTAAAGGTTTTTTACAGAGGCCCAATCTTTTTGTTTTCTTCTCCGTGTATTATGTTATTTGATTATTGAATGAAATTCCTTTTCATAAAAAAAAATGTATTCAATTTATCCAAAAAAAAAAAAGTTTTAACAAGATTCATTTAAAGTTGAAGAAAATGTTCTACTTTATATGTTCAACGTTGGGCAATAATTTGTCATTGGTGGCATGAATGTATTTATATATTTAAATAAGCGATATTGGAGAGTAAGGATTTCTCAAATAAATACATTATCAAGGTGTTATTGGGGTTCAAACTCGATACCATTGGTCTGCAAGTCAATGCCCTTTCCACTCAACTAGCCCCGTTAACCGTGACACAACTGTATTTAAGTACACATACCACAATATTTTTGTCTAGATATTAAGACGATATTTTACTGAGCATTAAGAATCATTAGGGTAAGGAGGATCATCATTCCATAACATAATAAAACCATCAATAAATGTTACCAAGTTTCCCAAGCAATGAGCAACCTCGTTACACTGTTGTTCACCCCAAAAGCATAGTTGTGGATTTTAAAGCCATGAAATTGATTGACCCATAGCCAATTTTCACCCAAACTAACTGTAGAGAAAAGCATGATGAAGGTCACAAACAAAAACTTAAATACACTACACTACCAATATATCTGATCATTTTGGTCCCTAAAATTGGAGAAAAGTTCCCATGGCATGGTCTGTGTTGTCTCTCCTCTCCCTGTCATCACTTGGAAAAAAAACCTTTGTTTCTTTTGCCTTAGGTTTTAACTGTGACCCAATATTAGTACTTCAATCTGTCCAGAAATACATAAATTTTATAAAAAATTTAATTAAACAAAATAAAATTCAAAAAATTACCCATCTTGTGAGGACTGAGGATGCTAGGTGGACCCCACAAAGACATGAATTGAAAACGTTGAGGGAGAGAGGAAGTAAGATCAACATCCCATCTCAGTAGGGCAGCCGACCAACAAGTGCTGAGAGTTCAGATTGTGATGCAGAAGAGAGCAGAGATTGCAGTCATAATAAAATTTATTCACTATTGGCTACATGCAAATTACAACAGTTTTTATAAACATGACATCTGCCTATAGGCTCTCTGTCTCTCTCTATATATATAAATAGTGATTCCACCATATTTCAGAGCATGCCATGCCTCTGGTTCTGGCTTCTGGCTTCTGCCTGGACCACACACCCTAAAATGGCTTTTGTTTGAACCCCATTATATTTGTGTAGGTCCTGCTGACAGTCCAAAACCTAGCTATAAATTTTTTGGCTTTGCTAAGAGCTAAAAGCGAGAATGCTAGCTTGAGCCATGCCAATGAACAAAGGAAATGCAACAACTAATAACAAGAGCAATAAAGAAACCAAAATAAAGTAGCCAAGGTAAAAAACAAACTATGCAAGTGTAGCATGTTTTTAAGGGCAAATATTGTCTTATGCATACAATATGTTAATGAGGTTGATAATATAATGATATAGTTTTTTACTCAATAAAAATTACAATTTATGGTAATGTATATAAAACCACAATTTGGCAGTTAGTGTAACATTCCAATTCCCTAAAAACTGTGCTAATTTATTTTAACTAGTTATATATTGTCACAAGAGAACACAAAACCATACTTTAAAGGTTAAATTAGTAATAATCAAAAGAATTGAACATTCATGGTTGAAAGTTTTTTTTAACTTTAAAAAAAGTTTACCACATAGCTATTGGTCTAGTGGTATTTCTCTTCCCAATATCGGGAGAGTGTTTTTATATTTAAATTTATTTATTTATTAAACAATGTTCGAAGAGGTTTTATGTTCGAAACCTCCTAACCATCAAAGGTTAAACGAGGGTAAAAGGTTAGTAGAAGACTTGTTTTGTACTATCGTACTACTAAGCTCTCAAAAAGGTTAAATGAGGGTAAAAGGTTAGTAGAAGACTTGTTCTGTACTATCGTACTACTAAGCTCGGCGGCCTCTGGCTATCTGTAGTTTATCGGCACCCTAAAAATCATGCACTCCTCCCTCAATTTGACAATAAGTGTAATATAAGCCAAGCCTAACATTGTTGGCTTTAGTTCATTGTTTTGCTCTCCCAACCACTTGGGAGAGGAAAAATGTTTTAATTGTGTTGCAGATCAATCAAGGATGCTTAAAATGTCATGCAAGTCAAAAAGAACAAGTTCAAAGTAGAGCTTAAATCTCCAACTCAATTGTTTCATCTGATCAAATGAGGCGATAACACAAGTATGATCCAAAAAATTAAAGCGTTTGTTTTTCAGGCCATACCAGTATATCTGTCTTTTTTTGGTTCAGGCCAAAAGGTGGAAATTTTTTTTCTTCCTACAAATAAGAATTTACATAAGATATGCATAAAATTCTGCATTTCAAATTCATCACTTTGAAAGTTTCCTTCTACATTCAATTGCTTAACCCAGAAGCACAAAAATAAACAGAGCACAACCCACTAGACTTTGCAACCACCCAGAAACAAAAAGGAGCAAAAAATCCACTTGCCGAGAATAATCAGGCTCACTTTGTCAGTGAACTTACAGCACAAACCTATGCATCAACTATGCAATTCTTACATCAAAAGCTAACAGCTAGCAGCATCTAACGGCAAAAACAGGTTGTTAAGTCTGAATGGTTCTGGCCAAAATTGAAGTATCTATATGGCACACCATCATAATAGCTGCAAAGGAAGAGAAGAGAAAACTTAGCATTCTTCACAGATAATCAATACCATAACAAACAACAACAATGTAATACCTTAAGTCAGACAATGAGTCCATTTTTGTGGAATGGAGATCCTGAAGGAGCAATCAGGCCAAGATGTTGCATCACTCTTAATCTCCGAACACTCACTTCTGCCTGATCACTTGAGCCATTTCGTTTAAGTTTCTTTTGCAAACCATCTTCCCTAGGGGATTTTCTTTTTGCTTCTTCCTCTTTGGCAATTGGCATATTTGGCTCCAGCTTACTTTGTGGTATAGTGACATATTGCTGTCTTCTCGGAGAAACCCTTACCTAATAGTACATTTATTGGATAATGCAAATGCATGACAATGCAATCCATGAAGATAAGCATGTACATAGACCAGCTAAAGGAACTCACAGAAAATTCAGTTCTCTGAACCTCAGTAGTCTGCAACCAAGTTTCCGTATGTGACATCAAGAATAAGCAATTTTCAGAATAAGGACCATTGAAAATCAGAACTTACTAAGCTTGACGAATCTGTTTGGTGATTTTCCCTTGCATGATTATTGTTGGACACGCGTGTAGGAGAATAAACTGCTACACTTTCTGCTCCATAATATAAACATTCTGACCAATATAAGAATCTATTTGTGAGAAAGAGTAGAGTACTTTCCTTTCAGGTCATTTCAAACACAGTAATTTCATAAACATCAAATAGTAAATTGCTGCAATAACTGGAGCTGTAACCTTGACAGAAACAAAACTTGATCTATGACCTCTACTCACACACACAAACAGGGAGTTTTGGACATGGAATCTCATGATTTACACAAGAAGAAAGCATCATCGCCTGTTCAAATTTATATAATATGAAGTCTTGAAAGCATTTGACAACCTTTCATAATTGTATTTTCTTTAGGCTCTTTAGAAGATGACAACTTAGCATAGGATCTGCTATAAATTCTCAAGACATCCGTCAATTTTAATACTTAAAGCCTTTAAACTTAGAAAATAATCAAAATTCTGTTTAACTGATACATATTATGCAATACATTTTTACAGGGATTTTGAGTTGGCTAACCTTTAGACTTGGACCCTTGCTTCTTTGATCTACTGGATTTTAAGCAAGAAACATCCTGTAGACATATTTAAATGATATAGGAGAAACCATCAACTGCAAGCAAATGTTTTCAATCCTATGCAAGAGCAATTATCAAGGAAAGAATAGTTACCTGCTCCAGAGCTTTTATAAGTATTTCCCTGTAACAACCATTGTTCTGCTTGAGTATCTGAAAGTTCAACAATCAATAGGCATAAAACTATTATAATCTGGTGGAAATTAGTGGTCAAATACATCGGCGGAATTTAAGGAGATTCTAGAATGCATTCAAAACATACTATGTCAAATTCAGAATGATATTTCTGAGGGTCCACATACAAGCTGCAAGAAAACACGCTCAAAAGTTATACATAACAAGAATACAGATGAAGACAAAACCTGACCAAGGACAAAAAGAATTACTATTTATAGCTTCCATAGAGCCGAACAAGAACCTTCCCAGCTGATCTTTTACTTGGCTTGTTGTTCACATTCACAGTATTGTCATCAACAACCTACCAAATAAACAAGAAGATAACAATGCGGATCCTTGACCATGACTAAGTGAACATCAAATAGAATCTGGTGATATCAGCAAATGAAATTAAAGAGCTTGATTACTGAATGCCACAACAACCAGCAAATACAGCATCTCAAATACCTGTGCAGGCCACCATGAGCCTCCATTGATCTTCACCCATATCAGATCTGCCACCTTAACTTCCCCTCCCAATTGATTAGCAGCAACATCCTCTTCATCTTTCACATCAATACGATCTTTCCCGGTTGAAAGGCGTTTGCTTTTCATTGTCTGCCATTGCAGTTGTTAATTGAAAAAGGAAAAAAAAAAGACAAAAACCAAAAACTTCAAAGTAATTTCTTGCCCTGCAAACCTCTACAGATAACAAAATTTTACAAATGGAACACACATCTCGGTTTCATACAATTATGCACAAACAATTGTCACATGTACTTTGCCTTTTTTTTCTTTTTTTTTCTTTTAATGAAACTCATGACAATGCAACCCATGAAGATAAGCATGTACATGGACCAGCTAAAGGAACTCACAGAAAATTCAGTTCTCTGAGCCTCAGTAGTCTGCAACCAAGTTTCCGTATGTGACATCAAGAATAAGCAAACAGAATAAGGACCATTGAAAATCAGAACTTACTAAGCTTGACGAATCCGTTTGGTGATTTTCCCCTGCATGATTGCGATTGGACATGCGTGTAGGAGAATAAACCGCTACACTTTCTGCTCCATAATATAAACATTTTGACCAATATAAGAATCTTTTTGTGAGAAAGAGTAGAGTACTTTCCTTTCAGGTCATTCCTAACACAGTAATTTCATAAACTTCAAATAGTAAATTGCGGCAATAACTTGAGCTGTAACCTTGACAGAAACAAAACTTGACATACACACACAAACAGGGAATTTTGGACATGGAATTCCATGATTTACACAAGAAGAAAGCACCATCCGCCTGTTCGAAAGAACCAGTATAGATGTACTCTAACCGAGTTCTCTATATCCTTCTCAAATTTATTTAATATGAAGTCTTGAAAGCATTTGACCTTACCCTTTCATAATTGTATTTACTTTAGGCTCTTTAGAAGATGACAACTTAGCATAGGATCTGCTATAAATTCTCAAGACATCCGTCAATTTTAATACTTAAAGCCAACTTAGATAATAATCAAAATTCTGTTTAACTGATACATATTATGCGATACATTTTTACAAGGATTTTGAGTTGGCTAACCTTTAGACTTGGACCCTTGCTTCTTTGATCTACTGGATTTTAAGCAAGAAACATCCTGTATACATATTTAAATGATACAGGAGAAATCATCAACTGCAAGCAAATGTTTTCAATCCTATGCAAGAGCAATTTTCAAGGAAAGAATAGTTACCTGCTCCAGAGCTTTTATAAGTATTTCCCTATAACAACCATTGTTCTGCTTGAGTATCTGAAAGTTCAACAATCAATAGGCATAAAACTATTATAATCTGGTGGAAATTAGTGGTCAAATACATCGGCGGAATTTAAGGAGATTCTAGAATGCATTCAAAACATACTATGTCAAATTCAGAATGATATTTCAGAGGGTCCACATACAAGCTGCAAGAAAACACGCTCAAAAGTTATATATAACAAGAATACAGATGAAGACAAAACACCTGACCAAGGAAAAAAAGAATAATTACTATTTATAGCTTCCATAGAGCCGAACAAGAACCTTCCTTGCTGATCTTTTACTTGGCTTGTTGTTAACATTCACAGTATTGTCATCAACAACCTACCAAATAAACAAGAAGATAACGACGTGGATCCTTGACCATGACTAAGTGAACATCAAATAGAATCTGGTGGTATCAGCAAATGAAATTAAATAGCTTGACTACTGAATGCCACAACAACCAGCAAATACAGCATTTCAAATACCTGTGCAGGCCACCATGAGCCTCCATTGATCTTCACCCATATCAGATCTGCCACCTTAACTTCCCCTCCCAATTGATTAGCAGCAACATCCTCTTCATCTTTCACATCAATACGATCTTTCCAAGTTGAAAGGCGTTTGCTTTTCATTGTCTGCCATTGCAGTTGTTAAATAAAATGACAAAAACAAAAGACAAAAACAAAAACTTCAAAGTAATATCTTGCCCTGCAAACCTCTACAGATAACAAAATTTTACAAATGGAACACGTATCTCGGTTTCATACAATTATGCACAAACAATTGTCACATGTACTTTGGCTTTTCTTTTTTTTTTCTTTTAATGAAACTCAAGTCAACTAAGCCACTCATAGTGATTTGATCATACTATGGTATAGCCTTTTTTATGTTGCCCATCTACTTTTGAGTTATTGTTAGACAATTGATAAAAATTACAGCATACAGAAAGGGATAAACAGTATACAGAAACATATAAGTATATTGGAGAGGTGACCTTAAAAATGTTGAGACATGAACCAGTGTGTGGACACGCTACTAATTCTGAACCAACCCAATACGTTCACCAATTTAACCACCTAAAGAAGTGGAGTATGGGCAAGCCCAATTTACCAATCGTGTGTGGGGTTTTATCTCAAAAGGCATATGTGCTAAACATTGTAGATTGTTTCTATCTAATGGGACTAATCCCCATTCTCACTCATGGCTTGCACCGAGCCATGTAACCCCAACGACAAAGTTGCAGAAAGGGGGAGTAAGGCAGTCCCAAGGTGGACCAAGTAGCATGACAATGAAGTATCTAAGTGGGACATAGTATGACACGAGACAGAAGACTCTTGCATTATGGAACTGCTATGGTCGTTCACATAATAACTATAAATCTTGAGTCTTTGACGTAAGCATTGTGGAATAATCTAAGATTTTCTCCAAGGTTAGAGACCTTTAGACCTGCATCCAGAGGCTGCAAAAGTTCATCATGCTTTGCTTCCCAAGTTAACATGTTAGTAACAAGATTTTGTCCATTTAGTAACATATTAGTTAATTAAACGTGTATTTAAATGTGATGGAGTTAGAAAGAAAGTTTGGATGGTGGTATATAATTACCATATCGGCCTTAATTTGAATTTTTTTATTACACTGATCAAAAGTAATAAGGATGTACTTGGCATTTAAATATAATGGTGACAGATGATCTTCATACTAAAGATTCTGTCGAGACAACCATGCATAGATTACTTTGCTAAAATGTAAGTAGTTTGTATGAACGTTTGAACCTCATTTCAAAGCTTAGAACTTGATCTCACCGTCTTGTTCTTTCCTTAACAATTTGCGGGAATAACCATTATCAGATTACCTTGCTAAAATATAAGTAGTTTTCTACGAACATTTTTACATCCCATTGTCAAATTTGACCCTCGTTTTCAAAGCTTAAAGCTTTGATGTCTTTTTCTTGCTTTTGTTCTTTCCTACATTTTCTCAGCAACCAAACAGAACAACTATATGACAAAACTAGTACTGTTTAAGTGACAACAAAGTATAAACAGCCAATATAGAACATTCAAACAAAAGCGGATTTGGGTTCTTACAGTTTCACCAGAGACGGCACAGCAAGAGATTGAGATTGAGAAAGACCGCGGCGTTCTGTGTGCGCGAAGGATGAACAGGAAATAGAAGGTTTGAGCGGGCGGAGAAGTGTCTTGGAAGTTGGAACGACAAAGCCAAGCAACTTTATTGGGTTCCTTTCTGTCAGGCTGTATACGTTTGGTTTCTATTTTTTTCAAATGTCGAAAATTAGAGGTAATTGAAGGAGAAGAAATTAGTGCAACGAAAATAACACTGTTTTTCTATTCTTATCTAATCAAGTTTCATTTTTCATCACGCATGGCAGAATATGATTGGTTGGAAATAGTAATATAGTGTTATTTCCATGATATACAAGTTTTCTCATTAAAGCATGTTTAGTTATTGAGAATTTAAGAAGTCATGAATTAAAATATAAGAATTAAGGGATTGGAATTGGATCAACTACTATCCTAGTTCATCTGATTGCTGATTTCAAAGGTCAATATTAATTTTGATGTGCAACCCACTAATTTTTTTTATATTTTTTATGTTAGTAAACTCATGAAAAATTATGAATTGAAATAATTCCAATACACATGTTTGTAAACATTTTCATAAAATAGGATAATTCAAATACTTATCCCCAATAAATAAATATGCTCTTAGCTTTTTTATTTTTCCTTCCGCCATAAAATTATAGGCATGGAGTAATGCTGGAACCATTTTCGAGTAATGTCCATAATACCTTGAACATTGTTCGAATCTATCAAAAAGTGTTTGATCACAAATTCACAACGGTTATATTTTTGAGAGTAGGTGGTAAATTCTTTTGTTTTTTATCTTGTAAATTGCCCGACCTAGTTCTCATCCAAGCTTTTATTTCAATTCAACCCGAATTGGATGGGCCCAAAAACAGTACAAAATCTAGTACTCAATATCCATATGGTTTGGGCTTGAGTTTCGGCCTAGCTTTCCAAGTTTTCTTTTATGGTGCTACCCTAAGCTTCAAGCTAGTGTTTTTTCGGTCGAAATAAGCTTCAAGCTAGTTTAGGGTTCCAAAAAAATAAAAGAATTGAGCTTCAAGCTAGTTTACAATGACTCTCTGTTTGACCCAAAAAAGAAGAAGAAAGAATGAGTGTGTTTTTAAAAAGTACATGACATGCAAACATGGTTTATATTTACAACGGTTATGCTAGGGCCGTCAACTGTTTAATACCAACTGATGTGTCACATAACATGACAATTCATATCAAATTACAGGTCATCCATTTTAGTTTTGTTGTCTTTTTTATGTATTCTAACTTTATTTGATTAAGTAAACCAAACCGTAGCATCATCCTAGCCGCAACATTGTCATCGATGTAGTACTAGATCTGCCATTGTCAAACGTCCATAGAGCCGATACGAATTTTTTTTCTTTGCTGGTTCCCCACGTCCTGGGAATCCCAAGTTGATTTGAGGGCATACAACATTGCAATGTGATGGAGAATATGATAGAGGAAAAATCAAATTACCTCTTCCAAACTCGGTCGTGACGGAGGATTTGCCCTATATTTGGGTCAAAATACCTCACTCTTTCTTTGATCTAGTTCTCATAAGAAAAGTTTAATAGCCACAATATTGGCCCCCCGAAAAAAAGGAGTTTAATAGCCACAATGATGAGATGTGAAATTCCAGATCAAGTCCAAGGGTGGATCCAGCTAAACCCTAATATGGGCCATAACCCTCACTCACTCACCCTTTGCTATACATAGGGTCTAAAGGCCCACACATTTCTTTAAAAAACAAAAAAAAAACACACATAATAGAAATGAAGCTTGTCCACCTATAAAAAACAGAAAAATTAATCAAAGAAAGAATATAGAAAGCCAAACCTTTCCACAGGAAGATTCTCCCCTTTCTCTGGATCTCCATAGTTGGGCCGCCAAGGAGTGGAAGACATCAATTCATCAAAGCAAATTCATTGTTTGTTTGAACTTTTTGCTTCTTTTTCAAGGTTTTTTATACCACACAGAAAAAATCCTAGACGATCAAGTAAACTCTTCTATGTTCTTTATTAGATTCGTACTTTTTGTCTATTTAGTTTCCTAGCTCAGACAAACTTCTTGTGATGGGAATAATATTTTTTGCTATCTCTAGCTAATAACACGATGACAAATGGAATTGCATGAAAGTCTCTCTCTTTTCAATTTGATGTTTATTAAGTTTGCATGGATCTTTGTGCGTTATTTCTCTTTATTCAAGCAATGGCTATTTTATAGGCCAAAAGATACAAGAAGAACTGAACTAAGGAGAAGAAAGAGAAACATTTGATGGGTTGAACTCAACTTCATAAGGAATGAAAAACAAATCAACTTTGTTAAACATCATTATTGTGATGTTATGCAGAGGTGGAGACCGGTGTTCCTGGCGGTGGTGGGATAACTTGGCAGAGATAGTAATAATAAAATTGAACAAAATTGAAAAGGTAATGTGACACATGACATGGTTGGTATATAAGTTGGTACCCATAGCATTACTGATATTTACAAAAAAAATAACGCTAGACATATAACATTTTCATACTATTTTTTTATACCATATTATGTGACATCTGATATGATAATCCATGTCACCTTTCACATGATTTATTTTAGACTTTTCAGTTTTATCGTGTAAGATTTTGTTTTTAGGTAACTATCCATGTCACCTTCCACACGAATAAAATAGGCATTTCATGTGATTTGGACAAATAGGTGACGTTATTTGGAGCATCTAGATAGGAAGTTCGTGTGGTTTTACCTCACGGGAGTGTTATTTGTGGGCACCCTTAGTATTTGACAATACCAGTGATTGACATTATTGGTTTCTCCTTTCTGCGCTACTATTGTCATTGACAACCCATTTGAACCGTTGGTGGTGGTCGTCTTCAATCACGTTGGTGAGAAAAGGGATGATACGGGAGGAATGAGAAAGAGGCACTTATTTAATTTTTTTTGAAAGAAAACCGACAATTGTATTCATAAAGTAAACACAAAGATCATCAACTACAAGGGTAAGAACAAATACAAATACTCACAAATGGGTAATACAAATATGAAAGCATAGTAACCACACAGAATTAATTAGAATACATGCCACATAAGGCCAAAGAAATTTCTGCATACAAGTAGCACACCTGAACGAACCTAATATGGATCAGATCGCCCAAATATACCAATACAACAACTTTTAAACTCTCATAAGTACAAAATACAAGTGGAGACTAAATTACAATCAAACACCAAACTCATGAGTTGATGCAATTATTACAAATCAAGAAAACTGTAAATACACAACAAGAAAATAAAAGCTGCTTAGCCACCTCGTCTATATCCAAAATCTACAAAGGAAGACAAACAAGATGAAAGAGCATCCAATCGATTTAGCCAACACGACTAATCCAAAGCTGGGGAGGAGAGGGAAAATGAGGGGAGGGGCGGGCAAGAAGCGAGGGGAGATAGAAGAAAGGCAGGGGAGGAGAGAAGAGGGAAGGGGAGGGCATATTTTTAGATATCTATTAATTTGCTCACTAAATTAAAAATTAAAAATGAATAAATATGAGCTGATGTGGTAGATGACATGGGGTATTATGTTAGTTGTCACATAAGAGTTTAGAATTATTATGTCAACTGCCACATAAGTTGGTATTATAAAGTGGTATAAAAAAGTGGCATGTCTAAGCATTTTACTTACACAATAACTTTTCCAAAGTATGACGGAATAGAGAGAGATTCTAAAATCCCAATGAGGTCATACCATAGTGAAAAAGTATGCTTTGCCTAAAATGAGTGGTCTCAAATTCGAAACCTCTAAACGTCAATGTGTGAGTATGTCCCCTCCCCTTCCTACCTTTGACAAAAGAAGAAGAGAGATTCCAAAGGTTGAGTTGTCAGACTGTCCCGCGAAGCATTATCCAAGAGTAGATGCTTGGGAATAACACACTTATTGGCTCTTTTAAGATAAGAGGACCATATGCCTGCATAGCTTGTTGGAGCAGATTATCCAAAATCAAATTAAATCACCCTCAACTGTGAAAACGAATTTCATGTAAAGACAAGGACATTATCAAAACTAATAACTAATTATATATGGGGGGAAAAAAACTTTGATATCAGCACAGCAATTGGGTGTCTCAGTTCCAGTTTTGCGATCATTTGGTGCCAATGAGTAGGACCTGTAATCTTTGCATGCACCTATTTTTTCTTGGTTCACAAAATTGATCAACTTCTCCTCACAAAGTGAACAAATTTGATGCCGGTTAATCATCCATCCTAATTTACTTCATCCCATTCGTGTATGCCTCAGCGATGAAGAATTTGCAAAAGGATCACATTCACCTTTAAATGCGAAAAGGACCATTCACACACAAAAAAGAGTACCATGCTTTCCTACTTGAATGGAAATGGACACGGAATTTTTCTCTAAAGCATGTGGTCCCTTTGTAAAAGTACAGGCATTTATAGGGTATACCACTAATCCAGAACCAAATCTTATCATGTTGTCAAAGTTTGTGTTTTTGCAGTGGTCTGCTTCCTAAAATCGCAGCAATTGCTCTTAGAAGTATTACAAGGAAATTTGTTAGTACCAAACCAACAAAATACTGCCAGTCTAGGAAAGGCAGATTAACATCAATTCTATTCTAAATTTCTAACAAATTTTTCCCCAAAGGGAATACCAAGAAAGATTATGTATCGACCGGAAAAACTTAGGCTCCATATGGACGGAAGGATTCCTTAGACTAGTACAAGAATGGATTTCAAATGATTCCTTAATTACATGTGATACTACATCTAGTTATTCCAAATGACCTTAATCTAATGTGGTTATTCTTTGTTAGCAAATTTTGCCTTATTTTCAAATCCAAATCCCTTCTTTTATATCCCTCCATCCAAAGGGAGCCTTTGGGAACCAAGTAAGAAGTAACAGCCATACAACACTGCTACATATTGCTATAAATTCAGTATACTACTCAGCAGCTGCATCAAAAACATGTGCAGCCTGCTGACACTCATTTATAACAGGGGATGCTGTAACTGCTATGATGCAGCAGGTGCAACTATACAAGTAATGATATGAAGCTTGGAGTGCAAGATTGTTTTAGAAGTTCACCAACACAGCAAATATGGATATGAATAAACAATCAGTCAGCCGGTTATCCATTAGTTAGGATTGCTATCTGAAGCCTGATCAATGAAAGGCAATGAGTTTGTAACTTCTTAGCCCTTCCTGCCAAGGCATCAGAAACCGAATTTGCTTGACGTGTAATCCAACGCCAAACACACGACCTGAATCTACTCACTTCCCGGATTCTCATCGTCAAAATAGGATAGATGCTAGCTCCACTTGCCTTTTGAGATATTTCCCTTCACACTTTGAATTAGCTCCTTGGAGTCGGATTATTCGATAATTGACATCTTTGCCTCCTACATAATAGCACCCCTTGAGCGCTATAGCAATGCCAATCCCAGCTGCAAACCTGTTCTTCTCACGAAAGGCATAATGAGATGGCAATAGCGGAGAAGGACACGTTTGCAGCTGGGATGGATTCTCAGGCAAAATACATTCTAACGTGTTTAGTCAGCTTTTTCATGGTTTCTAAATTTATTTGATGAAGTCAACACTTGTATTTTCTTGATTATAATTATATTTTTGGTCTATTTAGTTTCCCAGGTTTGTATGGCTCTCTCTCTCTCTCTCTCTCTATGCGTTATTTCTCTTTCTTCAATCAATGGATATATTTTACAGGCCAAAAGATACAGGAAGAACTAAGCTGAGGATAAGAAACAGAAACATGTGATACTTGACAGAGATAATAATAACAAATTTTAAGAAAATTAAAAAGGTGATGTGGCAATTCATGTTGGTGTGACAGAAAGAATAAAGAGAAATTCCAAAGCTTGAATCGTCAGACTGTCCATAAAGCAAGCATTATCCAAGAGTCTTGGGAATAACACAATTTATTGGCTCTCCTAAGATAAGAGGATCATATGCCTGCCTGCAAACGTTGTTGGAAATTTCCCTCATCCGTGAAAACGAATTTCATGTTTTTGTTTTTTTCCATTTAGGGGGACAAAAGGTGTTTTTTTTTATTTGTAGAAACAAATAAAGAAAGAGAAACTTCGTTAATTTGTAACCAGAACAACTGGAAAGAAAAAAAGGGACGTACGATCCCTGAGGTTGTCTCATCAAAACCTTGTCATAAAAAGCCCCAAAACAGGAAAAACCCGTGAAGGAAAAAGCTTACCACACGACTCTATGTTTGTTGTTCGTTTTTTGTCGAAAGGGCCATAAATCATACTGCATTCCTCCCTCATGTCAAAATGTCCGCAAAAATCATTGAGAAATGCTAGCAACTTTCTCTCTAACCTTCTTCTTTGGATCTTCTCCATTTGTTGCTTGACATGTGTCATTTTTCTTATACTTAAAACAATGTCATTAATATATTATACAAACTAAATTTTGCTTTCCAAATTTACCTTTATTAAATGTATTCAATTTATCCAAAAAAATTTCCCAACTTTCTTACCATCTTATTAAATTTTTTCTAACATCAATTATTTTTTTTAAAGAAAATATCCGCTTTTAAGAGGAAATGTCTAGTTTTATTTATTTATTTATTTTATAACACAAAGGGTTTAAATAGAGGGAAAAAAAAGTCCTTTGTGTTTTAAAAAAAAAGTACATTTCCTCTTTTTTGAAAAAATCATACATTTTCTTTATAAAAAATAATAATAAAATGGTAAGAAAGTTGTAAAATTTTTTGGAATAAATTGAATACATTTAATAAGGGTACAATTGGAAAGCAAAAGTTAACTTGTATAATATATTAATGACATTGTTTTAAATGTAAGGAGAATAACACATGTCAGGCAAAAAAGGGAGAAAGTTCAAAGGAGAAGGTTAGAGAGAAAGTTGCTAGCATTCCCCAAAATCCTTAAACCAAGGATTATCAGGACATATAAAGACAATGACATGATCCAAACTCAAAGATAATTATACAGCAGCTGGGCATCTAAGTTCCAGTTTTGCAATAATTTGGTGCCAAGGAATAGGACCTGTAAATTTGCATGCATCTACTTTTTCTTGGTTCACAAAATTGATCAACTTCTCCTCATAGAGTCAATCAAATTTGATGCCAGTTAACCATCCATCCTAATTCACTTCATCCCATTTGCGTACGCCTCAGCATTGAAGACTTTGCAAAAGGATCACTTTCACCTTTAAATGCGAAAAGGACAATCCACACACCAAAGTACAATGTTTTCCTACGTTAAGTGGAAATGGAAATTCTCTCTAAGCACGTGGTCCTTTGTAAAAGTACAGGCATTTGTAGGGTATTACCATTAAACCAAAATCCAATCTATCTGTATACAGCTGCTTGCTCCCTTTTTCTTTTTTTTTTTTTTTTTTTTTTTTTTTTTTTTTTTTTTTTTTTAGTAGTCTGTTTCCTAAAATCGCAGCAATTGCTCTGAGATGCGTTACAAGGAAATCAGTTTGACCCAGAACAAAAACAATGACAATGATGTATCCAACAAAATACTCAGTCTAAGGAAAGGCAGATTAACAGCAATTCCATTCTAAATTTCTTTAAATTCTTCCCCAAAGAAGGTTTATGTATCTACACAAATCACTGGAAAAACTTGTAGCCTTATTCACCCTTTATAGTTAGGGGTTGCGGGTTAAGCCTATTAGACGTTAAAAGTCGAACTGCACTTACAATGACCGCACAGAATACTCCCATACATTATTTCTATCCAATATACTTCATCATCTACATCAAAAACAGCTGCTGACACTCATTTATAACAGGGGATGCTGTAACTGCTGTGATGCAGCATCTGCAGCTATAGAAGTAATGACATGAAGTTTCGAGCGCACGATTCTTTTAGAGTTTCACCGACACAGAATATATGCATAGGAAGAAACAATTAGTTAGGCTCGTTAGAATCAGTTCGGATTGCTATCTGAAGCCTGAATGCAAGGTAATGAGTTTATATCTAAGCAGTACTTAAACTTCATGGAGTCTCTACCCTCTGCTCTATAGCCTCGGTTAATTTAATTTTAGTCTTCTTGTTTGTCTGTCAACCTCTGCATTCTTTTACATATTGAACAGCACACAGTAACTACCATAGCAAATGAACAATCACAAATTTTTTCTTCATTACGATATCATAGAACTCGAGTGCTAAAAAAAAGAAAAAAGATTTCAGTTCAGTTCTGTTCATCTACACCAAAGATGATTCAGCTAATCAGCTACCTTGACAGACATGCACCCACAGAATTTACATGTGCATGCATCCAGTATAAAGAGACAACAAAAGGCTCCATAGAATGGTTGAAAAAGCTTAATGTCATCACATTACTGATTACAAATCAACTACAAAATCTACAAACGCAGTCAGTTCAATAACTTCAGAAGACAACAACATCTACAAAGCAACAATTACATTCTACCCCAAGATCAACAACAACAAAAGTAAAGACTGTAAAGAGAGTACCTTCCGCGTTTTCCAAACCGAGCAGCTTCAGAAAACCAACCTAAAAATTACAAAGAGTCATCTGCCTTAAACCACCAAATCAAATAACCTTCCTGGGCCGTCCCCTCTTCTTCTGATTAGTCCCCAAATCCGGGTTCCCATCCGAAACATCCATCACTCCACCCGAATTGGCCCCGGGGACCGCCGTGGCCGCCACCGGAGTTTTACTCTGAGGCGTCGTCGAAAAGACAGGTGGCATCCAATTGGGAAAGGCGGCTGCGGCCGCTGCCGGGGCCGCCTTACCCTTCCCGCCATTGGCGTGCGTCCCGCCCACAAATCCCATCGGAAAAAAGGCCCAACAGCAGTAGTAGGCCTCCTGGCCTTGCACCAATGGCGGCAAATTCGGCACAACCACCGCCTCAAACCCGCGCTTACAATTCTGGCACCTCAAACAGCAATTCTCGTAAACCCTAGGGTACTCGTACAGCACATAGCAGTACGGGCACGTCGTCCAGAAAGTCGACAATCTCGACCTCTGCTGCTGATGATGCTCACCGTCGTTTGTCAAATCGGCGTCGTTTCGGCTCCGATTGACACGCCGTACAGGCAATTTGTTCGAATTCGGCGCGCTGAGATCGACTCGGCTGAACGGGCCCAACTCGTTGTCGTAAATCGGCTTCCGAGTCGGGTCGGACAAAACGGCCCATGCATCGGCGACAAGCTTGAACGCGTGCTCGGCATAAGCGTACTTGTTCTTGTCCGGGTGGAGGAGCAACGCCAGCCGTCGATATGACCTCTTGATGAGATCCTGATCTTCGGATCGGCGATCGACCTGGAGAACGGCGTACCAGTCGTGGTGGTTGTTTACGCGCTTGTCGGCGGCCAAGAGCACGTCGGCGACGGCCAAGATCTGATCTGAGCCTTCCAATAGCGGCTCGGTCTCTTGCGCCAGAATTGCGAAGTCGCGGCAGCTGCTCAGATCTCGGCTGTGTAGAAGCTTCTCGGCGATTCCGAGCAAGCGCTCGGCTTCTACTCTGTTTGGATCCATGGATTTGGATGGCCGATGGCGTTTGCTGTTCTGGTTTTCTGGGAAAACAAAAAATGTCGAAATCCAAAATGGAAATGGAAATGGTAATTGAAATCGAAAAGTTCCCCTTTCGCTCGGTCTCTTTTTTTTTCTTCGAGGATATTTATTGGGGCTTGATTTTGCTTTTAATTGCAGAGTGCTTCAGAGGTGATCTTATTTTTGGTCCGGGTTGTTTTGGTCATTTTAATGAGCATCCCCTGATCATCGCCTTGACCCTTCGCACGGTGTTCGAATCGGAATCGGAAATTTGGAAATGGTAATGGCGCAAAACCAAGTGCCCAAGCGTGCCAAGAGATTTCATTGGGAAATTTTTTGAAAAATCTTTTTTTTTTTTTTGTTTTTTTTTTTTTTTTTTCTCACTCATCTCACCTCTTTTTTTACTCTACCAATATTATCGAAAAGGGAAATTACTGTAGCAATAGTCCTTGAACTTATAGTAAATTTATATTTTGATCCTCCAACTCGAATATTGACACCACCAATTCATCTACTTCCCACCATCTTCCTTCGAAGTCATTACAATCCCCAACAAATTAAACCCTAATTCCTCTTTTGAGTTCCAATTGTGATTTTGGTTTCAATAATAAGCAGCGACCCAACCCAATGGCACGCCATCATTCCCTCTCCTTACTTGTATAATGATTTTGTTAGAGTCAACATGGAAGATTTTGAGCCATCTAATACGTGGTTTGGACGTGATCATTGCGATAAATGACAAAAATTAGCAATTTGTGTTAGAAATCCTTTACATACTCCCATCTCCTCTAAAAAGCAAAATTCCTTTGGACTCAAATCACAGCTTATAAATCCCAACCAATAAGAATTTGCCATGTATCACATTGTTTGATATTTAAGAAGTCAACTGGAGACATATTAATGAAGAGTTTCATACATTAGAAAGATAATAATGAAGTGTTTCAGGTTGTTCCATCCACAACAAATTATATAGATCAAGTTTTTTTTTGTAACTTTTTTCATTATTAATGTGGAGGCATTGTTGATTTCATATGGTCACATGACCACTCATTCTTTATGATCAAATAGTAACTTGTTTACACAATCTTATGTTTTCTTCATATAGCACTTGCTTACATTCGATTTGAAAAAGGAGGTGAGGGGGGCCCAAGACCACCCTTGTCCCTTGGTGGCTCCGCTCTTGATTATGGTGATGATTTTATTGATTACTGTGAAAATGCATGCAAGACAAGGAAAATAGAAACTTAATATCTTCAAAAACAAGTTAGGCTCCATTTAGATTGAGAGATTCCAAATCAATGAATTCAGATGATGTGTGATTTCACTAATAAAAAATGTATAGAAAAGTTGATATATATCCAAATTCCTATTGAGGAGTTGGGTTTAATTCTCGGATTTGGTGACTTCGATCAAAGTCTTTTGACTTTTGTGACACATAAAATTACATTCCTTTTTAAATATTTTTTGATGTAATCTTTTTATTATTTTATTTTGAAAATCATTTTTTGTTCAAATGTTGTCCTTTATGACTTGAATCGGTTAATAATCATCTATGTCACATTGCCTATTGCATAGGTGTGTGTATATATATATATATATATATATATGTTTTTTCATATTTTCGACAATGTGTAATAGCATTTTATGTACCTTTTTTTTTATAGGTAACATACAATTTTATTTTCTCTATTTTTGTATCTAACTTATAGGTAGTCTTCTAATTTATGTTCCTAACTTATAGGTAATATGATTTATTACTAAGTATTTTTCGTTGCTAATAATAACACTATTTACTTGTATGTCAGGTCATAATTTAATGTGGGTCCTTGTCTGATCGATTGGTATAATATGTGGGTCTTTACTTTTTTATTGATTAAAACATTGCAAGGCCATGGAAACTCCGCACGTCGCTAACTGTTTTCGGGGTAGGCCAGTCCTGAATAGCTTGCACCTTATCTTCATCCACATAAATGTCATATGCACTAACAACATATCATAGAAAGAGCAACTTATTGGTGAGGAAAGTGCACTTTTGCAAGTTAACATATAACTTGTTTTCCTGTAAAACTTGTAAAACCTTCCGCAAATGTACCATACATCATGACAAAGCAATGAGTTTTACTCATGACGTTGTTCTCTTCGAAATGACGGATCATAGACCCAATTCTGGGCTCGAGGCCCAAACCTACATTTTTCCAGCTTTGCCTTCATGCGTGCGACACTTTTGCTCTTCCTTGATCGCTTTGGCCATCAGTTCTACATCACATAGGAAGATGAAGGATAGCTTAATAGAGTTAGCATTTAGTTAAGTCGAGACGACATATGCCAGAAGGATAAGAAGAAGACATGAAGGGTAAATACAAAATGAGCACATTAGAATTGAACTCGGTGTGGGCTATGGCCCTGCAGTAGCGGAGCCATTAAGGAACCAGTGTGGTCTCAGGCCCCCACTCCATTTTTTCCAATTATATATATATACTATATATGATATATGATATTGTAATATATTAGATTAGTTTCGAGATATTTATCCTAAAATAACAATATATTAGGTTCTCATTGTCTACAAATTAACCATAAAACTTCTTGATCTCTCATCTACTTGTTCCCCTTAAATTTTTTAGGTTAGTTTATGATATTTGCACTAAAAACTCCTAAAGTTACAACATTTCTTTCTTTTTATCTTTTGTTTAACTTAAGCTTTGTGAATTTTTTATTTCCGTTTTTTTTCATGTATGAGTTCATTGAGTTGGAAACCTTAGTATTGGGATTTATGAAACTTTTTTTTATTCTTCTTTATGTTGGAAGAGTAATGCTACACTTACCACATTATTATCCCACATTTCTATACCACATGATGTGACATATCCATATCATATGCCACATCAATTAAATGAATGAAGTGTATTTTAATAAATAAAATTAGAAAAACAGAAACTAGTATTTTACATGATGTGATATGTACACATCAGCTGCTACATTATGTGGTATAAAATTGTGATATAAAAAATGTGGTAAGACTAGTATTATTCATGTTAGAATATAAATTATTAAGTTCAGTCTTTAATAATATTGACGAATTTAAAATATGAAATTAATGTTTCTAAAAAGTAATGAGTTTTAGTTGGAATATAAATTATTAAGTTCAGTCTTTAATAATGTTGACGAATTTAAAATATGAAATTCATGTTTCTAAAACGTAATGAGTTGTACTCGCGATGTTGTTCTCTTATGAATGCTCCTTTTAATGTAAAATCTTAACTCCGCAACTGTAGCCTGTGGGAGTAACCTGAGCAAAGTAAGAAGTGTCGCATGGTGAGTTCAATCAAGTGAGACGACAGCGCATCACCTGTATCAAGGACCATCCTCCTCCACATAAAAGCATAATTTTTTATATATTTTTTTGAAGATACTAAACTTAGATATGGACAAAACCATTCAAAAAAGTAAGATGCCACATTTTTTACTGTCACGTTACAAAATCAACGGTGGAGATCAATTAATTGAAAAATAGATTTTTTTTTTCCCATAAAAAGGAAGATTGCCTTGGAATTCTTCCCATTCTTGAACAGCCAGCCAGCCAGCAGCAGCAGCAGCAGCAGTCAACTCTCTCTCCCCCTCTCTCTCATTCTCTTCAGTTTTCTGACTTCAGACCCTGAAACCCCCCGAAAAAGGTAAACATTAAACAAAGAGAGGAAACCCAGAATTTAATTAGTTAATTAATTAATGGTTTTTCCTCTTTCTCTTCTTCTTCTTCTTCTTCTTCTTCTTCTTCTTCTTCTCCTTTGTGCTCTGGTATTCTCTAGGCATGTTGTGAACTTGTGACATATATTGGTTGGTGGGTTTTTCTGGGTTTTATTCACTTAGATCTGGGGGCCATTAAATCTTTAAAATTTACAAGAAACCCAGAAAATATTGTGCAGTTTTTGAGTGTATGAACATAATATATGTGAAAAGTGGTTGGTTTGAATTTTTTTGAAGGGGACGATGAAATGATGAGGGAGAAGATCAAGATCAAGAAGATTGACAACTTGCCTGCAAGGCAAGTGACCTTCTCAAAGAGGAGGAGAGGGATCTTCAAGAAAGCTGCAGAGTTATCTGTTCTGTGTGAATCTGAGGTGGCAGTTGTCATCTTTTCTGCTACTGGCAAGCTTTTTGATTATTCAAGCTCAAGGTACCAGCAACACTTCTTTGACTTTTCCTTCCTTGAAAAAATAACCAGTTAGGTATGATCATGAATCATGATGTCTCTGTACTCTGACTTGACTTCTCTCTGTGTAAGTGAGAGAGGGAGAGAAGGGTGGAGGAGAAGAGTGTCTTTATGGAAATATTGGTTCTTTCCTTAAATTCCATGGTTTGTTTTTTGGTCGAAAATCCATGTAAAGAAAAATACAATGCAGAATCCGAAAGCTTCTAGAAAGAGGAGAGAGAGAGAGAGAGAGAGAGAGCTAGATAGTTGTATTGTATTTCAAGGGAACTAGTTCGACGATTACTACCTACCATATACTTAAGAAAAGTAAAGTCTACTTTTGATTAAGACAACTTCTATGAAACATTATTTTATTAGTTTTCCATGTTTTCATCCTTGCTGCTTCAATCTCATCATATTAGGTGGGGCTTACACGGTGAAAAATATCCTTGTCCGCGTCCAAGGAGTTAAAACTAATGGTTTCCCTGTGAGAGACACATTATGTTAGATTATCAATCCAATTATACACTCAAATAAGAATGTTAGACACAGTATGACCACAAACGGCAAACTTTATACTGGATTATCAATCCAATTAGATTATCGATTCCCACAAACGGCAAACTTTATACTAGATTCATAGTCTCACCATATAAAATGATATATAATATTCTTTAATAAATATTAAAGTATCCTTCAAACTTAAGATAGGAGGGGGGTTGTGTTTGAAAAGGCGTCCTTTCTGTCTCCTCACCTAAACGTGGTTACAAACATTGAATTATATGATTCGTAGTTTTCTTACTAGGAATAAGTTGATATGATGATAACTGGGGAATTCATCATAAAGCCCTGAAGACTTTCAGCAGGAATATGCACCCATGTTCTCAAGTAGGGCAATGGGTGGTGGAGCTTATGACCATAACATGTTTTTGCCATGAATGCATGCATGTGAGGAAGGAAAATGAGGGAGGAGGGTGAGAATGAAATGTTAACTATGGAATAAGAATTTAAATATGGTCATGCTTCCTTTCAGTCAACAAAAATAATTATATGTGCATGCATGAGATGAGAGGAAGGAAAAAAAAGGGAGGATGCGCTGATCATTTATGTTTTTAATTTTTAATTTTTTAATATAAAAAAAAACTAGAAATACCACCTCTAACGTGGTCTTATTTTACTTTTCTCGAAGTACAATTTGAAAATGCAAATTAAGAACAAAATTAAATGACAAAGAAAACAAAACACGCGTACTAATGGCCTTTTTGATTTACAAGTGGAGGTCTAATCATTTGTCATTATGAAATTTCTAATCAAATTCCATTGAAATTTTCATTTAAAAGTTAATTTTCTAGGTTTCCAGAACCTACTAGTTTGTTAATTTTTTTTATTTTCTATTTTTTTGAAGCAAAAACAAAAACTATAGAAACAAAAACAAAAACTATAAAAACGATTTTACTGAAATCAACATACAATTAAAACTAAAAAAGAATAAAAGTGTTTGCTCTTCAGCCTTAGATTTCACTTTAAATTATTTTTCAAACTTTTCCAAGTTTCCAAGTAGAGCAATATTAAAACGTTTGGAAAAGTATTGCTCTACTTGGTTCTATTATACTAAGTTTTCGAACTATATAATGTCCCGAAAGTCATCGAAAAAACTATGATGCTAAAAGAAATGATTCGTTATATAGTTAAGTTTTGAGATGTTATATTTATATGCGAGGACATCTTAACACAATATATAGCATATGTTGTCTATTCTTTCTTACTCACATCAAACTGTATATATTATATTAACGTGCTAAGCGTCCTTAGCCACTTCCACTAAGTTTTCTTCCCTAGGAGATCATCGATCCTCTTCCCATTTTAGTAGGTTTCACCACTTCCATTGCATCCGTCTAAATAGTCCGGGATGTAAACTTAGGTTGTAGGGTTTTTTTAAGGGCATGTTTCTCTAAAACCACTGGAGAGCTGTCATGACCTAGTTTCACTAGCAAGATATTGTCTGCTCTGGATTTGGGCCATCACGTAATTGTTCATGTACTCAAACTTATGCTATTTTGCCCACAAGACATCTTGCTAGGAAGTTAAGTGCCTATGCATATACGGCACTTCAATTTTCCATCCCCGAGGAATGTGAGATTGCTCACTGATCTTGCCCTTCTTGCCTTGCATCCTTCATGGATACAGGTCTTACAATCCACCCCTCTTGGTGCTTAGCATCCTCGCTGGTACACTTTCAGTCGGGGTCCAGCTCTAATACCATTCTGTCACTAGCAAGATATTGGCAGTTTTGGGCATGGGCCCTCACAATTTTGTTCTTAGGCTCAAACTTATGTTATCTTACCCAAAAACCTCTTGATAGGAAGTCAAGTGCCATACATATATGCCACTTCATTTTTCCTCTCCCTGCGCAATGAGGGATTGCTCACTGATCTTACACATTCTTGCCTTGAATCATTCAGGGCTCACAAGTCTTACAAGAGCGCCCTAGGTTAGAATTACGTATACGCAATACGAGAACCATAAACATACTACTTTTCCTCCTTCTCCACTTGACACACTTCGATCCTCGAAGTATTGGTTGTTCTCCTAAGATGTAACATGTCCAATAGAATGAGTAGCCAAAGTTGGACTTGATACATCCAAAAAGTATTGGTAACTTCAATCACAAAGTTACGAATTATTACGCTAGTAATTCCTTTTATCTGTCTAACCCTAACTTATTTACTAACTCTAACTTAGTTGCTGTAAGGAGAGATGAGAATAGCTCAAGTGGCTTCAAATTTGCATTCAAGTAAGCGAAAAATTGGGTGTAGAGAGTGCCATATAAAAAGAATTGCGATTAGCTTGACATACTAACGAGGCCAATGGCGTGACAGTTTGTAATGATACAGTTACTTTTGTTAGTTTTTAGAACACATTATCTCTAGTATTACTGCCGTCATATCGCAAGGGTGCAAAATGCATTTGACCCCTGGGATATTTTTCCAATACGTTTGGCATATATGGCCTGCATAGATTCAGCCATCCACTGACTAAAAAGGAGGCGAACCAAAGATAACAAGATTCAAAGCATATTGCAATGAGGTCCAGAGTTGATGTGAGAGGAATTTTACTTGACGTTTTGATTTGCGTAACCAAACCATGCAGCCGGCCAGCCATGCATGCAGCCAGCAAATAGCTTAACGTACGTTCGCATTGTGCATCAGTTTTGGGCCTTTTGGCTGATTTTACTTGCAACACGATCACATCTCAAATAAACGTGTTAATTTGATTTCAAAATCTTAAAAATCTTACTTGTGATGATGGAATGAAACCTTGATTGATGATGGGGTCAGATTATTTTTTCCTTGGGTAAATTAGTTCCTCTGTTTTTCACTGTTACTGTTGATGTAATTTTTTGTAATAACTTGTAATGAAATAGGCAAGGCATTCATTATACTTGCTCTCAGCGAGGGAAGGTAGAAAAATTTAGTATTAAAAAAATTACAGATTATTAAAACTCTGAATATTCCTTAAAATTGGTCTCCTATTGAAATACTGCTTCTTAAAAGGAAGCATACCATACAATAGTATATACAAAAGAAAATAGACAGAAGTGTGCCTCTGTGTTTGTAAACCATAATTTTTCATAAGGGGTTAATTATTTTCCCCTTTTTGTTTTTGTTTTTGTTTTTGTTTTCTCATGTATGTTTTGTCACATGTTTTAATTTGATCTTCTATGTCTACTAACTTACACTAGTGAACATGCCAATTGATTGTGTTTTCCTTTTGTGTTGTGAAGTATGAAGGATGTTATTGAAAGGTACCAAGCGCACATAAATGGTGGTGAAAAATTTGACGAACCGTCTATTGAGTTGCAGGTAAATGAGTTTAATGATTTACCTTTTCCATTTCGAACAATACTTCAGGAGGAACTCCACCTTTTATCTTATATTGTGGCTCAACTACAAAGTGACAAGTGTATTCCATTTTTTAATTGTCAAAACTGCTTTTTTCTTTTCACTTTTAATTAAAAAAGTGAGGACACATGTCATTTTGTGATTGAGCCACTGTAGAAGCCAAGAGTTCCTCCTTATGGGTAAGGATGAAAGTTTTGTCCTTCCATTTCCCCCCTTTAAATTGTTATGCAATTAATTGTAACATGTTCTGTGAACTGCACTGTGGACCTTCAAAATGTATTTCTATAGCATATGAAGGTTCTGATTGTTTGAACATAATACAAAAAAATCATTTTTTCGTTACACTAAGGCTCGTTTGGGACTAATTCTTTAAGAAGTACGTCTGCTCATAAGTGCTTCCATTACCAACAAAAAAAAAAGTGGCAACAGTCACCATTATTTGGTGACATTTGTGACTTTAGTAACCCCAGCATTAGTCACCAAATGTCAACAAATAATGGTGACTGTTGCCACATTTTTTTCTTAAAATTAAAAAAAAAAAAAAAAAAAATGCTTTGATATTATAAAGATGTTGAAATTTTCATTAAAAAAAGTGTTTCCTTATAAAGCACTTGGGAGTGCTTTATGAAGAATCACAGTTTTAGCCCTTCCACACCCAAAGAAACCCTTAGACGTATGTAGACGTATGTATATATGCATGCAGCAGGTCGGCCTCTTGGGCTAAATATATGTAGGTGGATTTGACAAGTCCATTTCTAGTGGGACTTAATTTGGTCTGCATAAGAATTAGCCAATTAAAAAATTGGAACATAGACATCAACCATCAGTCAATCAAATTTTTATTGTTTACTTGTACTGTTAGTTTTGTTCCAAGTGTTTTAAAAAAAATAATAATAATAAAAAATTATACACATGGAAGATAGTAAATTCTTTTAATTTTTAATTATTGGTGACAAACTCTCACTTTGTTGGTTGCATTTGAGGCTTATGTTCTTGTATATTTAAGTAATTAATTTGATTCCATTTTCAAAATAAAAAAATTGTAATCCATTTTTTATAACCTTTTCAAGTGACAGTCAGATTAGACTGACCTAAATGATGGTTTAAGTCATTCATTTGATTCCATTATCAAAATAAAGAAATCGCATGTTTAAGTTGTTTCCTTTTCTGGGCTGATGTTTATAAGCTTTTCATGTGACAGAGACAGATTAGATTACATAAATGACGGTTCCATTTCTCATTTTAGCCAGAGAATGAAAACCACATCAGATTGAGCAAGGAACTTGAGGAGAAGAGCCGCCAGCTGAGGTAATAATTATTTCATTCATGAACTTGTAAGATATATGTGGTTGTTTAGCTGGTATTATATCGTTTGATGTATCTGCTGAAATTGGACTGGCTTGCAACAGGCAGATGAAAGGAGAGGATCTTGAAGAGCTGAATTTTGATGAGTTGCAGAAGTTGGAACAACTGGTGGATGCAAGCCTTGGCCGTGTGATTGAAAACTAAGGTCTGCCCTAGCTAATTTCTTTTCTAGTAAGCATGGTGCGAAGGCATCACTCTGTGTTGTGGTTTATGACTCATTTGAGAGTGATTCTGGATGCGCCATAATCACTTCTGGGAAAAAGCATCTTCTATGTGCTTCTCCATATAATCACTTTTAGTGATTTTAACTGATTTTGGGGGGGGAGAAACACATCATATGTGATTCTGGAGAGAAGCACCTCCTATGTGCTTCTTCCTAAAAACACTTAAAATCACCGAAAGTGATTCTCCATAAAAGTGATTATTGAATTATCCAGAATCACTTGCAAACGAGCGCCTAATGATCGAAACTGTTGAAGAAAGTTTGTTAATGGTTTAATGATCGAAACCGTTGCAAATGTTCCATTCCTTTCAGGACGAACGGATTATGAGTGAGATTATGGCACTTGAAAGAAAGGTTAGACGATTAATACGTACTCTATAAATGAAAAACAAATTTCAACTATTTACAATAATCAGGATTTTTTTTTAAAATATATAAATTAACATCAATAATCATAACCAAGTTTGGCTCCGGTTTTCTCTTCCATGCACCGACTCTAATTTCAGAGAGCTGAGCTTGTAAAAGCCAACAAACAGCTAAGGCAGAGGGTAAGCAACTCTTCAGGATTCTTCTTTCTGTTTGTTTTTAAATGAAAAAAATGGGTGATTTTTTTCTTAATTTTGTATTTTTTTGCATAGCAGATGTTTTCCAGAGGAAATATTGGACCTGCGCTTATGGAGCCGGAGAGGTTGAATAATAATATTGGTGGTGGAGGAGAAGAAGAAGGCATGTCATCTGAATCTGCTACCTCCACCACCTGCAACAGTGCTCCCAGTCTCTCTCTTGAAGATGACTCCGACGACGTCACTTTATCTCTCAAACTGGGGTGAGCTAGCTACTTTTGCTTTGCTATATATTTGATATTTCTATGTTTTATATATATATATATGTTACACATATATGTTCATCGAAATTTTACATTTTTATTTTTGTTATTGAAAATAAGAGATGGCTTATAAGAATTATCGTGAGCATTATTGCGTATTATGGAGGTTCAAATAAAATTAAAATTAAGTTGCCCGCATTGTTCTATCGAAAATACAGAAATTTTTAGTTGCAGGATCTCAACACGAAAGAGGCTATTGAAAACATACAGGGAGGAAATGTATTCCACTCTCTCTAGACTAGAACAACATAACCTGCATAAAGTCATATACAAGTTAAAATATCTTCACCAACAAACGTTGATGTTGATGGGCAGTTGCATTCATGGTATTTCAATTACTCTTCACCTTTTTAATAAATTAGCTTATCACTTTTTATTTTCTCTGAATTTCAGGCTTCCATAATTTCTCTGGTTAACAAGTGGAAGGTTGTGAATGTGTGTAAGATAAATAAAGAAAATCGAGGTATTGTAAGATATCGGTAATTGTGTGTGTGTCTTAACTCGATACAAGATTGAAAAATATTGAGGGGAAAGTAACTTTGTGTTGTATCTAAACCTATGTATTTTATGCAACCTGACATATTGCTCTTTGACTTGTATTGTCTTTAGAACTCTGTATCAATGCAGCCTGCTTTGGAGACTCTTGTGGACTTTGTATTTGCTTGGGTTATCAATGTAGCGGCGTAGGCCAACCTTACTAAAGGATTCTAAGGTCTCATTTGGTGGGCGGGTCGTAGATTGGAGCCTGGTTCCAATCATGTCTCATAGAGCTTATATATGAAATAATTGTCCAATTTATTAATGAGTTCAATTTCGTTTTTCATTTAGCCATGAATGTTGGGGAAAAAGACAACTCATTGACCACAAAAAAGAAATGATATAGAACAGATGACGGAAGCAATCGAAAATGTGTTGAAGAGACTCGTGCGCAAGGGTAAATCGGACAAACTGCATATTTGGACTCCGAACTCGGAATCATGCCCATGACCCGTCAATTCGAATAGAGCGGCGTCATGAGTAAAGCTCATTTCTTAGCCATGATGTATGAGTTTTTTCGGGCACCCGAGATCGTTTAGCAGTCTAAAATCCAGTTTTAAATTTTTTGAAAACTTGGTTATTTTCCTACTTTAATTCCTTGTTTAATCCTAGAGTTTTTAGGAGTATTTAAACATATTTTACCCGTGACTAGAGTTATGTTTTGTTATTTCAATTATCATATAAATCTTGAAGTTTTCTCATATCTTTCTGGCGAATTTCAGAGTTACATGTTCTAAACTAAAATTTTAGACAATCTATTCTAACGTTGTGTCAGGAAAAGTACAAAATACTAGGCAATTACCCTAGTGAATAAGCACAAAGAGCATACAAAATCAGGATTCGCATATTTTAAAGCCTGTATATTATTCATGTGCATTGGCCCCTTGAGTAGGGCCTGGGCTTAGTTTATTGAAGATAGGGCTGACCGATTCTGTTAACTTTGTTTGCGTATAAAAAAACCCATATATAATCGCACTGTCTGCGTGGATTAAATTCATACAAAAAAGAGGGGTGGGCTGGAGAAGCAAGACAAAGCCAAGTGTTGCGACTCGAATGGTGTGCATAACCTGAGCAAAGTAAGCTGACGCGACAGCGCATGACCTGTTTCAAAGGCAATCCTCCTCCACATAAAAATAAAATTCCCTTCTTGTTTTTTCTTTTTGCAGCCTGACAAGTACTAAGAAGTAAACCCACTCCAACAAAAACCCAAAAAAAGAATTAAACCCACTCCAACAGAGCCATTCACAAAAGTAAGTAAGATGCCACATTTTCTACTGTCACGACAAAATCAACGGTGGAGATCGCATTTATCAACTTTGAGTGCATCTGTCACTGTCGATTTGCTCAGGTTCCCTCCCCAAAAGACACCGTAAGTATATAAAAAAAAACAGAGAATAATAGAAAAAGGTGTGTAATTGTTTGTCCATAAAAGGGAAAAATTCAGTTTGAAATTCATTTTAATCCCTTCCTTCGTTGAACAGTTAGCCAGCAGGAGAAGCAGCCATTTCTCTCTCCCATTCTCTTAGTTTTTCTGAAAACACCAGAACTTCAGACCCTGGAACCCCCCAAAAAGGTAAACATTAAATAAAGAGAGGAAAACCCAGAATTTTAATTAGTTAATTAATTGATTAATTAATGGTTTTTCCTCTTTCTCCCCCTCTTCTTCTTCTTCTTCTTCTTCTTCTCTTCTTCTTCTTCTTTGTGCTATGGTACTCTAGGCATGTTGCTGTGAACTTGTGACCTATTTTGGTTGGTGGGTTTTTCTAGGTTTTGTTCACTCAGATCTGGGGGCCATTGAATGTTTAAAATTGAGAATAAACCCAGGAAATGTTGTGTAGTTTTTGAGTGTATGAACATAATAATGTGAAAAGTGGTTGGTTTGAATTTTTTTGAAGGGGGGATGGTGAAGACGATGAGGAAGAAGATCAAGATCAAGAAGATTGACTACTTGCCTGCAAGGCAGGTGACCTTCTCAAAGAGGAGGAGAGGGATCTTCAAAAAAGCTGAGGAGCTATCTGTTCTGTGTGAATCTGAGGTGGCAGTTGTCATCTTTTCTGCTACTGGCAAGCTTTTTGATTATTCAAGCTCAAGGTACCAACAACATACCTTATAATTCTTTTGACTTTTCCTTCCTTGAAAAATAACTAATATGATGTCTCTGAAGTCTGACTTGTCTTCTTTCTGTATGGGTGAGAGAGGGAGAGAGAGATTCTAAGATTCAGTCATTTGGGTCAAAATATATTTGGAGGAGAAGGGTGCCTTTATGGAAATAATTTTTCTTTCCTGAAATTCCATGGTTTGATATGAACTCTGGTCTAGAATGCAAAGAAAGAAAAATAAAGGAGAATCCAAAAGCTTCTAAAAAGAAGAGAGAGACAGAGACAGAGAGAGAGAGCGCTAGATGTTGTTGTACTATTTGCAAAGGAACTAGTTCGACGTTTACTACATTATCTATATACTTCAGGAAAGTGAAGTCTACTTTTGATTATGACAACGTCTAGGTAGGTGTCCCAATTTGAGAAATATTATTTTATTAGAAAATTGATAAAATTAATGGTTCCCTTGTGAGAGACACGGTATGTTAGACCATCAATCAAATCATACACTCAAACAAGAACGCAGATAGTGCGTAATCTGACAATATAAAATAAAAGATAGTCTAGCTCGTAAGAGAGTATTATATAATTCGAGTATTATATGATTTGTAGTTTTCTTACTAGGGATAAAGTAATATGATGATGACTTTGGGAATTCATCATAGAAGCCTTGAAGACTTTCAGCAGGAATATGATTCCATGCTCTCAAGTACTTCTCCCCGAGTAGGGCAATGGGTGGTGGAGCCATGACCTTTACATGTTTTTGCCATGAATGCATGCATGAGAGGAAGGAAAAAGAGGGAGGAGGGTGAGAATGAAATGTTAACTATGGAATAAGAATTTAAATATGGTCATGCTTCCTTTCATTTAACGAAATATAATTGCACATAGTAAGCACTGATAATTTGTATTAAAAAATGTTTATAAAAAAAAACTAGAAATATCACCTCACTAAGGTGGTCTTCTTTAACCCAAAATACACTGCATAAAAAGATACCTTCTATATGTCGGTGGTTTTTTAAGTTGTCTACGGTGTGGAAATAACGATGATTTTTATTTATAAAAAAGTTATTATCTAAAAGACTAATATTTGTTAGAGAGTGAATTCCGTTATTTAGATGTTCTTATTTTGCTTTTTTTATTTTATTTTTTATTAGAGTGGGAGAGGGGGAGTATTATATTGAGTTGTCTCAAGATTGTCTCCTACGTTACTATTAGACATGCGTCTAATGAAGGAAAGAGATTAAAAGGAGGCACACATGTCTCGAACTACAATTTGAAAATGCAAATTAAGTGGCAAACACATACTAATGGCCTGTTTTGATAATAAAAAATGCTTTCATACAAATGGAGGACTCAGTTAAACATTACAAAAGGGAGGAGACGAGGGGCGAAACTACCTATAAGGCTATCTTGGGTTGTAGTCCAACCTAGGTAGCTTTTTAAAGATATTTTTTTAACCTATTGTAGTCCATGTTTAAGAAAAACAAAACTAAACATTATAGCCCATCAACTTGTCATTCCCACTTGTGGTTGGGGCCCTTGTTTTGTGGTCTTTTTGACAATTTCCCCACTATTTCTATGAATATGGAAATATTATTTTACCGGAGTCTATTTTGTGGTCTTCTTGACAATTTTCCCATTGTTATCATGTTAACCATTTTGTTGCGTTTATTTTGTATTTTTTTTATACTAAACTTATTGGAAATTAGTTAATAGGGCTATGAATTAGGATTAAATGATTTCATGTTCTAGAAAAAAATATAGAAATTGTAAGTTAAAAAATATCATTAGATTTTAAGCTAAAAATTTTAGTTAGTCCACTCTTCAAAAAATTCATAGTTCCGCTGTTAGAGGAGACCTTTAACTGTTTGTGCAAGTAGGCAATTTCTAATTTGTTTCAATTGTAAATTTCATTTAAAAGTTTTTTTTTTCTAGGTTTTTGGGCCTAATTGACATGTTATATGCAAAGGTACTACTAGTTTGTCCAATTTTTTTTTTTAATGTCTCCATTTGAGAATATGTATAAGTTACACAGTTATGACTCGTTTGGTACGTCGGATTGTATTGACTAATTTATGTTGGATAGTATTAATCTGTTTCGGATAAATAGTCTGACTAATTTATATTGTGCTTGGTGCTGTTATGGATAATATCGGATCAAACTATTTTTTTACAAAAAATTCTTTGATAATTTAAATGGAAATATAGACAATATAGATAATATAATTTGCATATATATAATTAAGAAAAAAAGAGAATATATTGAAGCCCAACAAAAGCAGTCAAGAAGAGAATCAACAGCCAGCATTAGCAACATGAAAATAACCAGAAAACAAACCAACAAAACACCAAAAGTAGGAAAAAAAATACTGCAAGACAAACGTAGCCGCATGTATTGTTCTAATTGTTGACTTGGGATGATCATTTGATTATTGAGTTTGATATCTGGAGGAGATGAAATACATAGAAAAAAACGCAAGAAAAACTCAGCAGCATGTATTACGTTGGATACACAGCCGCATGATGGTTATTTGATTATTGAGTTGGATATACAGCCGCATGTATTGTTTCAATACAGCATGAAAAAAAACTTCAAAAAGGAAAAACTGATAACCTAATTTCCAGAGAGAGAGAGAGAGAGAGAGAGAGTATTTACTCATAACCAAAGTCTAATACGATATACCAAACGAGCCCTTAAGAGTATCTGCAACCAAAACAAAAACCATTTACAACTTAGCCTTAGATTTTACTTTACATTTACATTATTTTTCAAACTTTTCCAAGTTTCCTAGTAGAGCAATATTGGTCAAAATTTTCAAATTTTAAATAGGGTGTCGACCTTAATTGTAATTTAAAAGTTTGGAAAAATATTGCTCTACTTGGTTCTATTATACTAAACTTTTAAAAGATTTATTAGTAGTAAAACGTTATATAGGTATTCTCGGAACTCCAAAGTCATACGTGAAGTTTAAACAATAATACAAAATTGTTTCAATATTCATATATGTGTTCATGAAACTCATCCATTATTGTAGTTCAGTTTTAGGCTAAAAGTCACTTTTGGTCCCTGTAGTTTATTACTTTTACCACAAAGGTCTCTGTGGTTTTAATTTTGTTATTTTTGCCCATGTGATTTCAATTTGAAGCAATTTAAAGGACAATTTTTAATTTCCGTTACATGTAGATGGGCAATTCGATACACATTGTTTAAAAAAATCATTCCTTTTAAACTAAACAATATATATAAATATATATAGTTTTATTCATATTTTTATTTTTGAAACTCTAAGGGCTTGGTTAGCAAGGCCATGATAACACAACATATAGCATATGTTGTCTATTCTTAATCGTATCAAATTGTATATACTAACATTCTTAAGAACGTCAGCCACTTCCACTAACAAGATTCAAAGCATATTGCAATGAGGCCCACTCCTTATTATTTGACTTGAAATGGTCTCAGGTCGGTTTGCCTTGTGTTCTAAAATATCTCAGCTGCTTTGTCTTGTATATAATAATTCTATAAAATAGATATTATGGAATTCTATCAAAAGCAATATGTCGTGCCATGCTTTATGGCTTAGCATTGAAGTTTTGTCAGTGAGAGAAGTTAGAGAATTTTAGTAATTTTATTGAAATACTCCTTAAATTGGTCTCTTCTTGAAATAGTGATTTTATTTTAATAGAAGCGAAAGTCTAAATTATTCTAAATTAATCTAATTTATGGGGAGGGGGATTCGAACTTGGGTGCAAGAAGGGTGGGCTCAGCTCACTGCCCTGACCAACTAGCCTAACCAATGTCAGCTGAAATAGTGTTTAAAAAAAAAGGAAGCATAACATACAATAGTATATACTATATACAAAAGAAAATAAACAGAAGTGTGTCTTTGTGTTTGTAAACCACAAATTTTTCATAAGGGGTTAATTATTTTCCATTTTTTTGGTTTCTCATGTATGCTTTGTCACCTGTTAATTTGATCTTCTATGTCTACTAACTTAAACTTGTGAACATGCCAATTGGTTGTTTATTCTTTTTGTGTTGTGAAGTACAAAGGATGTTGTTGAAAGGTATAAAGCGCACACAAATGGTGTCGAAAAATCGGACGAACTTTCTGTTGAGCTGCAGGTAAATGAGTTCAATGGTTTACCTTTTCCATTTCCCCCCTTTAATTGTTCTGCAATTAATTGTAACATATTCTGTGATCTGCACTTTGGAGCTTCAAAATGTGTCTCTATATCATCTGAGGTTCTGATTGTAAAACCTTTTGGTTTGAAAAAGTGAAAAAGGAAAAGAACAGTCGTATACGAGTCTCAAGATCATAATAAAAGCCAGAATTTGACCTTATCTCAAATTCTTGCAAATTGTGTTGGCTGGTATTAAATCCGTAAGCTTTCTGAGGGAGTTTGAGAACGATGTGGAATATGTTTCCTGCTCCTGGTAAACTATTGTCTAGAGTACTAGATTGACATCAGTGATTTTCTTTCATAAATGTAGTACCACGATTTTACTACTATATTTGGAATGCAAATTCAACAAGTATGTCCTACATCCACTGGCGAACCCAAGAATTTTTTAGCAGAGGTGCAATTTTGAAAGGTTAAAAACTCTTTGCAGATTGAACATCTAAGACTTTTTACCTAGATTGACCTCAGATCCCTTCATGCATTCATATTATACATAAAAAGTTGTTCTATGTAAAAATATTGACTAAGTATGAAAAATTGTTTTTCGGAATAATCATTTTCTCAAGATAATTTTTGGCGGCTTTTATTCCATACACATCAAATAAGAAAACTTGATTTTATGAGATTTTATTATGAAGTATATATTGACTTAATGATCTATCATTTTTAGCCTAAATCGTATTTTGAAATAAAACTGATTTTTCAAATTTTGATTTGGGGGGAATTTGATTTTCTAGTATTTTTTTTTAAATCCAAATGGGGGGTACTTCCTTATTTACATTGTAAATTTAAGTAAATTGAGTAATATAAAAATAAATGAAAGTAAAAAGACAAAGACATTTACTTAAATGTTGAAGATAGAAATAAGGAGTAAAGGGGCAATTTCAAGCACCAACAATGGTTTTTCTGGCGAGGGGAGGTGCAGCTGCACCTCTTTGCTCCTTAACAGGTCCGCCAGTGCCTACATCACATGTTGTGTGTCTCTCTCAGTGTTGCTGAGATCCAAACCTTGAAACTTGTTTAATCTCTCCACAAAGGGTGCCCCAAACCTCTAGGCGGTGACAAACTCTCACTTTGTTGGTTGCATTTGAGGCTTATGTTCTTGTATGTTTAAGTAATTAATTTGATTCCATTTTCAAAAAAATAAAAATAAAAAATGTAATCGATTTTTTATAAGCTTTTCATGTGATAGACAGATTAGATTACCTAAATGATGGTTCCATTTCTCATTTTAGCTAGAAATTGAAAACCAGATCAGATTGAACAAGGAACTTGAGGAGAAGAGCCGCCAGCTGAGGTAATAATTTGTAAGATATATGTGGCTGTTTAGCTGGTATTATATCGTTTGATGTATCTGCTGAAATTGGACTGTCTTGCAACAGGCAGATGAGAGGAGAGGATCTTGAAGAGCTGAATATTGATGAGTTGCAGAAGTTGGAACAACTGGTGGACGCAAGCCTTGGCCGTGTGATTGAAACTAAGGTCTGCCGTAGCTAATTTCTTCTCTAGTGAGCATGGTGCAAAGGCATTACTCTGTATTGCGGTTTAATGATCGAAACCGTTGGAGAAAGTTGGTTAATTGGTTTAAGACATTGAATTTGTGTTCCAATAAATAAACAACACAATGTCTCAAACAAACACTCAAATCATTACCATTTAATGAATCGGTGAAATATAGTCTCTGATATTGTTTTTTTTTATCTCGATGATTCTTGAATGAAAACCTAAATAATGAACCGTTGGAGCAATATAAAGTATGTCCCACAATTGTCCTTTGTTTGAAAAACTCCTTTGTGCAAACAGGGTATTCTGAGTTGTCACTGAGGTTTTGAGTTGGTGGTTTATTTTCTGAAAACTATAGGTGTATGCAGTTTGGGTTACATATATGCAAATAAGCTATAAGATGTAAATGCAAATATTCCATTCCTTTTCAGGAAGAACTGATTATGAGTGAGATTATGGCACTCGAAAGAAAGGTTAGACGATTGATATACATGTACTCTGTAAATGAAAACAAATTTCAACTATATATTTTACAATAATCAGGACTTTGACATCAATAATCATAACCAAGTTTGGCTCTGGTTTCCTCTTCCATTCACTGACTATAATTTCAGGGAGCTGAGCTGGTAGAAGCCAACAACCAGCTACGGCAGAGGGTAAGCAACTACCACAATCATGTACATATTTCTTCTTTCTTCTTTCTTTTCTTTTTATTTTGGGTTTTTTGCATAGCAGATGGTGATGTTATCCAGAGGAAATATTGGACCTGCGCTTACGGAGCCGGAGAGGTTCATTAATAATATTGGAGATGGAGGAGAAGAAGGCATGTCATCTGAATCTGCCACAAATGCAACCATCAGCAGCTGCAGCAGTGGTCTCAGTCTCTCTCTTGAAGATGACTGCTCAGACGTCACTTTAGCTCTCAAACTGGGGTGAGCTAGCTGCTTTTGCTTTGCTTTGCTAGATATTTGCTATTTATATATATAGTTTATTGTTTATATCTCTTTGCTTTTTTGGTTTTTTTTTTTATGGTACTAAAAAGAATAAAAGTTTTAGTACAAGTTATAGTCTAAAGTATGGGGGAGAGGAATTTCTCACACACAAAATTATGATTAGATTTGAGACTTTTGGTGCGCAAGTCAATGCATTTTTCCACTAGACTAAGACCCGTTGGTTTGTTTAGATTTATTTCTTGATTCTGAGTTTCATTTTTAACTCTACCAAACGAAAATACTGGATTTTTAGAAGGGAAAAAAATAAAAAAAACCATACTCATCGACAAAGTCAACATGAATTTCAGATAAATTGTACAAAGCCGGGTGCAATATGATTTTTTTTCTTCCCATCTGCTTCAATATTTGCAGTAATATGTTATAAGTGCTCATTTGTGCCTGCTTCGATTGAAGATGTTTTATGGGTTTGTAGGGCAAGTTTATTACGAAGTTTCCTTTTTGTGTCTTTGGGCCATTTCATTTGTGTGTTTATTTAAATTGAAAGAAGTTAGTGACTTTCACTGAAATTTCACATTTTAAAAAATGTGTTTTTATAGAAAATAATGGATGGATTATTTGAATTAACGTCAGCATTGTTGCGTTGCAGATAGGTCCAAATAAAACTATTTTAATCCATTTTATATAAAAGTAATAATAACTAACTTGCCCCCATTTCTCTATCGAAAATGCAGAAAGCTTCAATTACGAAATCCCAACACAGTGCTATTGAAAACATACGGGAGAAAATGTATTCCACGCACTCTAAACTAAAATAGCATGACCTGCACAAGGCATATACAACTTGAAACATCTCCACCAATATATCTTGATGCGCAGTTGCATTTATGGTAGTTTAATTATCCTTCACCATTTTAATAAATTTGCTTATCACTTTGTATTTTCTCTAAATTTCAGGCTTCCTTAATTTCTATGGTTAAGAAATGGTGAAAGATGAAAGTTTACTCTCCTTATAGCTAACCCTAATTTCCATGGTTAAAGAAGTGGAGAAAGATGAAAGTTTACTCTCTTTATAGCTAAATAAAATCGAGGTATTGTAAGATATCAATGATTGTGTGTTTTAACTCGATACAAGATTAAAAAATATTGAAGGGAGAGTAACTTTGTGTTGTATCTAAACCTATGTATTGCATGCAGCCTAACATATTTCTCTATGACTCAAGTATTATTTTTGGAACTTTGCATCAATGCAGCCTAACATATTACTTGATTATTTATATATATAAAAATTCAAAAGTAAGTTTTGAAGGTAGTTACCCCTCATTTGTTGTGCCATTAACTCAAGTTTATATCATTGTATATCAGTGCATAGGAAGTATAAACACGTGTTGCATCACTTTCCCACCACTTATATTATTTTCTCCAATCAAAGAGATTCACTTGAGCGATCCTTCAAATAGACATCCGTATAGGCCCCATTAGGCATTATATTTCAATAATCTGAATCATCTAGTTTTTAGATATTTCCTCAAAGATCATTGTTGGAAAAATTCACTTGAATTTGAAATCAGTTGACCACTCAATTAAATGTTTTAATGAAATTCAATTTGCATGATTTTTTGCAAGGATGATCTATGAATAAAGATTTGCAAAATAGACGGTTTGGATTGTTGATTTTTGTGTGTGTGTGTGTGTGTAAGGGATCTATTAATAGAATATGATTGATTTTATAGGACATAATTAGATATTGAAACAGTTTCCAATTTTTCTAATTCTTTGTAAAGATGATCTATAAGTGTACACTTAATATATATATATATATATATATTGGATTTATGTGTTTTTTTAAGGGGTGAGCACAGTTCAGATTGGATCAGTTTCGCCTCAAAATAACGGCCGAATTAATTACAAAATAACAATTTGGTTCGGTTCGATTTTGACAAAAGTCATGAAGAAAATCAATCCAAAGTAAACCAATTTAAGACGATTTGGTTCGGTAGGTTTGGGCCTAAGCCCAATTCTCTTTCCTTTTGCATTTTGTTCAGTATTGTTAACCCAGTTACAACCAACAAATTCACAACTCGCTCCATACTTAAATCATCATAAAGCTCAACATGTCATAAAACTTCAAATTTCAATTACTAATATAGCTTCAAATAGTCATATATAATTCTTATTACCTATTTAGAGTATTACACATGTAAAATATAATATAGATAATAAATATACACATAAATAGTTTGGTTTGGTTTAGGCCGGTTTACAAAAATTCAAAACCAAACCAAACTAAACTGGTAATTACGATTTGGTTTGGGCGAATTAATGCCTACCCTTAGTTTTTAGTAGAAATGATATTTGAATAAATATCTCAAAAATAGACAGTTTGATTTAGTGAAATACAATACGTAGTGGGCCTTACAAGGGTCTCTCAAATAAGCTTATTGTGAAGCCATTGTAAACATTAAGAAAAATATGGAGGGATAGTAGAAAATACATGGCATCCGACACGATAATAGCGTCTGGATGTCCGAATAAGAGAATATATATATATATATATTTTGCATCAACTACAGTAAACCTTCAAACGTATAGGAGTCATTACATACTCATCCCAACCTTTAAAGACTTGTTTGACTGGTACTCCAACTTATAGAAACCCTACAATTGAGACCCTATGTTACCCAGTATGTTAGTAGATATGTTAAATGATGACGTGGCAAATTTAAATCCTTTTTTTTTTTGTTCTCTGATTTGCACTCCACTTAGGAAAAAAACAATTAAACTTTTTGTATTACCCTTTTTAGCAGAAAATTGTGTATTATTGTATAAACAATTTAAAAAGAGATTTTTTATTTTTAAAAATACACTGGCTCTGTATGCTCCACCAACCCCCCATCTCTATCTCTATCTCTACATCAGCAACCATGGAAGCTTTAGTGGCTCTCTTGCGCATCGGCCTAGCATTCCTCGTCGTTATTTGCGAAAACCTCGCCCTTAACACCACCGTGAAAGGCTTCTCCATCTCTGAAAACTTGAATCGAACTCCAAAAAAAAGGGCAACGATATGAGCAACAAATAACTATCGTCGATGAAGGAGGCACTCACGCTCTCGTCATCGACAACGACAGCATGAACAACAAAGTACTATTTAGACTTTAACTTTACCGTACCATGAATTTTACCGTTTTCGGACAAGAGGTGGAACTACAAGACTATTGGGACATTTTTGGACTTTTCAAAAAGTACAAGGACTATTTTACAATTACTTGGAACTTTAAGGACTTATAAGGACAAATTTGTAATTTGGATTAAGTTGAAGGACCAAAGTGCAATTAAAGACAAAAAAGGACTAAAGTGCAATTAAGAATTTTTCTTTTTATTTCTAAATGTTGGATTGTGATTTAGTTGCTCAAGAGTAGCCATTTTGAGTTCGAAGGTGCAGATGGCAAGTCAGGCATGAGCTTTGGATTCCAGGTAAGGGGACTCACCCCCGAACTTGTATTTTTGTGTATATATATGACATAGTAAATATTATTGTGTACGAAAGATACATTTTGTTTGGATACCATATTGTTTAGTTTTATGGATGCTTGGCTTTGAATTTCCAAAGTTTTGGAGGGTATATACATGCGGGCATTATCCTTGACGACCTGATGGTAAAGGGGGTATAGCAACTTCCCTGGGTTTCGATTCCCTAAGCCCCCGGAGGGGCTACACAGACTGACTTTTCCAATACCCTATGTGTGAGGTTTAGTCGAAGTAGCGTAGCCGGTAAATGGGCACTCTCACTATTGTACCAGGTAAGTTGGATATATTTTTATTTATGGTAGGGTTAGTTGGACTTTAAGGATTGGTTGTCAGACAAGCATATTATTGGTACTCGGAAAATGTTTGCCAAAGTCGTGTGAGCATGCCAACTGTTTTTGGATTCTATATTTATATGGAAAATGGTTTGTGTTGTGCATATTTTTTTCATTGTTTCTCTTGAACACTACTATGTTGTTTCGCTATCTTTTTTCAAACCTAGCTAGGAGTCCCCCTGCTCGGTGATGAGAGTCTCAAATTACATCTTTTTAATATAATTTTGGAGACTTTATGATATAAATTTGGCTTAATAAAGATAATTTCATTACCGTTACATTTTATTCTCACCAATTGGATTTATGAATTTTTTGTATTAAATTTGGTGAACTGATTAAGTGAATTTATCTTTTGTAGGAAGTTAGAAAGCCAAAAGATGAAGATATATATTTGTCCAAGTTCAAGCAAAGTGTGAAGAGAATTTTTGGTAGATTTTATTGAAGAATTGAGGGATTATTGTGATTATAAAGAGAAGTAACAAGGGAGAAGAGAAGACAAATCCATTAAAGCTAAAGAGCCTATTTCATGTCATTCATGCCATTTAACGCCCATTACCTCACCATTATTTCTTTTCCACTGACTCTCCACCATCAACACATGTTTAATCCAATTAATCCCTCACTTAAAACCCTTCATTACCTGTTCTGATTGTATTAACTTTCTACTCACGACTACTATAAATCACCAATCAACTTATTTGGCAAGGACACCACTACGATATATTCCTTTGTAATGAGTTGCTAGAACTAAAGGGAATGTCCTTTGAGTAAGTTTGTGAATTGTTCTTTAATCCTATATACGGTATGAATTGCTAAATTTTTTTTTTATTTTTGGCTGTTCAATATTTTCATATCCTTTTATTTTGATTGATGATAAGTGCTACTATCTTTTCCTGAGTTCAATTATATTTTTCTCATTGTTAAAAACTAACTTGGCATGCTTTTGAATTATATGATTAGATATTAAGCAATTCCATTTTCTGAACAATCATTAATAAAAGATAACATTGAAAATTTTAATTTATTTAGCTCCCAATTAAAGTTTCTCAATGATACTTTTAATCGAATTATAATTTGTATTAAAGAGCATGAAACATATTTTGCTTAAAAAATTGAACCTTGATGCCTTAGCATTTTCAGACTCAATATCTACAACACTCAAATCAAATTACTTTTCTATTTGGCTTGTCACTTTTATTTCGGTACGTTTAATTATTTGTATGTGTGCAGACATTTGCCTACCTGATCCTTGAGGATATGATACTTGGACTTCTTAAAATATATGAGTGTTATACCATAGTTTTTCTTAAAATAATAAAATATGGAGGGTCCTCAAATATAGCCTTGCATTGATGGAGATTGAAAAAATTTTGCCGTATACTATTCTTTAAAAAATAAATATCGTGGACTATGTTTAGCCCTATGACCGGAGATGGCCTAAGAGCATTTCCACCTATTGTCCATGACAAAAGACAAGGGGAGGCAAATGCTGTTACTATACATAAATAGTGCATGTCATAGCCATTTTTTTGTTGGTTTTCCACCCATTGCCATGACAACCCAAGGATAACCACGATACAATTGAGATATAAGAAGAGGAATTTGTATAGATAGAGTTTTGGTGTGAGAAGTGAAGAATATGACTAGGTATTTATTAAAAAAGAATTTCTGAAATTTGGGGTTTTTTTTGGGTATATTTTTTGTTATTTAAATGGCTTATTATCACAAAACGTCCCTAAGGTTTTGACGGAACCTAAGAGCAGGGACTATTTGTGATCATACATACTAACCTTGAGGACCACGAGTGACAAAAAAAAATTAAGGATGCAATCTGATAGTTTCGTAAACCTTAGGAACGTTTTGTGATAATAAGCCTATTTAAGTTAAGGGAAATTTTATATGAACCCCATTAATTGCTCTTTACACCCCATAATTTTTTACACCCCACTAAATTTTAATAAAATTTCACATTACTCATTATACCTTTTTTTTTCTTCCTAAATTGCCCTAATGAACCTCATTCCCTAACTCACAGTGTAAACCTCATCCCATATCGTACACTACCCATCGAAAACCCTCTTTCCTTTCAGACACACCCCATCTTAAATCAAACCCACCCCATTTGATATCAAGCCCCACCCCATCGAAAATTCTCTCCTCTTGTAGACACACCATATTGCACACCCCATCAGATTTACAATAAGCTCCATCGCACACCTCATCTCCTTTGAAACATAGCTATCTCACAAACCATCTTTGCAAACCACCAAACCCCATCGCACAACCCATCTCTGGAAACCCGAACCCATCTCTGAAACAGAGCCATCACACCCCATAGCCAACCCCAAACGCCTCACCCCATCGCAAACCACCATCTCCTCAGCCATCTCAAGCATCCATCACAAATTTGTCAAAATTTCACAAATCCTTCGAAGAGCCAAGGTTTGAATTCAATTTTGATTTATATATTTACGTTTCTAAGTGTTGATTAAGCCTACGTTTGATTTCACTTTTGAAAAGCCAAAGTATGATTTTAATTTTTGATTTCAACGTGGTGGGTGTTTGGTTCGAACCTGTTTTACGAAACTGGATTTTAGTTTCGGTGGATTACCACCGAAATGGTTACATTGCTTCAGTGGTAGTCCACCGAATTTGAACATGATCTGTACATTTTACTTTCGGTGGGTTATCACCGAAATTGTTACCTTGTTTCAGTGGTAGTCCTCCGAATTTGTTTGTAATTGTAAGGCGATTCCCACTAAATGTATTTCGGTTTTTCTGTGGTACTCCACCGAATATGTGTTCTTTTTTCAGTGATAGTCCATCGAATTTGTTTTCGTTTTTCAGTGATCATTTACTGAATACGTTACTGAGTGTGTACTTAATATTGTTTGTTTTTAGATATGAAGAGGACTCGCAGAGGTACTACTGAGCCTTCATCATCACATGGTCTCAACGAGGAGAGAGAGAGAGCGGCTTCCCAATATCACTTTGAGGATACTGTGAATGGGTACTTGGAGTGGTACCTCAACGTGGGATATCCGTTTGTCCAAAATCCTAATTATGGAGCTGCATTTGACCCATTTGCCTAAATGCAAAGCAGATATTATCAGGTAAATTTTTTAATTTTGTATGACTTCCACATTTTCAATTTTGTACTTTTTACTATGGCATTGAATTCAAATTCGTTACTGGAGCGTGACAAGCATATGTTGTCCTTTACTAGGCCGCTCGTGGCATTAGGGGAAACAGTTGCATTGCGTACACAACCTTCTCAAGTTTATCAAGCAGTTGAGACCTTACAACATATTTTAGAGGGTATAAACATACGGTCTACCATGACATATCAACGTCGTCATGGTTAACTGACTTGCTAGCATGCGTTTATTATAACTCATGGAACTTTTGTTGTTTTGATTAGTTATTGTATGTTTGTATTAGAACTCATGGAACTTTTGTTGTTTTGATTAATTATGAAGTTTGTATTAGAACTCATGGCGTGTTTTTTTTTCCGGCGGGACCAAGGTGACTTGAGACAAGTCCTGATATTAAAAAGAGTAACCACAAACCTATCCTTAAATGGATTTAACTAATTGTCATGTATGTATTCAAGAGCTTTTTGAAATTCACTGAACTTAGACTCAATCTGTCGTAAACAACACCAATATTCCTCAATTGTTTCTGAACCAACCAAAGTATTCCAATCCTCATTAAATTGCTTCCATTGTTTGAGGGTCCTAAATAACTTCTTGTAGACAAAAAGATTTCAGACAAATAATTACTGAATAAGTTGTGAATTGATTACTATAGTCCATTACACATTTTGTTCCCACGTTGTTGCCTTCAGTAGGGGCGTCACCTTGTTTTTGTTCCTTCAATGGGAGTAAGATCAAAATCGCTTGCATTACATTTGTGGTCGGCAATAAGTTACTGAATAAATAAATAAATTTCGATTGTATGCCACTAAAACGCAGGTAAAAGTTCGGTAATGAACCATTGAACTACGTTCCATGTTACGGTGGATCTCCATCGAATATTAAGTTCATGACTGGTCAAACCCAACCGAAAAAGGTGCAACGTTTTGGTAGCATCCCACCGAATTTACCTGTCTCGTTCGGTACTGATGCGCTGAACGCAACCAACGACCATTATGAAATACTAAACTTGCAAAACGCCAAAAAATAAACTCGTACCTCATTCGAAGCCTCTCTAACTTCAATCTCACTCTTCATGAATAAATACAAGATATTTTTTCACCAATATAAACGTATAAATCTAGGGTTTAGGGTTTAAGAATATGATAGTTTGAGAAAAAAGTCAAATTAGGGTTGCAGGAACATATGTGGGGTGTAGTGAGCAATTTTAATTTTAATTTTTTTTGTCCTTAATGGTAATTGTGTACAAGGATAAAATAGGTTATTCATGTTTAAAATAAGTATGGGATGTAAAGAGCAAATAATGGGGTGCCAATAAAATCTCCCTTAAATTAACTAGGTAGATTCATTATTATACCAAATATAAGAGCCCAAATTATAAAAATACCTCATATGAAATGGACTTTAGAAACACACCCAAAGCTCATTTATAACATAACAAAAAAGCTTTTAACTTCTTATAAATTACAAAACTGCCATCAATTTCTTAAAACAAGTCCAAGTCCAAAATCTCATAAAAATACCCAAAACACTCAATAGGGTATCAAAGTAATTTAATAATCAATATTAAATTTAATACGGTCAGCTGTCATTTTTTGGGTTTGTTTATAAAAATTCAATTGTATAGGGTTTATTTATAATATTAGTGTTAAGAATTGGTATATCACTAAATATCTCAATTAACTATTGACGTCACAATGACATTAACATTAGATTAGCTTGTCCATACAGCAGCCCAAGTAATGTTGCCTTTGGGTTTGCCCAAGTTGGTGGAGCCTATCTCTTGTCATGACAAGAACACGAATAGGGGCTGGGGGCTGGGGGCTGGGGGCCTCTTGACTGGGCTGGAGCCTCACGCTGGAAGTGCTCTAACCTGAGCAAAGTAAAGATAAAGCCTAGTGTCGCTTGGTGGGTTCAATCAAATGACACGACAAGGCAGGACCTGTATCATAGGCCATCCTCGTCCACATAAAAATAAAATAAAACCCCCTTCTTCTTTTTCTTTTGTAGCCTGACACGTAATAAAAGCTGTTGTTTTTCTATAAAAAGGAAAAATTCAATTTTGGAATCCAATTTTAATCCTTTACTTTCTTTTACAAAAGCCAACCAGCGGCAGCAGCCATTTCTCTCTCTCATTCTCTTAGTTTTTCTGGACACACCAAAACTTCAGACCTGAAACCTCCCAACGAAGGTAAACAGTAAACAAAGGGAGGAAAACCCAGAATTTAATTAATTAAATAATTGATTAATTGATGGTTTTCCCTCTTTCTCCTCTTCTTCTTCTTCTTCCTCATCTTCTTCTTCTTTGTGCTTTGGTACTCTAGGCATGTTGTTGTGAACTCGTGACCTATTTTGGTTGGTGGGTTTTTCTAGGTTTTGTTCACTCAGATCTGGGGGCCATTGAATGTTTAAAATTGAGAAGAAACCCAGAAAATATTGTGTAGTTTTTTAGGGTATGGAACATAATATATGTGAAAAGTGGTTGGTTTGAATTTTTTTTGAAGGGGGGATTTTGAAGATGATGAGGAAGAAGATCAAGATCAAGAAGATTGATTGCTTGCCTGCAAGGCAGGTGACCTTCTCAAAGAGGAGAAGAGGGATCTTCAAGAAAGCTGCAGAGCTCTCTGTTCTGTGTGAATCTAAGGTGGCAGTTGTCATATTTTCTGCTACTGGCAAGCTTTTTGATTATTCAAGCTCAAGGTACCAACAACATACCTTATAATTCTTTTGACTTTTCCTTCCTTGAAAAAATAACCGATATGATGTCTCTGAAGTCTGACTTGTCCTCTCTGTGTGGGTGAGAGAGGGAGAGAGAGAGAGATTCTAAGATTCAGCCATTTGGGTCAAAATATATTTGGAGGAGAAGGGTACCTTTATGGAAATATTTTTTCTTTCCTGAAATTCCATGGTTGATTTGAACTGTGGTCTAGAATGCAAAGAAAAATAAAAAAAGGAGAATAAAAAAGAAGAAGAAGAAGAAGAGAGAGAGAGAGACTGTATTTCAAAGGGACTATTTCGAGGATTACTACCTTCAGGAAAGTAAAGTTTACTATTGATTAAGACAACCGCTAGCTAGGTGTCCCCAGTTTGAGACACATTATTTTATTAGGAAATGATTGAAACCTTAAATTTAATTGTTCCCTTACCAGAGACACAGGATGTTAGACCATCAATCAAATCATACACTTAAACAAGAATATATATCGCCAATTCTAGATTCACAGTCTGACCACATAAAATGATAGATAGTCTATCTAGTAAGAGAGTATTTTACACTTTACCCCATATATATATATATACATATATATACACATATGGTAAAGATAGTGGTGGGTTGTGTCCGAAAAGGTGTCCTTCATTCTCCCCACCTAAACCAAAAAATGCCAGTAAATTAATGTGGCTGCAATTTGCTAGGTTACAAAAATTGAATGATATGATTTGTAGTTTTCTTACTAGGAATAAAGTGATATGATGATAACTAGGGAATTCATCATTGAAGTGTTGAAGACTTTCGGCAGGAATATGCATCCTTGCTCTCAAGTACGAGAAAGAATTTCATGAAATGGGGATAACATTATTTTGTTATCCCCAGCTAATAAAGTTATGACGCGCGTGATAATACTTCCACATGGCATGCTATTATTGGTCAGGGATAGCAAAACAGTGTTATCCTCGTTGCAACTAAGTTTTTCTCCACAAGTAGGGCAATGGGTGGTGGAGCTATGACCATAACATGTTTTTGCCATGAATACATGCAAGATCGTGTTAAAACCTACTTTCATAATCAGATTTGCATGCATGAGAGGAAGGAAAGGGAGAGAGGGTGAGAATGAAATGTTAACTATGGAATAAGAGTTTAAATAAGGTCATGCATCCTTTAAGTTAACAAAATTAATTGCACATAGTAAGCGCTGATAATTTATATTAAATATTAAAAAGAAACTAGAAATACCACCTCTAAATGTCTAGTGTGTGGAATTAACGTTTTTTTTAATATATAAAAAGTTATTATAAGCGGCCTTTTTATATATAAAAAAAGCTTTGAGACAGATGGAGGTCTCAATTAAATACTAATGGCAATTTGTAATTAATTTCAATTGTTAATTTTATTTAAAAGATATTTTTCTAGGTTTCCGGGGCCTAACTGACATATTAAAAGATATTTTTCTATATATATATATATATATATTAAGTTTCTCTAAATTGCAGTCCGTGTTTCCATTTGAGCATAT